ATACTATGAAGAATATGTAAAAATAGCCTGTTTTTCATTTACAGTTCATAATCATTAAAAGGTTATCTTACCTATGAAATGTGATTTTTCTTTAATTTTGCGTGTGTTTTTTCCAATTTTGGCAGTCCGATCTGCTTTTGCACAAAGAAACATAACATTTATTAACAATAAACAATAAGGCAATACTTGCTAACCTCCTCGCACATGCTCATGCACGTTACATGGACGCTTAGATGGACGCGAAGACGGTATTATGTACGCTTGCGCATAATAAAAACCAATCAAAACCAGGCACAGTTTTTACCTCGTCTCCCTTTCTTTGTAGCTTCATCCCACTGAGATTACACTCCATCCATATATTCCCACATTCATGATTAGCACGTAAAATAGCGGGTCTGACAATCTCAGAGTTCCTCAGACCCGTTAGTTCTTGGCTTGACATTGCAAATTAGTTCCATAGTTTCCACTACGAGCCTCCACCGTCCTATAATGAAATGTCGAGTCGTGGTATGACTAAACGATAGGGTCGGACTTGATTTTATTTTTAAGAAATGCAAGTCAACGATAAGTCAGAACACTTATTTTCAAATTAATACTGCATAACGACAATTAAACCTATTTAATATAATCCACTGATTTGTTTTATATAGGAACATCTAAGTAAATATAATGTCGTATTATTATTATTATTATTATTATTATCGTACTTTTATATATATATTTAATATGTGTGTTTATGTATATAAATTAATTGATATTTCTGGATTAATTATTTTATTATTTTAGGAAAGTTAAGCCCGTTGAGTTTTTGTGGTCGAGAACAGTATAACTGTTTAACCTTCATATATCTGTATAGAATATAATAATTCAATATATATATATAAATATAATTTAGTATATGTAACAAAACATGTATTTCACAATCATGACGCGCCGAAATCGCAGCGGCCGAGTACGGAATCCCTACTCGGCGAAAGGAGGGAGACACGTCGTTATTTACCCTCGCGCGACTATCTGCTCGTCGTCACCCATATGTCTTACATAATACGTTTGCTAAAAATATGAAAGTAGCAATAAGCCGCCAGTGAACGTACGAAAGCGCGAGTTAGAGTTTCATTGTTGCGCGCCGAAGTGGGAAATCGGCGATGATCGGCGAAGGTCGTTGAAACCTGAGGTGAGTCGTGTAAAGAAGCGACCTTTTGCAGGGTACAACGTCAACCCTTCGAGCACTACATCAGCATCATGTAATGTGTCAAGTAATTCGCGAATAATTTTGCTCGTGCGCGGTTGCGTTGCTCGACGGATGAACGGACGGAGTTCGAGCGAAACGGCATTTCGAGCACACGACATTACCGAGCATGCACATATGTGGACAGCGCAAAGTCCGAAAATCGGGACATAAGATGTTTTTAAAACATCTTTAAGACGTCTTAAAGACGTTTTGTGTCTCGATTTTCGGACTCTGTGCTGTCTGGGATGCTAATCCTTATGTATGTTATCGTAATATTCGAGTTAATCGGACGCGGACGGACGGTCGGTGGCGAGGAGGAGGATGTTTTTCGCAGACCCGATGACGCACGCGGCGCGTTTTTATTTTTCTTTCTTTCTTTCGATTCGTCAGAATGGCGGATGATAAGATCGCGTGCGGAAAGAGTTCGATATTTGTTTGATGTCATGCGCGAACACGATCAAGTGGGTCGGTCGTTTGAAGTTCATAGTACGGAGACCGTGACCTCGGAGATTCGGCGGTGCTTGCAGGTTCTCAATAATTGTTTCGTCTGTTTCTGTTTATCTTCTTCTATGCTTCCTCCTTATCGTGCAAAATGCTTTTATACTCTTTGACGTCCTTTAGGACGATTTAAAGTAGCTAGTTCGTAAAGTGGCAGATTTCCTGAGGCAAAATTAAACGGCCCTTTCATAAGTTTGTTATTTACCGAAAAAGAGACCTTCTTGTAATTTTATTTAATTATCGGAGCAGTAAATTTGAATTTCGGACGAAATTAGAAGAAACATACTCGCAATATTATAAACAAGGAGATGTTATTAATTTTCTTATCTATGCTTTGTTCATGTGTTGGTTGAGTTAATAAAGGTGTACATGTAATGGAAAATGTGATATATAAATATTTAAATTTACATATACATGTACATTTGTTACGTAAAAAAATGGTCGAAAACTTAAATTCTTCCATAACGTTTCTGTATTAGTTATTAATATCGCATAGTAGTTTTCCGTTAAAATCCCAAATGTGTTAGAAGAAATTAAGGTTTAGGATATTAATTTTCCAAGGGACACATATAAAAAGTGTCATTTTCAGTTGCAAATATCTCAGCTTTTGAGTGGTCAATCGTTTTCAAACTTTACAGACGTGTAGATAATATAGTTTAGTGTGTAGATGCTGTACGGTAAATAGTATTTTTGTCAATAAGCACCTGAAATTTAAAAGGATTCCTAAGAAAAGTTAGTTTGACAGACCAATTATCTTAATGCTCAGATTCAGTTACGAAAAATTATCTTTCTCGGAAAGGTCGTGTTCGACGTGTCCCGATTCCCAGATAACGAGTCGTGCCGAATATTTCTACGAGCGTGACGCACGCGATGCGTGCTTACGCCAATCGAAAGCGCACGAGCGACCCAGGTGGAATAGAAAATTATGATAACGTCGAAACGACGAAAGGACTCTCTTATCGATCATGATTCGATTTTATCATTTTCGATGAAGATTTTCCATTCCAGGGAAAAAGAAACGTTTACATATAATCATATAAAATTACATATAATTATACACAACTATACGTGACTTATACATGAATTTTGTTCCTATAAGGCTACACATATAATTATATATGTCCATACAAAATAAAAATACTGTTGAATGCAAAAAAAGGAGAAATTAGTTTGTTTCAATTAAGTGTTTACATCATGGACAGCCATAAACATAAGCATTTACTTCAATTATATTCATATAATAACATTTCTTAGGTGTGGAACATATATCATATTTGATTACATATGACCATATAAAAACAAAATTCGTATATAATCGTTTTCTCCCGGGGTTCTACCTGGAAATCCTTCGAGTGCTCGGAATCTGCGTCTGACCTAAAACGATTCGAAGCGTTCGGGTTTAATCGAACGTGCAAGAAAACAAGACTGGTTTAGGAGAGTCACTGGTTATCGACGAGCGTGATCGCGTCATCTCAACGGAGATAATCGGAGGTCGGGGAACAAGCCCGCGCCTGCGTCTGGGATACAGTCCAGTGACATCGTGAGATTTGTACCGCAGCTTCTGCAGTCGGAATAAGGATCTCCCACTGGTGCGGTAGAGAATTGCGGCGCGAATCCAGTGACCATCTCGATAACTTAATCGACGTGTTTCTGCACTTAGAACACAACGGGAACGCTTCTCGACAGGGAGATAAAGAGACCCAGGTAGAATAGGATAACGCGATAACGTTAGAATGACGAGAAAATGATCGAAAAGTGAGTTGCCGTTAAAAAATATTTCATACATAATTGTGTATAAATATACATATTGTGGATAATTATATTAAATTATGTATGAAATTTATCCATATATAATTATTTAATACTAATTATATATATATATATATATATATATATATATATATGATTAGATAAAATAATCTAATTGCTATTGAGCATCTTTGATGCTGTAAAAAACTTGTAGTCGTTTCTTTTACGTTGAGACTTAAAAACTTGTTGGGACCTTGCATGTGTAGAGAAAACAAATTTCATAACAGTAATTAAATAATTATGTCTAATCATATCTACACGGAAAAAGAAATCTGGTTGCATTAACCAGAAAGGGAACAATCAGATGCGTTCTGGTTGAAAAAAAAACAGAATTTCCAGTTCTCACGACCCAGAAATGTAGTTTTTAAAACCAGAAATTTTGTTTCCTTCAACCAAAATGTATCTGGTTGTTCCCTTTTTGATTAATATAATCAATCTAATCATACATAATTATGTATGATTAGTATTAAAGAATTACGTATGGACAAATTTCATGTATGATTTAGTATAATTATGCAATTTCATGTATAATTTAGTATAATTATGCATAGTCACGTATATTTTTACACGATTATGTATTAAACATTTTTTAACGGTTTTTACTACATTTTTAAATGCTTGAAAAATATCCGGCTTTTACAATTTACTCGCGATTTATTTCTTTTTCTTCCCGCGAACGACCGAAAAAAGTGGGAAAAACGCGAATTCTGTAATTTCTCCGCAGATTTTCTCAGATTTTCTTTCCGAGTAAAAATTGAAAGAAGCGGGTTTTTCCTCAACTACACATTTTATGATCATTTTCCCGTCGTTTCGACGTCACCGTCATTTCCCATCTTATCCGGGGGGAAAGAACGGCGACGGGGAGCAATGTGACGTCGGCGTGCGCGGAGGAGCTTGTTCGCTCATCCCCGGGTATTCGGTGGAATCACATCTCTCCTCTCGAAGAGTTATCGTCGGCCGATACTTCGTATCTCGCGAAACAATCGCACAGAGCGCAAATCGAACGCCTGGCGCGTTCATAAAGGCGCGCCAGCACTTCGCTCTCTCGGTTCGCGAGAGCTCGTCCTCAGACGGTCCCCAGGTGGCGCGATCACTGGGGATCGAACTCCACCTTGACGCAGTGGTGGTTCGAATTTGCATCGTCTCCCTCCTCTCCGTCTTCCGTTCCTCGTGCAACGTAACGTTCGTGCCTGGTGAGATTGACACGTGTGAATGTGTGTGCGTGCTCGCGCGATCACCGGGATCGATCGAGGACGATTGTGAAGCCGTGGAAACGACGGTTGAGCCGTGTTCGTGGACAGCAGGTGGTGACGTTCGAAGGAGGTCGCCGTTGGGTAGCCGCAGAGGGGCAGACGGGGTGGACAGAGATTGTCTCCGAAGGCGAGGAAGACCGGACGACAGATCAGTAGAGACGAAGACGACGAAGAAGCGGTAAACGAAGATAAGAGGGTGACTGCTGAGCATGTCGCACGCGCGTCTGCGGAACGCCGCGATCGCCGGCGGCTGGTCGTCCAGGACGTCAGCGGCGGCGGTTAAAAGACCGACCAGGGACGGCGGTAGCGGGGCGCTGGTTGCGCGAGGAGTAGGGACAACGGCGGCGGATAGGCGCGCCGTTGGCAGGCCGGTATCCCGCTCACCGATGCTGCTACGGCCGCTCATTCCCTGTCGCGGTATGGCGGTTGCCGGGTCCGGCAAGGTCCTCACCGGGGACAACGTGTTTGAGAACCTGCGCAAGATGGAGTACGCAGTGCGGGGGCCGCTGCTCCTCAGGGCGCTGGAGATCGAGAAGGAGCTGCAAAAGGTAAGGTAAGCCTTTTCTTGAAGGGCGGAAGGGCTGAGCGCGCCGACTGAGCGGGAGGACGCGACGCGCGTCAAACGCGAGGTTGCTATGGTGAAACGCCGATTGTGGGTGGTGAGCGCGGAGTGAGCGGCTCGGCAGGGGCGAGGGGGGGGAGAGGGCCGGAAAGATAATCGGTAATTGGCAGGCTACTGCGGAGTATATAAATGTGAGCGTGAATGAAAGTTCGCCGCAGGGATCGAATGTAATCGCGTGTCGGTCTGGTCGAAAAGGCAGCTGATAGGCCTGTTTCCTGTCTCTGGATCTAGCTTGCATTTTTCATCGTTAGAGGCAAATATGTAAGTATCTGGCGTTGAAAAGAAAAGAAACGAAATTCCGATACAGTCCTGGTTTGGGAAACGGAAAAAACAGACCTCTAAACCGATTGGTTTCGCCTTTGCATGAATTTATCTAATGGGTAAGTCTGAAGAGCGTTCTCATACACGGGAAAAAATTAGTCTTGGATCCAATAATAGATATTCTTATATGTTACGTCCTAAAAGAGGATGTACGCAACAAACATCGCATACCCGCGCACTCGCGAGGCTTAAACGTACTGGCAGGTCTGTGAATCAGATCAAAGTTCGAGAGGCCCATTTACTCCAGAACGTATGTTAGGTGGTCCTTTATTTAGGTCAAAGAACTTAATCTCTTTACCTAGGATAGGACCATATGAGTGTTGAAGGGGAATTCAGATTTAAGTAATGAAAAGGAAATGAATGGATAATTTTAACAACTTGGTTAAATTTAGGACATTTTGAATAAAACAGTTTATTAATTATACTAATAACATAATTTGGTTCTCACATGGATTAATAATAGTGATAAATTGATGAGAAAAGTAATTGTAAATGATACAATATTTAAAAGATGAAACAGTTAGCTAAAGTTAAACAATGAGATATATGGGTTAACATTAAACAAACTTTTATAAATCAGCATTATTGGAATAATGCAAATACAAGATGAAGATTAAAGTAAGATTAAGTAAAAAAATTAATCCGTGTAACTTAATTTAATACAATCGGATTTAACGTAACAAGAATGTTTAACGTATCGATATGGCGAGAAAAATATCATTATATAATACAAGGAAGATAATAATTACGCAGTGTATGTGTGTGTTTTAAGGAGTGAAGTGGGGTTGGAGATTGGATTGAAACGATTAAAAGTCATGTTTAAATATGAAATAGAGATTTACGATTTAGGTGAATCGACTGTAGTGAATAGTACGTAGAACATGGGTTCGTTAATACTCAGCAGAAGAAGAAGAAGAAGAAAACGGATTGACTGACTGACTGACTGTGGAGTGGCCAGAGAGTAAGGTTTTATAGGAAAAATTTTGGGGGTGGCGGATGACGATCGCCAATGAGAGGAGTTTTCGTGGAAAACGGGGAACGGATATGGAAGATTAGAAAACGGACGGATCTGTTGGGAAACTCATGACGCATTTGGTGGCGTATGATCACATCCTTTTTACGGTAGCGCTGTTTCCTGATCATAAAAAAGGAATTTGTTGCTCCTGGAGTAACAAAACTATGCGCCTTACGCGAAGGCGGCAGAGATGACAGATACGTTGGGAAACACACGGTGCGTTTAACGGCGAGCCATCGTAATCTTATCCCCTTCACGGTAGCGTTTGCCCGACGTCCATCTGCTTCCCAATCATATATAAAAAAAAAGAAATTCGTAGTTCCCGAGGTATCCAGGACGTAACATATATTATATATAAGCAAGAATATTTATGATCAAAGAAGATTTTTAAATGTCTTGAATTGAGAGTTTAAGTAATGCTTGTGTCAATATAAATTCATTCGAGTCACGACTCAGGCTGGATCTTGAGTATAAAACCATTTTAAATTTATCTTCAAATGTTTGATTTATTTTATCATAAACGTGATGATAATGAGTGTAATGAAAATGATTAAGACTAAGATATGACCACGACTACCGGCTTAAAAGTCTTCTAAGAAGATTATATTAGTGTCCCATAAATTTCTTCCGCGCTACGCTATGAATAACTCTAGATGGCTGTGTTTATATAAACATGCAGGCTTATCTCTTGGCCGTTTAGGGCATCGGTTTCAGTCGTCCCAGAGCTCTTTTAAAGTACGTTTCATTGGTGACAAAGTCTCTTTAAAATTTTTTCTCTACGCCGTTCAATATGGATAGCCAAAAGAAGCATTTGCGGCATGTTATGGTTCATTGCTTTAAAAAAGATAATAGTGCAAAGGACACTGCAGACGATATTTGCACCGTTTACGGGAGTGGTACTACGACTATTAGGACCGTCCGCAATTGGTTTAAGAGATTTAGAACTGGCAATTTTGACTTGAAAGATGAAGACCGCAGCGGCCGCCCAGCAACGATGGATACGGAACTTTTCAAGGCTATGCTCGCTGAAAATCCTCGATATTGTGTGCGCGAGTTAGTGGATGCCACTAACATTCCCAGGACAACGGTGCATAAGCATTTAATCAAGATGGGATATGTGAATCGATGTGAAGTTTGGGTTCCACACCTATTAACGGAGACCGGCCGTATGAACCGCATCTCTACGTGCGATTTGCTTCTCCAGCGACATGAAAGAGATCCTTTCTTAAAGAGGCTTGTCACTGGAGACGAGACTTGGATTTTACATCAAAATGTACATCGAAAACGCACTTGGTTTAAGGAAAATAGACTTTCAATTGTTGTGAAGCCTGGACTTCATCCGAAGAAAGTTCTTTTGTGCCTTTGGTGGGACTGGAAAGGTGTAGTCTACTACGAGCTCCTTCCTCAACGTGAAACGATCAGCCAAGTATTGCAATCAACTCGATCAATTGAAAACCGCCATAGCCGAAAAACGGCCAGAACTGACGAACCGACGAGGCGTCGTTTTTCATCACGACAACGCAAAACCGTATGTTGCGTTGGTCGTAAGACAAAAACTATTGCAGTTTGATAGGGACGTTCTACCTCATCCTCCGTACTCTTCAGACCTTGCTCCATTCGATTGTTACTTGTTCCTCTCGTTAAAAAATTCTCTCCGTGATAAACGGTTCAAATCCGTAAGCGAAATAAAAACGCACCTTGATGAATATTTTGCAAGTAAGACTCAATAATTTTGGAAAGAGGGCATAATGAGGCTTCCTGAGAGATGGAAGAAGGTAATAGAGCAGAACGGTTCATATATAACACAATAAATCAACCTTAAACAACAAATATCGTGTATTCATTTCGCATCATAAAAAAGGAAGAAACTTATGGGACACTAATAGTACTCTGGTACATAAAAAAGGAAGGAACTTGGGAGACTAATAGTACTCTTGCTTATATCTATTCTTGACGTAAGATTAATTTTTTTCGTATACGGAAATAAGATACAAAAATATGTAAAAATTATTGGTGTACTATTGAAGAACAATAATGTGCCGGAAATTTTTTCGTATTCTTGCATTTCATTTCCACACGGGAGTGTTCTTTTGATATTTATCCGTTAGATAAAATTGAGAGAAGGAGAGACGAACCAAGTGTTCGTATTTGTTCAATATGGTCGCTGAAGAGCCGAACATTTCGGCCGCTTTTCCCTACACTTTCCGTGTTTTATTTTCTTTTGACGCGTTTTTAGACGAAGTAGGCGGTCGCATGCATGGAGAGAACGTTCGAAACGAAAAAAATATCAAAAGGAGAGAGAGAGAGAGAAATAATGTGTGTCACGGCTTATCTCACTTTGAAATATTTTTTACGTTACGTTAGCCTGCGGCCTGTGAGATAAACAATGTCCAGATTAAAGCGACATTGAGTATTCAGGATCCACACCGTTTCGAATCCGCGTTTTTAAACGAAGAACGAAGATTGCACGCTACAAAGTTGCCCGAAAAAGCCGGTTCCACGGTGTACGGATACAGCCGATGGAAAAATCAGTTCATCGATTACACATCCCACATGTCCGTTCTCGTGATTAATATTGATACGAACGCAGCTGAAGCAGATACAAGTGAATACTTCGACTGATTCGTTCGATGACTCGTCATGGCCACGTCTTGTTATCGAAGGCTATTCGTTAATATTGATATAACGAGCGGCTGAAGCATATGCAACGGGATCCTCGCAACTTACGGATTCTACTTATAATCGATATCTGGGCGCATATTGATTCACGCGATTACTAGTCGCATTTTTTGCCATTTTGTCGTTATCAGAGGCTATTTATTAATATTGATACGAAGATTCGAAAAACGTATGCAAACTGATATTTCCGCTTATCGCTGATATTCGATTGATTAGCGCGCGATTCCACGCGTCGTGGACGGCGCGTTTCGTCATCGGGAAGGATATAGGAAATAATACAACTGCAGGATAGCGTATTGGGATGTAATATATAGCGTATGTGGCGTGCGTCGCGTAATTGCGGTCGACGAAACCAGCTGCCAGCGTCATCGACTTGCCGTCGATTTACGCGCGTTCGGACAACGCGTGTGATTCGCGCCTCACTCTCGCTGTCTATGAACTAACTTTTATTATCGCGGCTGGTACCCCTTATCGCGTTGACGTTATGAGGGGAAATAAAATGATGTTTGCGAAGGCAGATACTTATAATCAACGGATAAGCTTAAGTAGCTTTAAAAAAGTCAGTAATCCCGTAAAATTATCTTTCCACAAGAGATCGGTTGAATTAACGCGATGATGAACGGACCAAACGCGTTTTCGCGTTGAAAGGAATTTCTGGTTTTTCTGGACAAAATTTAGTTCTTAGAAACCAGAAATTCCGCTTTTTTCAAAAAGGTTATACGTGTCGTATTTTCAATGACATACATACATGTAGAGGGAGCCATTTTTTTAAATTTGGTATTTATCAAGCAAAATTATATTCCTATATATTTTACTGCCTAAATAATAAATGTTAATTCGAAACGAAGTTAAGTTGGTAAACACATGTATAAAATATTACAATTATGGGAATTATTTTTTTGTCTTTCTTATTAATGCTATATTTATACACTTATCAGTTGGTCTAATAGAGATGCACAGATAAACTACACTAGAAAAAGATATAAGTGTTTAAATATACATATATGTATATTCGAATATTATTACAAATTTTGAATTTTATACCTATATTTTCAGAACAAAATGTTCAGTAATTCTGAAATTTATGAATTCTGATTAAACTGCTTCTTATCAAATTAATTATCAACTTCTTATCAAACTTCTTATCAAACTAATGCGCTTTATAACCTTCTTGCAGTAAAACGCATTTATTTCGTTCATTGTCATCCCAAGTAGCACATGTTAGTTTTGTATGCGTCTTTTTTAAACGTATGTAATGTTTTGTAATCATATTACGTATTTTTCGAGAACGTATATGAAACTAACTGTGCTACTAGGACATTAATTCAACCGATCCTTCTTTGACAATTCTTCTCCTCGTTCGTTTTTCTCCGTTAATTACGACTGTTGTGTCGATAATTATGATTATTATGCTAGTCACTACACGGAGATTGTCTCTCGGCAGAAATGCAAGGTGAAAAGTACGTCCAGCGTTTTTGGGACACCCTGTATCTTAAGAGCGTTGGAAAAGTTACACTTTAAAAATAGGAACTACATCCGCAACTAAAGCAACGCGAACACTCGGTGTTTGCTGCAGGAAAATATGTTTCATCGCGATATATAATTGTGCGTTGTGTACATTGGTGTGCGTGATAATCGCATCGTCAGTGAAGGCTTCTTTCAGCTTCGAACACAATTGCGTAACAGCCATCGTGCGATTACATTGTGTGAGTGTTGCCTGATTTCCGGAGAGAAAAAATACTCTGATTGTATGCCTATTTCCAAAATTGAAATATTGGCCCTATGTTAACCTTTAATTCTACAATATATTGTATTAAGAGCTAAAATATTAAAATAGGTTCAATTTTAATTCTAGTAATATGTAATATCTTAAATGATATCTTAAATTTCCGTTTTCGCTGTATTTAATGTTAAAATAGGGCGATGAAGGTAGCATTAACATTCAATTTGTAGAATTAAAGGTTTAAAAGAGAAGTTAAAAAGTATCAGTACCATTATAGTTTAGAGGAAGAATTCTGTATGAGCAATAAATAGTACAACATAAATGAACAGATAATCGTCGCAAGAAAAAAAAGAGGAAAAGCCAAGAGTGGAGAAATTTAGAATAAAAAGTGAGGTTAGTACGTAAAATAAGACACATTTGTGCGAACATGTACGTCCAAGCGGATGAAGTGTGTCGTTCTCCTAGATTGGACGAATTTGCGCGGCAAATTAGCGCGGACACGCGATCTCATTATTCCCACCTCTATTTAGCGTCATTTTCACGCGTGTTGCCTTTCACGCCGATCGCGTCACGCCGATCGTTAAATCGCAATTGTGTCTGCTCGCAGGGCGTCAAGAAACCCTTTAAAGAGGTGATCAAGGCCAACGTGGGGGACGCTCATGCGATGGGCCAGCAGCCCATCACGTTCCTGCGGCAGGTGCTGACTCTGACGGTATCCCCGAACCTGCTGGACGACCCTAGCTACCCGGAGGACGCCAAGGAACGCGCGAAAACGGTTCTCCACGGTTGCAAGGGCGGCAGCGTGGGCTCCTACTCGGAGTCCGCTGGCATCGAGTGCATCCGCAAGCATGTCGCGCAGTATATCCAGGAACGTGACGGCATACCATGCGACTATCGCAACATCATCCTGTCGAACGGCGCTTCCGACGGTATCAAGGTGTGCAGATTTGTTGATGCCTCGTTGCTCGCCTCGCTGTTTATGACGATTGGAGGCGGTGTTCATGATCAAATTTTATATTTAAAATCGTCTTTATCTTAAGATGTGACTTTAGGGTGGCCTTAACAAAATGGCTGACTTGTAATTTTAAGATAAAATGTTCCATATCCTAAATCTTTGTCTGAATTATCATTAAAAAAAATTTTTTTTTTTAATTATACAGCGATTTGTCGTCAGTCATGAACAGAACGGCTTTTTAGTTTAAAGGTCTATCCAGGCCTTCTTCCTCTTCAGGCCAAACTTTCACAATTACATATTGCATACGTATAAATCAAATCAGCCAATCATGATCCATACAATAAAAGAATGTCTTCTATATTAGACTGTGAAGCGATAATTCTAGGTGTAGGCGTTGGGGGATTGCGAATTGAAGATAGGAATTTGAGAGCAGAGAGAGTCGAAATTGGAATTGGTCGATTGAAATTTTAATCTCCAATCCAGAACTTTCAACCCCCAACAGCTAGTTTGATATAAGCTTGACATTTATTTAAGCGAGCGAGCGACCGTCTCATTCGTGTCTGCTTCTTCTTCGGGGAGGAGAGAAAAGGATACGTAGAACGAGACGGTCCGGCTCCGCCGAACGAATTCAATGCCTCGTGCGATTCTCAGCTGTCCGACTGGTCCCTTTTTCTTCTTTGCAGTCATTCCTGAAGTTGTTCAACGAGAAGATCAACGGCAAGCCATCCGGTGTGCTGATCCCAATTCCACAGTATCCTCTGTATTCCGCGACGCTCGCAGAGTTCGGCCTCACTCAGATCGGGTATTATCTCAACGAGGAGAACAAGTGGTCCTTGGACCTAGACGAGCTGGAGCGAGCCCTGAACGAGTGCAAGGGAAAATGCAATCCTCGAGTGCTGGTGGTGATAAATCCCGGTAACCCGACCGGGCAGGTACTGACGCGCTCCAACATCGAGAACATCATACGCTTCGCTCATAAGAACCACCTCTTCTTGCTCGCTGACGAGGTCTACCAGGACAACATATACGACAAGGACAGCGCGTTCCATTCCGTCAAGAAGGTGATGACGGAAATGGGCGAGCCATACTCGAAGATGGAGCTCGCGTCCTTCATGTCCATCTCGAAAGGTACGAGTGACGAGGAACGGAATCAGGGACATCGATCATTTCTTACAACTATCTTAACCGAACGAAATTAAAGTTTGCGACCAAACCAAGGTCGCTGATTTGTCGGACTAATCAGAACATTGTTGACAATCGGGAAATTTTGAACTGGTGGGAATGTTAAGTGATTCTCCCGGAGACTTGATTACCGAAACATTTCGTTTGCAGGCTACATGGGCGAGTGCGGGATACGTGGCGGCTACTCCGAGATCATCAATATGGATCCGGCGGCGATGGCGGTGTTGCTGAAGTCGATCTCCGCGATGCTGTGCCCCACCGTCCTCGGCCAGGTCGTGATGGACGTCGTGGTGAACCCACCGCGGCCGAACGAGCCATCGTACCAGCAGTTCCAGAAGGAAAAGGCCCAAACGCTGCGGTCTCTCGCGGAGAGGTCACAGCTCGTCGTTGATACGCTCAACAGTATTCCCGGGTTCAGGGTGAGTCACCTTCGAGAGCTGGGCTCGGTCGAACTCTCTCGGTGTCACGTCGAGTTCTGCTAACGCTCTTCGTCTTTCAGGCGAACCCGGCGATGGGTGCGATGTACGTGTTCCCGCGCTTTCAACTGCCACAGAAGGCGGTCGAGGCGGCCAAAGCGAAGGGCCAAGAGCCGGACATCTTCTACGCGTTTAAACTACTGGAAGCCACCGGCATCTGCGTGATCGCCGGCTCGGGCTTCGGCCAGAAACCCGGCACGTACCACTTTAGAACTACTATCCTGCCGCAGAAGGAGAAAATCAAAACGATGCTCGAGAGCCTGAAGCAGTTCCACGTCAAGTTCCTCGAGGAGTACAGTTAAACCAAACATCCCTAGACTAGTGCTGCCAATTTCGACTATCCGGCTACCCGAATATGCGATTGCTTTCAGATTATATCTGTTTATTGTTTTTGTTAATTTTTTCTGTTGATTTTATTGTTTTTGTTAAACAAACAAAGAACGAATGAAAGTATTATTATTTCAAAATTATAAGATTGAAGGTATTCTCCTAGCCTTTTTTAACATACTAGATACAGACGCTCGTGCTATTTAGCTAAATATTGTTGCACGGAGAAAAATCTCTGTTTACATAGCAAAATAAGCACCTGACTAAAATTCGTTGGTGAGGAGATTACATACTGTCAGGACGCATAACGCTGTGTGCGATGACAGTAGCGAGTCGAAGTAAATGACTCTCGTCGAGATCTCGGAAAAGAGACGAGAGATTTTTATAGCACGCCGTTCTTTTTAAAAGGAAGAAATTGCATGCTTTTTTATAATATTAAATTATATTAATTATAATATTAATATATTAATAAGTTATAATATTAATATATTAACGGCTCCGCACTTTTCGGTTCAAACGCGGGCAGCCTTATTTTAAGCGTTCGTACGCTTTCTACACGTGAAGCAACTTGCGGCTATTCAATTTTGTAGAAAGTACATCAAAGCGAGGTATCTTGGAATGATACGACGAGGTGATACACGGCGATAAAAAAAACGATTTTTTCAGTTATCTGGAATAATATTCGTAAATATAAATACGCTGGTAGCCGAATAGTACCCGGGTAATACCCATGGTTTTGAGTATTCTGGCAGTATTCAGATATGGAAATACCCGGATCATATCGACAGCACTAATCTCGAAGGGAACGAGGATTAGACAGGCGCGAGGGAATTGTACGATAGGGTTTGTGCATACTCACATATGAGGACTAGTCTCTCTCGTTCGAGCACGCGAATGTGTAATATTTTTATTACGGTCAAAACACCCACTGTTGAAGATCATTATTCAGCGGCGTGTTGTTGCGCACCGAACTGTATAGAAATTATAAATTATAATCACACTCTTTCAAATTGTATATGTATAAAATGTAAATCTCACCGGACGACGACGTACAAGAATATGTGTAAATACTAGTGTCTCGAAATTGTTATTGTTATGCCAACGACGGGGTTAATGCGTATAATGGATGGATTGTGGTGGAGCCCACTGCTAATAAAAAGAGAACAGCAAAGAAGATTTTGATCCCCCAGAATTTGCCGAGCGTCTCTTTCGCCAGTGATGCCAGAAGTCTGCCTCGGTAGCGCGCGCGGCAGCGTGTCGGGAAAAAATTATTATATATGATTACATATAATTATATAAGATCATATATGAATTTTGCCTATATACATGGTTACATATATAATCATATATGTCTATACGAAAAACAATGATGATTTGTCATCTAATTAAATGTCGATTTCATGTGCTGTCAGAAGCATTTATTTCAATTGTATTTACATATAATTTGTGAACAACAGTATTTTTTCGTTGCGGACGTATATGATTATACATATAGTCATATATGGATAAATTTCACATATGATTTTTTTCCCCCGGAGTGGAAAAGATGGCTCCCGTGTGTGCGTTCTGGCACCACTGCTTCTGCGACTCCAAACGTTCTCGCGTCGTACGTAGCCGCATGGCGAAAGCAAGCTCCTTATGATACATGTATGTCTTATCGCTAAGCCGCTATTTACAACATCTACAATTTGAATCGAACCGATCAGAGGTCCGCGGCGAGCCTTTCTATCTCATCCACGAAGAACTGCATGTCCGCCTCGGTCACTCCCGAGTTCTGCAGCACGAGCCTGAAGAAGTTGGGCATCTCCCTGAGCGGCTGATATGTCATCAACATCGTCCCAGCGCGCACCATGCGTTCCTTGATCATCGGCGCCACCTGCGACCGTCGTAGCGTTTTGATTAACGACCAGACGAATGATACAATCGAACTTGTGTTTTATCAGACATGAATTTCCGAATCTTTGGGATTCTCAACGCGTAGACTATCGTCTCGTTGATCTGCATAGAGAACATGTGAATACACCAATTTTAAGGGCTGGTTGTTCCACCTCCGGATAAATTTATCTAAATGGATAAATTTACTCCAAGATGGAACAACCGGATCTTTGATATCTGAAGACATCTTAAGGAGGCTCAAGCTTTGAATTTTTCTCTGGATTCTCTGGGTCTCGTGACCGACGCGTTAATTGTTTCATTTCAAGACAGCGCTTGTTATTGAAAAAGTTACCTTGTGCATCGCTTGGTCCAGTTGTGGGCCGGTCAAGTCTCTCATCGACGGCGGCACGTAGCGGAAGCAGACGTTAGTGCACTCCGGCTCGGCGAGCAAGTGCCAGCCATCACGCGTTCTCACGAGGTCCGCGAAGTAGCGCGAAAGCGCGAACACGCGGTCCACGTGCGCCTCGAGACCGCGGGTGCCTTTCGCCTTCCACATATACCAGAATTTGACCACATCCGCCCGTCGACCGCACTGCACATGCCGGTCGCCGCAGTCGTAGGACGCATCATAGAACTTATCGTTCTGGAAGAGATAGCTCGCGCCGCAGCCATGCGCCGATTGCAATAAACCTGCAATTCGTGCCGCCGAGCCGGACTTCGTTAATAAAAAAGAGATTACACAAGAATTGATAAGAAGATCGCAACATCGTGCGATGATTAAATATATTTAAATATGATTAATGATATAATCAAATGATTCAATATATTTAAATTTATAATTGAATATATTTCAATGTATTATTAAATATATTTAAATATATTTAATTATCATATCATGTGAGTATTCTTTTATCAATTATACATATTTAAATTATATTTTAAATACATGTTATTAGAGATAGGAAGAGAGAGAGAAAGAGAGAGAGAGAGAGAGATTTAAATATATTATTTTCTTTCTCTACTTCCACATGTCTGCCGTCGAAGGTTACCGACGTTAAAAACATGGAAAAAAAATGTTGGTTTATTCCAAAATGCTGTATGAGTTTCTTTCATGTTTGCACAACACTTGGTTGTCGGAACTAATAAAGAATTCGTATCAGAACTAGTAAAGAAACGCTTATTTGCTGCCACTTTGGCATACTTTGATAACTATCTACAAAATCCAATAAAGCTAATCGATCATTTTAAAGTTGCCGTCAGTCGAGCATTTTCTGCTTTATCTTGCCAACGCAGGTAGAAATTATGAATTTATCGATTATTTTTGAACTACAAGTTATATAAATGTTGATATTCGTGTTGGCAATTCTTATTATTATTCGTCGATTAACTTAGTTTCGGAGTTTGGTGAGAATCAACCACAATGAGATGTGTAATTAATTAAAATATGTTATTAACTATTGAATTAACCTTCGTGACGGAGCAACAAGGTGGAGCACTGCTGAGGCGCGGCGAGCAGTTTGTGAGGATTCCAGGTGACCGAGTCGGCGAGCTCGACGCCGTCCAAAAGACCGTGATACGTCCTGGAAACGAGAGCACCGCCGCCCCAGGCGGCGTCCACGTGGAACCACAAGCAGTACTTCCTGCACACCTCGGCGATGTCCTTCAGCGGATCGAACGCGCCCATTACAGTGGTACCCGCGGTGCTGGACACCATCAACGGTGTGGCACCCTCCTCGATGGCGCGGACGATCTGCGCCTCTAAGTCGGATACCACCATCTTGCCCTTGGAGTCGACCTTGACCAAGTACACGTTGTCGTAGCCGATACCCTGGAACGCCGCGAGCTTTTTCACGGAGTAATGCGCGTCCTCCGACGTGAAGATCACCAGCCGCGGTATCTGCGACAGTCCGGTCTGCTTTAAGTTCGGATACCTAGGTGAATGGACAAGCAGAGGCGTCTTTAGCTTTGTGGGAATTTCAAGACCTTCGTAAATAATAATTGATGAAAAAAATAATTAACATTTATATGTTAACACCCGGGAGAAAAAGTTTTTCATAATTATACATAATTATACGTAAAATATATTTATGTATAAATAAATAAATAAATATATATATATATATATATGTATATATAACATATAATCATCTCATATATAATTATATATAGTTGTATCTAATTATATATCTACTTATATATTATACATATTATAATTATATATATCTAACTTTATATAGAAAATCTTTTCTCGGGCATGTATTTAATGTTAATATTTTATATATATATTTTATCATTTTATTTATAGTTTTAAAGTTTCGGAAAAAGACCATTTTTTTCTCTATTTTTCCACGGATTGTTTGGTTTTTCGTCCTCTTTACGGAAATAAATAAATGTGGCAGGCTTTAACCAGACACACGTAAATTTTTCTAAACGAACTTTTGTATACTTGGGACAGAAACCGAAGAAATCCGCGGAAAAATAGGGGGCAAGGGAAGGAACAGAGTTTTTAATTCGAAACTTTAAAAACTATAATCTTATTTTTTCTTTTATATATACTTTATATATGTTATGAGATATATATTAACATATCCTGATATAAATTATCTTGTTCTATTTTATTACATATTAACATGTTACACATATTAAATTTTTTCTTTGCAGAACCAATGGACAGTTACCTATAGTGGCGCGCCAGGTTGATGGCGTATCCGTTCGCCATGGAGCCGCCTGGGCAGAAGAGGCCCTCGCCGCCCTGCCAGCCGATTATGCGACGCATCTCCCGCAGCACATCTTCCTCCATGAGAGAAAACACTGGAGACACCTCGTAGGTGTAGACGGACGGGTTGAGAGCGTCGGTGAGCCATTGGCCGAGTAGGCCGTACGGATCCAGGCTGGAGTAGAGCTGATTGACGAAATGCGGATGGCCAGTCTTCACGCTGTACTTGATGACGTTACACGTCAACGTCAGCAGCTCCTCGTGGCTGATGCCTTCGGCTGGCAGCGAGAGGTCGACGACGGAGCGCAGATCCATGGGATTCACCCATTCCACCACCCGCTCCTCGCCGGAAGTAGACTGCCCAAAAAGTCGGTTAGTCAACAAACGGTCAGGTGAGTCAATGCGGTCTCGGTCACGCGGTAGGAACGCGTGTTTCTGCGAAGCCGTAATTCGATCGAGAGCAGCCCCGGGTGCACCGGGGATGACGAAATCAGAATCGTGTCCGAGGAACTCGATCTCGCACGAGCGAGCGAGCGAGCGAGCAAACGCGTTTCTAGCTACCGGTGCCGTTTTTTTTCCCTGTGTCCCTGGTCGAGCACCTGTATAATTTGCGTCTAATTTGCCGGCGCGGAAAATGGCGCATAACAATAATAATAATGAGAGATCGATACTAGCGGTTTATAATAGCCGCGTCATTCGTAACATGATAGTAACTCGATTGCTATACTACACACACCGGCTCACCGCACAAGCGGCGTAATTATGCCGCATTCGTGATGAATGGAATGGCATTAGCGTTAGAAAATGCGATCGTGCGCTAATTAGAATCGTGCGCTGATCGAGATGTGTGCCCACGCAGGAGATATCCTCGGTCCGGGCAATTTGCACAATAATAATGTAAACCCGTACGCGCGAAGTACAAGTAATAAAATATATATATATATATATTTTTTTTTACTTTTACTTCGTTTTTACGGGAAATACGTTTTCGTCGGGGATTCTTTATCCTAGATTATCCCCCGTTCCCCCTAACTTCTTTACATTCTCCTACTTGCGCCACCGAGGATCTCTCTCTTTCTCTCCTCCCTCCCCATCCCCCTCTCTCTCTCTTTCTCTTTCTCGGAGTATTTGACATTAGCGTAACGATGTGTGAATTCAAGGCTCCGTAGGCGCATCGTACGCGTGTGCGGTCTACGCGAAAACGAGGTATTCGTGTGCACTACACCATCTTTGGAGTAATTTTATAGTCACGCGAGATAGAGAAGGACACCATAACAACACTCAACCAGTAAGCAAGAAGTCATTACCACAACTTTGTCACGATGATACTTTATAACACGCAACGTTTTCGAATATGTAGTTCTTAAGGTTATACACGACATCATTGTTAACGGCATTTGATCAAAACATTAAACATAATATTTCTACGGTATGATTTTAATATTTATATAGGAATGTTAATATTTACATAGGAATATATTTATATAAGAATATTATATTATCGAGTAACAATTGAAAAACATTTATCAAATCCATGTTTCAATATTTCGATCAATATTTCGATTTAATGTTTCTCGCTTACCGGGCAATAAACACCAGCTAATATTAACATTGTATTAATGTTATAATTTTTAGTTGGTGTCTACTGAGAATTTTATTATTATTAATTTTATTACTGTGCAGAGTGTCTGACGCAAGTTCCGCCATCACATACTTGTAGTTTAGGTAAATGTCAACAAAAAGGTTTTCTATCATCATTTTGCAAGTGACTAAGCAAAATTTTGAGTTATTAATTAAGGAGCCTCTATACGTGGTCATTTTCAGTAATTAATAACTCGAAATTTTGCATTAATTATTTGCGAAATAGAAGAGAACTTCCCTGCTTTAATCCGTTCTACCTTCACACGAGCATTTGGCCGAGGAGTTTCGGATACTCTGTGTATATTTCTTCTCAGAAAATACTTTTATTTGTAACATAACAAAATATCGAATCGAAAACTCTTTGTGTGTTTATATTTTTTTTTTCATTAAAAATTTTTGCTTTTTAGCAATCCCGAGAATTGACGGGGGGGGGGGGGGTGTGCNCTGTAGTTGCGGGGATCATCGTCAGTAAAAGGAAGACTACCGGAACACTCACCTGGAACACCGCTTGTTGCAACACGATCTCGAAGAAATCCCTGAAGAGCTTCTCGTGAATATCTCGACGAGGTACGCTGCGAAAGTTCCGTTTGTCAGTCAAGCTGCATTCCGGATCGTCGTCGACCGTCACTTCCGGGAGGAGCAGAGACGCGGAGTCCTGCAATCCTCCGGACACCTTTCGCTGAGACGGTGCGGGACTCATTCTTCCGGGCTCTATCCGCTCCAACGTTTCGTTGGAGGTATCTTCGTTGGCGGGCATGGTTTGCGACAGTATGGACCCGCGACAACGACGACGGTTTCCTTTATACGTATTAATTCCCGCGGACCAAGGACGCCTCCCTCCAGCGCGCGCTTTTCCACGTTTGCGACGCGAGCGGCGTTTCGACGATCGGCTCTCCGATGTCTGCTTCTGGAAATACCCGGAAGAACTTCCGGAGATGGTTTTTTCCTCGACCGTCCGGCCGATTCATACACTCGGACGGGCTCTTGAGATTTCTTAGCAGAGCAAAAGAACCGATGGGTGTCTGTGTTCAGAAAGGACAAGAAGGCTAAACGCCGAAGGTGAAGGTACGACTAATATTTGATCGAAAGTCGGTACGTATCACGCGTGCAAAAATTGGACCTTCATCTCGAATTATTCGCAACCTTTTTCTTTCTGTTAAGAATATATAACAAATGAATGGCGAATACCCGCAAAATATTAAACCGAGATAATGTGCTAGATATTCATTTTTCTCTTATGAGACTTTTAAGTTGTCAAGGAGAAAAATATTTAGAATAAAAGATTTCTTCGGTCTTTTTTCAAAAGTTTACAGGTGTCTCTGTGTATAGACTCGAAGAGAATTTTACAATATGACATATATAAGTAATGTAATTTAATGTAATATTTATTATTGTTTTTTTGTTAACACAATAATGAATATAACACAATTTTTAACTGTAACTTCTTAGTTTAATAACCTCTGGTTAATAATAGCGATTCTCGTCTGTCGTGGCAAATAAATCAATGAGAAGTAATTATGCAACGATCGCTCACGATCTCTTACGACCATGACAGGGAAAAGTAGGATCGCGAAGAACCTTCGAGTTGCGTTAAATGTTTCTCGTATATATATATATTTCTCTCTCTGTCTTCTCATCCCAGATAGCACAGAATGATGCATTCTTTGTAGCGTTAAACGTTACTCTCTCGTAAGAACATTTTTACAAAGCTGTCATTTTTTTTTATCATACTTTACGGCGAGAGCTGTAAGACTGTTGCAATAAGGTTTATTCACGACAACCAGGTTACTTACTACTTGCGGTCGAGGCTGCTGCTCGATAGAGCTTAGCTAAAATCGTTCATACGCTTGGATCGGACACTCATTACGGATAAAAACGTAATGAAAGTTCGTTTTGCATTAATTAAAATTCCGACGCTGCGACAAGACTCTACAGCTTCCGCCGCGCGACGTCCGAGAGAAAAAATGCGAACTTTGTGGAAATATTGTTACACAGGAGTAGACCAGACACGCAACATGGAATATTCATGGACCTATCTAACGGTAGCAATAGCGCTTTCGCGTTTTTTTTTGTCAGCGTGCCCGTCCTCGTTCCACGTGCCGCACCGGCAAGGCCACGCGCGATTCAATTATTAGTAAACTTGTAAAAGTCGGTCCGTTGTCGTTATATAGCAGATATTTTATACCGGAGTCTCTCTCTCTCTTTCTCTCTCTTTCTCTCTCTCTCCCCTTCTCCCTCCCTCTCTCACTCCTGTTTACACCCGGGAAAAAAAGGAGCGCCGAGCGAGGTTGTCGCTCGCGGGCGCATAAGAACTCCATTCGCATATTAAGCGCGTGCTGCATTATGTTCACATACTTCACATATATATAGAGTGTGTTGAAAGTGCATGCTGAAATTACCAGATATCTTTGTCAGATTTTTTGGTCGATTCGACATCGAATTCTTTCCTCGATGAAACGCCGACGCGAGATTCGTGATATCTGAATAATCAGCGTTGGCAAAGCCGCTTGCAAGTTAGTGGGAGACGATGAGAAATAGCAAAACCAATATGAAGAAAATTGTTGTAAAATTTTAATTCGAAAGTTGTAATGGGAAAAATGTACATTATTTAGAAATTGTACAGATTTCAATGTAAGTTTCTCTGCTAAGAGAAAGAGAGAGAGAGAGAGAAAGAGAGAGAGAGAGAGAGAGAGAGAATCAAGTAAGCAAAAAATCATTAACGTAACGTTATTACAATAATATTTTATAACAAGTAACATATTCGAATATGTACTTCTTGATGTATACAACGTCATTGTTAACAACATTTGACCCAAACATTAAAATAATATTTCTACACTATAACTTTAATATTTAGGAATATTATATTATCGAGTAACCGTTTAGAAACATTTATAAAATATGTCAAAATGTTTGTAAAATCCATATAAAATCAATGTTTTAAGAAGATTGATTTAAACATTTCTTGCTTACTGGGAATATTATCGGCTGAAAGAGCTGTGACCAAAAGAACATCCAGTAGATTTATAACCGTTACGGTTAGCACTAGTGTACATACACACAAGCCTATCTTTTTACTTATACCTGTTGTGCTACGATTATTATTTCTTTCTTTTCTTTTTTCTTTGTATGTACAGATATATAAATATATTAATATATATTTCATTTGAAATGCGCAATGAGTGCAACGAAGGGAGCAGATCCTTTTTTCTGAGTTCGGGGAGCACGCTTTTAGCATTATTATCATTTTATCAATAGTATATGTTTTCAACAACGACAAGTATATGTTTTCTCATTTCAACTTATTGCACTAGTGGTGCAGCGAAAACGAACAGACCTCTTGTTTCACGTCTAATAAGCGATAAAGATAGGATGGCGCAATAGCGCTGACAAGCGTGGTCCCCGAACGCAGGCTTAATTGAGATCGCTGAGTGAACGTGAGGATAACTCCCATGTGCGAACGCGGGAAACCGCGAGAGAGGAAATAGAACAGGAGAAGAAAAAAGGAGGAAAGTTCGATGCAGCTGTTATAAGCGGCAATTAAGCGGGTAATACCAGATAGCATCGAATTTCCTTTGACATTAGCGGCGCATTTGAAGGAAAATCCACTTTCGACCGATCGCTGATGTCATCATCTGACGTCATTTTTCCTGACTAGCGACCGCTGTCTCGTAGTCATTCAACGCGCAACGTCAATGCGAGGATTTACCCCAGTAAGCAAGAAGCAAGCATCAAATCAATCTTTTGAAACATTGATTTTGCCTGGATTTTATAAAGATTTCGATATAATATTGTATAAGTGTTTTTAAATTATTTCTGGACAATATAATATTCTTGAATATTAAAATCATAGTGTAGATATTATTTTTAATGTATGAGTCAAATATTCTTAACAATGATGTTGTATCAAGAGCTACATGTTTGAAAATGTTATATGTTATAAAACGCCACCGATTTATGTTAACGATTTCCTGTTTTCTGGGATTTGATTGCGAGATAACGGTCTCGATTCGAATCCTCGATATCAAGTTGCTGCAAAGAAATATTCAAATGAGGTAGAAGCCGAAGTGACATTGTAATCATGATTACAATGTCACTTCGGCTTCTACCATACACTTATGTATGAATCGATATCGTTTGTCTTTTATTTTTTTATGAACAGTTCTAAGATCTTTGATTTTATTTAAAGTGGAGTTGTATTGAAAAAACGACAAACCTTCTCGCAACGATTCTGTAGTTTTTCCCTTTAATTCCACTTGATTGTTACAAGTTTGTCTCTCGTCGGGTTTCTCACTACGATCAATCGAGTGTTGTATTACCGAGTATATCGGTGAATCTACAGCCTACAATTTGTAAAATTGCGGATATGTTCTGTAGATAAGAGTAACTATATGCGATTTATGCATGATAAGATAATAATATACGTGACGACACGGAAATTATCGAGAACCGGAAATACGATTGCACATGGAATGGCGCTTGATGAAGAAAAAAGACAAGGTAATCGATTATTCTCACGTTGCGTGCATGCATTTTTTCGACTACTCCTGGGAAAAACTGATTGCCGCTCGGCCCTCGTCACTTCCTTTAACGCGCAATACGCGCCGTAAATTATCTCGCAATACGCGAAAATTAACGAAAGCCCCACTCGATCGTCCGATCGTGCTAATGACAAATAAAGTTTACCAAAATATCGATCATGTAACTTTTCCTTGTGGCGGAAACGTGAAAAGTGAAAATTCTAAATATTTTTAAATTAGTAAATTTGCGTTTCTCACGAGTTCTCGCTAGAAAAGAAGATTTATGGCCTTCTAAAGGTTGATTATGAATTTTCTCTTCTAGCGTGAATTTGTAAAAAGTGTAAATTTTCTAATTAAAAAATTTTTGGAATCTTCACGTTTCCGCTTCAGGGACAAAATTACATGATCGATATTCTGCGATAAGATCTAGTAGCACGAATTGACAAAAATGATTCACACGGGGATTAATCGATTTCGAGGACATCGATTTTCTCCAATCGAACGAGAATCGAATATCGATTTGCCGGTTTTTGAACACCTGAGGGTCGATTGTGTATCTCAAAACGAAATTACAAAAGTTAGCGAATTTATTAAAATATTTATAATTTTATTGATCAACGTCTAATGAATTTGCTCGTTTTTGTAATTTTCATTTCATTTTGTGATGCACATTCGATGCTTTCCGATATTGGTAGAAAGAATTAGAGTGTCTCTAATCAAAGTGATATCTGGCTATAGGTCTGTTCATTTTCGTTGCACCGCTGAACTAGTGCAATAAGTTAAAGTGAGAAAATATATACTTGTCTCGCTTCAACTTATTGCTAGTTCAGCGGTGTTGTGAAAACAAACAGACCTCTTATCACTTATGATCGGTCCGCCATGTTTCATTTGTTCCCGCCAATTTTCCAATTTTATTATTTTATGTACATAAATGTGAATAAATAAATGGTGTATAAACAAAGTATTATATGTTGCACATAAAATATTTTTTATTGCATATGTATTATTACATATACAACATAGTTATGTTTGCATTTAAATATGTAAACGTACGATATTATTAAAAAGAATTATTGCAAAATGGTACACCCAATTATGTTTCTGTTATAATTTTTTCGAAAAATATAAACACAACTTCTAACTGTTAGGCCTAACTTACAAGTTATAGGAGTGTTTATGCTATACATTCTGCACTTAGAATGAATTGGGAGCACATGAAGGACAGTACATATCTCTTTCTCTCTCGCACGATTTCGATGAAATATGGCGGATCCCCCTGTTTGTCGTCACTCTGATTAAAGCATAGAGATATAAGAATAGAGGGAACAAGGGATATATGCTACCTGTAAGTGGAAGTGATAGAGGTCAAGAGAGAGATGGATGCCGAGTGTCCTGTCTCTTTCTAGTCGAGCGCTGTGATTGGTTGTTACAATGAGTCACCAAACGACCACGCGACGTCAGGAGGGGAGAAAGCAGACTAAAATTTCGTTTTGTAAATATGCGTGCACATGTGTGTAGAATTAAAATTCGTTAAATATTCGAACGTTAACAAAATAATAATTGGACGCGATTTGTTTAAAAATGAGGCATTGTTTGAAATGCAAGGCGTCTTATCCTGGATATAATGCGGAGTCTTATCCTGGATATAACCGCAGTTTTCACTCGTAAGAAAGTACAAATACGTAACCTCAAATAATTATATGTTATTTTTTCCTACATTTAAAAAAATATGTAAATGTAGGCTACCGAAGGATGTAGATATAAGGCGTAAATGGTTGAATATACTTCAACTACCTTTGTATTTTGAAGTGAAAACAGCATATATTTGCAGTGATCATTTTAGCAATGACAGTTTCTTTGAATTGGATGGAGAAAAATGTATAGCTATATCGTCGTTGGCGCGGCAGCCAATCCCAGCGCGTGACTAGAAAGAGACAGATAGGACCCTCGGCATCCATCTCTCTCTTTGTCTCTATCACTTCCACTTGCAGGCTTGTTCCCTCTATTCTTATATCTCTATGGAGAAAAATGTATAGCTATATCGTCGTTGGCGCGGCAGCCAATCCCAGCGCGTGAGTAGAAAGAGACAGATAGGACACTCGGCATCCATCTCTCTCTTTGCCTCTATGACTTCCATTTACAGGCTTGTTCCCTCTATTCTTATATCTCTATGGATTAAAGGCTCTCTATTGAGAATCAGCCCGAAGAGACCTCTGGAACCAAAGACGTTGTATAGATAGACCAGGCACGCCAGGCTGAGCGAGTGAAGCGAACAAAGAGAGAGACAGAGAGATAGTTGGAAGAGGTGCTGACTCTTTCTAATGCTATGTGGAGGGGGCACCTCCATTCTCCTCCTTTCCTTCTCCGCACTAGTAGACGAGCGTAGACGTGTGCAGCAATATATGAAGCTCTTTAACTAATGGATTGAGTATTTTTTTTGGTTATATAATTTAATTACCTATGAAAAGAACGATCACTCCGTGGTTCTGCTTCAATGCCGCAAACGCAACGCGAATTAACCATTTTATCTGCTAAAACGAGAACGCCGATATAAAGATTAGGGGTTAGGGTTGGAAAGAAAAGGAGAAGCTGGAGAATGGAGGTGCCCCCTCCACATAGCATTAGAAAGAGTCAGCACCTCTTCCAACTATCTCTCTGTCTCTCTCTTTACTCACTTCACTCGCTCGGCCTGGTGTGCCTGGTCTATCTATACAACGTCTTTGTCTACTACTGAGAGAGAGAGAGAGAGAGAAAAAAAAAGAGAAAACGCGTGTTCTCTGTATAGGTTAGGCATGGCGGCTACCGCGTTGAGATCGACTCGTTATTTTGGTGTTAACATTGTCCACAAGTGATGATTATCGTCCCGTGACCGTTTTACAATGTTCAGATTCCTGAAGACACGCGTTGCCCCGCTGCAGAATGCTTGCGTTATGTCAACGCGATCGACCATCCAGTGTTCGATGCGAGTCTGTTCGTTCTGCAACTATTGCCACTTGAGATCACCGAAACGTACGTAAAAAGCATTGTATTGTTTTGTATTCGCCGAATGATCACGCCATGTGCATCCTAATTCATTAAGTCTGAACCTTCAGCTGAGACATGCGGGGTGACTCTCTTGAAATTACTAAAATATACTGTCAAGGTTACGACATACAATAATGATCTTTTACTTTCATATTACATTTCATAACTGAATATCTCGATGTCAAAGTTTCTAAGTAGCAGCGATAGCGCGATTTGATATTGATCTGACGATAATTTTACACTGCGTGCTTTACGGTGTGTTTATACTTCCGTGATAAATGATTTTGCTTTCAGCAGTCAGAAATACAATGTTTCGTCATTATGCAACAATCAATACAGCTGAGCTGTATACACCGTTAAGAAAGAAGACTAAACAACGCTCGAAGAAGTATGCAGAATTACTGGAAGGTAATTAACCCACAAAAGTATATGTAAATGTAATAAGTGTTCAAACGTGATGTTACATAATTAACTATACAGATATACATATATACATATATATATATATATAGAATATTGAGAAAAATAATAATAGATCGTACTATATATCTTATTAGTAACAAACCAGACGACCAGCAATAAAAAAGCAGCTGTGCAAAAATTGAACTCCGCTCGTATATCTATGTTGGTTGGACAGCCAGACATCACACTGGACAAGCTGCATAAAATCGGTAGTTTGAATCTCGATAAGAAGTTACACACAACGCAAGCAACGGATACCAGTGCTAATTTAAAAAATGAATCGGTATGTACTGTGAATGTAATTTAAATTGAATTAAGGGGATGAATTGTTACAATATGTAATTAAGATTTCGTTAAATTTCGCTATACATAGTGCCTTACGCTGAAATAAACTTAGAATTTTAATCCTAATATTGAATTATCACTATGCAATTTCTCCTTTAGAAATAGAGATGAATCAGATGTAAAACCGATTTGTTAAATTCATAGAACGAGAAGAACGACATGCACTGTATGATACTTGAAGAATCGAAAAATGACTTGGATGATAAATCCGTCGTTGTGGAGGAACTACAGGAATCCGGTATAAATGACAGCACATCTTTGATCAAGGACTCCGCTTTCATGGATGTGTTGCACCAGATCAAACGTGATGATAAAGATGAAAATCAGGATGATTACGACAAGCTTCTACAGCGGGCTTCGAAGAGTGAGAAGGCTTCGGAGTACAGTAAGATCCCCTTCACGAAGGAGAAAGGCCCACTCGAAGTTAACCTCACCGATCATAATTTGATAACTCAATTGCTAGCCCACATAGATGTTAATGCGCAAAATGAAATGCTGAACAGGGGTTTTAAGCTGACGATATCGAAGGGCAGTCAGCTCGGTGAGAGCAGGATTCCCACCACCGCAGTTTACAATCTGCTCATGAAGACCTACGCTTCCAAGTCGCATCTTGCGAAGGTCTCAGAAATATACGATCTGATGAATCAGAACCGCGTGAGACAGGACGCGGAGACGTTCGCGCTCATGTTCCAGGTAATCGGCAGCATGAAGTCACAGGCGAAGCAAGCGGAAGTGGTGGCGCAAATAGTCAAGGACATGAATCGCTGCGACGTCTCCTTCGACGACATAGTGAACGTGTCGCAAACGAAGGCGGAGCATCGCGACGCCGTTTTCCGTTGCATCCATTTGGCGTCCCCGGAATACGAAGCGACGTATCCGAAATTCGACAGCATGTACAACTCGAAGTTGCTGCAGAATTTGAATGTGGGCTGCAACTACCGCAGCCCGGCTGAGGGGGTCATGACTTTGGACGAGCTACGGCAAATCGTCCAAACACAGATCGACACCGAGATGCAGCAAGAACTGGAGGTGAAGAATATCGTTGGATTCAACGGGGACCCGAACCTCAGGCAGCAGGCTGTAAGTTTTTATTATTGTAAAGTTAATTCCGTTTATATTTATACAGGGGTGTCTTTTATCTTCGCAGGATAAGGCGAACCTGTGAATAAGAAGGGGAGTGATAAATTAAAATAGGACACCCTGTATATTACTAATGATGATTTGATCTCGCATCGATGAACCACGTACCGCTTATCTCGCTGTGCAGATCGAGCGAATCGCCGAATGGGAGAAGTCCTGGAAGTTATCTGTGGCGAAGGCTTTCGACAAGAATCTGTCTCACCTGAAGCAAAAGGAGCTGAGAGTGCATCCCGACTTGTCCACCCTCCATCCGTTCCTGCAGGTGTTGCCGCAAGAGGTGTACGTCGAAGCGGTCATACGTGAGATCAAACGTCTGGCCAGGTCCTCCGAGGCGTACAGCTTCTCTCTGTCGTCGGTCTACTTGACGCTAGGCAAGTACATTTATAGGAACTACGAGTTCCTCAAGAAGAAGGAGGCCAGAGTTATGGACAACATCATTCAGATTTACGACAAGTACCTGGAGTGGTACATGAGGCAGAACTCTACCGACGCCGGTGTCAACGGGCGCGTCAAGTGGAAACAGCTCGCTCAGGAAGTCATGAAAGCTGGGCTTTGCCCCGAAATGACCGTCCCCGAGTGGCCCCGCTACATCCTGGTGAACGTCGGCAAGTTCCTGTACAACATCATTGTGAACGACGTGAAGATTCCGTACGGGACGAAGCCGGGCGCGCCCGAGCGGCTGATACCCGCGTTCTACTTGCTCTTCAGAAATCAGCACGTCCACTTGACGGAGGAGATCAAGCCGCATCCTCATTTGCACAGGCTCTTCAGTGAGTCCCATCCGGAAACCTTGACCTTCGACACGGTCCTGTTGCCGACGTGCATCCCGCCACGTCCTTGGATCAACGTGAATACCGGAGGCTTCCTCTTCTCCAAGACCGATTTCGTTCGTGATCCTTATATGGGGGTACGTACGCTGTTCTCGCGTTGTCATTGCTTACTCGCGTCTTAAGAATCCTTTTTCGCTTACCGAGCACGATATGTTCCGAACCAAAAACAGGCGAGCACAATGTACTTCGTGAGGAACACGCTAACGGAGCAGCTCCACCCAGCGTTGGACTGTTTGAATCAGCTCGGCTCGATACCGTGGAGAATTAATCAGCCTGTCCTGGATATCTTGATTCGGGTATGTCCCGACAACGGATTCAATTCGTTTCTTCGAGATAAGAAGGACGGGAGGGGGGTGGGGAAACTATGTGATGTATAGTTGCGGGACAAATAATTGATCATCCTCATGTTCTAACAATATTATCGGTGTTCAGATTTTTAGAGAGGGCGGCTCGGAAGAACTGAACGTGCCTCAATCACCGTCGTCGCTCCCGCCTCTGTCTGAAATGCTGGCGAGCTTGACGGAGAAGGAGAAGAACAAGAATAGGATATCGACGTTGACGATACAGCACAGGCGCAAAAAGAACGAAATGTACTCTCTGTGGTGCGACTGCCTGTACAAATTGTCCCTCGCTAATCACGTGAGTCTACCTATACGACTGTCCGATTTCCGTACAGCTCTATACATGTACAACATGGCCGCTTAACGCGAGGGATCTGTACCGGTGATATTTCGAAGTTGATCCGTTAAGAATATGTTCTTATTGCGCACCAGTTTAGAAACCAGGTGTTCTGGCTGCCGCACAATCTGGACTTCAGAGGCAGAGCATATCCAGTGGCACCTCATTTGACTCACCTTACCTCGGACTTGGGACGTTCGTTTCTCATATTCGCCCAGAAGAAGCCGTTGGGCCCGAAGGGCCTGGATTGGCTGAAAATTCACACGATTAATTTAACTGGTATGAAGAAACGGGAGCCGATAAATAAGCGGCTGGAGTTCGCGAATGAGATATTGGACCTCATCATAGACAGCGCGAGGAATCCTCTGGGGGTAAACGTCACACGCATTTGTATTTTGGTCTTAGTCAACTTGGATGAGTCTAGTCAGTTATCTTCCAAGATTGGCCAAGTATTCTTGTACATGTTCAGCTATAATAACGATTATTTACAATGATCTGCAGGGAGAAAGGTGGTGGACGAAGTCCGACGAGCCGTGGCAGACCCTGGCGGCGTGCAAAGAGATAGATAACGCTCTGCAGTCTCCGAATCCGGCGGAGTACCTCACCGGATTCCCTATTCATCAGGACGGCAGTTGCAACGGGTTGCAGCATTACGCCGCTCTTGGCAGGGATCAGATCGGAGCGGAGAGTGTTAACCTCCATCCTTCGGATATTCCGCAAGATGTGTACAGTGTCGTCGTCGGTATGGTACGTAAAATTGATGTCTAACACATCGTTGAGGTATTCGTTTTTAACTTTCGATTTTAACTTTCATCAAGATAGAATGATTTTACAACGCAGACGGACTGAAGAGCCTTAAAGTACGGAGTAGCTAAAATTAATAATTCTAAAGTATCTTACTTCTTTGAATTCAGTTTATTTATTTATTTATTTATTCAGCAAAATAGTAACATTAATATAAATGATAGGCTATTTACTATTGCATTCATTACTAATAAAAGAGTCTCAGAGCCCCTTCCATCCAGATGAAGGTCAAAGATAATGGTTGGTAAAGATCACACGCTCTTTCAGGTCGACGAATTTCGGAAGCAGGATGCGGAGAATGGTGTTCAGATCGCCCAAATCTTGGAAGGACATATCACCAGGAAGGTTATAAAGCAAACAGTAATGACCACGGTGTACGGTGTGACGAAGTTCGGCGCCAGGCTGCAGATCACCAGACAGCTGAGCGGTCGGTAAAATTGTCAGTGAAGAAAAGAAGAAATAAAATTGCTGATGAAGGAGTAACGCATGACTCACATTTTTTTATCACCCGTGTAGATATGAAGGATTTCCCTCAGGAGCACGTTTGGAACGGCAGCCTGTACTTGGTGCAACAGACATTCAGGGCCCTACAGACTATGTTCACGAGCGCGAAGGAGATCCAGGATTGGTTCACGGATTGCGCCCGCGTCATTTCGATACGGTGCAACCAGTATGTGCAGTGGGTGACACCGTTGGGTCTGCCGGTCCTTCAGCCGTACAACAAGCGCTTCAAGCTGAACGCTAATGTCTCCAAAATTCAAAAGTAAGTACATTAGATGCTCATACTTCCTGCGCTCGCATCTGTCTTTTTTTTTTACTAGGGTTGGACGATAACTTACTGATTCAGTTAAAAGTTAAAAAATCAATAACTCTTAACTTGATCTGATGAAGTTTAAAGTTTGAGCTAACTTTTAACTTGAACCTAGTTACTTTTTATATATTAACTTATTTACTTTCTTTAGTTTAGTTAAAATATTTCATATAACATATAGCCTTGTATAATTAATTTTTAACTTTTCAACTGTTAACTTTAATCAAACTGGTTTCATTTTAATCTAACTCTTTATTGAGGTAGTATTTTATTCATGTAAGTTTTAACGTAAATTCAGTTAATGTATAGCGATTTATTTATAACTTATCCAACTTTGCTTTTTATGTATATATTTTTCTTATTTAATATATCTTTATTTTTCTTATGCAATATTTCTTATCATGTAACGCGAATACTTGGTGTTTGTAGAAAACTAGACACTTTGAAGCAAAAGAACGCCTTTCCGCCGAATTTCATCCACTCGTTGGATTCTTGTCACATGATGTTGACGAGTTTGCATTGCGAGCAGTCGGGCATCACGTTCATGTCGGTGCACGACTGCTTCTGGACACACCCGCAGTCAGTGGAGATTATGAGTAGTGTAAGGATTTACATTAATTCATGAGAAGCTGTGTATTTCTTGAGGCATTTTAGCTAGTCGTAACACAGCGATTTAAATGATATTTTGTTCGCAGATCTGTCGGGAGCAATTTGTCGCGCTTCATTCTGAACCCATTCTCGAGGATTTGTCCAAGTTCTTTCACGACAGATATATGAAATACTTCGTAAACGAAGAGTGAGTCCTCTAGTTTATTTTAATGCTTAGATTGCTTCGAAATTTAAGAATGAGAGAAAGAAAATTCCGCAAAATAGTCGAATTGTAGAACGTAAACAAGCGAAATATTAATCTCTTGATAAAATCACTTATTGAATTTTTAGGATCGTGAAACCAAAGCAGAAGGACTTTTCGTTCGAGATTTTCCAGAAGTTGCCGAAAAAGGGCAACTTCGATATCAACCAAGTCCTGTCGTCTCAGTACTTCTTCAGTTGAGATGCAGCTCTGTTATATCGTTATGTTTTAAAGAAAATACATTTTAAATGAAATGTAGGAAACCGAATGGGAATGTGAATCGCGATCGTGCCAAGACGTTTTTTTTGCACAAAAGAGAGAGAAAGGTAAACTCAACGCCAGAGATACTATCCTATCTTATAAAGTACTGACATCATAGAAAATTTAACATTCTCTCTCAGTGGCGATTATAACATAAAAACTCGCACCTGCGATTCAGACTCTTACCATTCAATCGATATATTTAAGAAACTTTAGATATCTTTTATGTAGAATTATATTTCTAATTACGTTTGTAAACAAATGTAAGAGATCCGTTTAGTCCACAGCTTCGATACGGCGTGTGTATTGGGCAAATAAAACAATTGGCAGAAGGTAGGTTTTTAAAGTGTCAAATGTGTCCTATTTCGAACGTATTATTATGTTGTACATCAATACATTCGTTGTATATTTAAATGTACATATGTTAAGTGCCGTTTAATTGTATATTGTCCAAATTTCGATCGTAAGAACGCGACTTCTACGCGATTCGCGAGGTTGTCGGTAATATAGGGCTCCCTTAACGGTTGCCACGGCAACGTTGTTGTCAATAAACATAACCTATCCATCATTTCACGTCGTTTCGATGTTGACGAACGAAAGAAGTAAATGGGAAGATCATCGAGCAGATAAATGGGCAACTTCGCATTGAAATCATGTTCCGTTGTATGGAGACAGGCAGGAAATAGCGTAACTTGTCGACGATTTTTGCATGATGTTCAGCACAGTAGAAACCACAGTTTCTTCGTACAGTTAGACGACAAATGTAAGTAGCACACGCGAATCGTTAGAAACCATCGCTTGGAACTTTGCATATTTTATCGATTTAATATATATATATATGTCAGAACTTCAGTAATTATTCATTTGTTCGCCAGCTCGGGCAGTATTGAATTATGAAGCTGACGGGAGGGTCTTGTACATGCGATCCGTCGTTGTTCCTGATAAGTACAGGGGTCGAGGCTTAGCGAGACTTTTAGCAGAGGTATCGAAACCATACGCTCAAAATTCTCGAATATTTTGCAAATCCTCTCCTGAGTAATTCTGATGTCTAAAGTGTATTCTTTGTACAGACAGCATTCACATATGCCATAGTGAACAATTATTACATGTATCTGCAATGCGAATACCTGCAGACATATTATCTCACAGTAAAGAATTTTGACTTGGAGAAACACATTGTCGGGCCAAGCGATATCCTGGAGGATCGCAGTTCCCTGCTTTTGGATCTTGATACTGTTCATGAGCTACCGGAACCGAAAAATCTCCAATCCTAATTACAACAAAGTAAGAATTAAAATCCCCGGGTTTCCAGGATTTGAGAACTCAGACGTTTAAGAATTCATGAGTTTAGAGGTCACAATAGACAGGCTTAAGATAAAGCAGTGTGCGAAATAATAGTTTTAGATCCTTTCTACATCCTATTGTGTGTTATTTCAACATCACTTTGAGCAAAAGAGGTCCATAAAACAAGGGAGCGATGGAGGAGACAGAGTACATAGCTCTGGTTGAGTGGTACTGTCGCCAGTACTATTACAACGGGATGTTGACGCAAGCCAAGCAAGCCCGGGAAGCATATCCGAGCAGCGAACAGTTGAAGCTCTTACTGTGCTTGGCTTACGCTCTCGCCGGCAAAAGTCACGAAGCCGTCAAGGAGAGCTCGAGTTTGATGAATCACTCGGATTTCACGCTGGCGACTCTCCACGCGCAGAACGTCGCCTATTCGGTCGACAACAGTACCGAGAGGAGCACCGTGGCTCAGGTGGAGAGTAGGATTCGAGAGGAGCGGAGGAAAGCTTCCTGCAACGCGCTGTGCTTAGCAGCGTCCGTGCTGTTCCTCTCCCGCCGAGCGGACAAGGCGAGGGAGTACACGGACAGAGCGTACAAGCTGAAGCCGACGAGTACGAGCGTGCTTCTCGTCAAAGGATGGACTGAGTCAGGCTCCACGGACGTTTCAGAGACGGAGCGTTTGTTCGACTCGGTCCTAAAGGAAGAGCCCCGGAACCTGAGCGCGTTGTTGGGCCGCGCGGAGACGAAGCAGAGCGCCGGCGACTACTCGGAGGCCATTTCAACGCTCAACTCCCTGATCGTCCGCTACCCCAAGTCACCATTGCCGCTGGTGGAGAAGATGAAGTGCCTCTTGGCCGCGAAGGACTGGGAGCAGGTGCTGGAGACGGTGAACAGGGTGCTGTCGGTTGAGCCGGACAACTTGGACGCCATGAAGGCGAGCTCGGTGGTCGCCCTCTGTAGGGACGGCAACGCCAGCGAGGGTACCCGGCAGTTGCAACTATTCCTGCGTCACCTGCTGCTGGCCGAACCGAGGAACGTGTTCCTGCTGATCGAGAACCTTCGGCTGTTCTCGGGGCTCGCGTTTCAGGACCACGGGATACTCCAGGAACTGGCGCGGGCGGCTGAGAAGACGCTGCAGGCGTCGTCGGGCAGCGCTGAGCTGATGGCGGAGCTCGGGGATCTCTGCGCCGCCCTCGGCAACGTCAAGGACGCCGAGCATTGGTACAGGAGCACCATACGCGCGGACGAATCGTCCTTCGCGGCACTGATGGGCCTGGCCCGCTGCCAGCTGCTGGAGGGCTCGGCGGAGGCCCTGGACTTGGCGCGGCAGCAGGTCGACTTCCTCATGGAGATCCAGCCGCACGCCGTGAACGTGCGGCTGCTGCTCATGTCGGCGAAGATCGCGTCCGGCGGCCATGACGGCGGCAAGACTCTCGTCTACCTGGACGCGGCGGCGAACGTCTTGCTGAAGAACTGCGAGGCTCGTTCGTACGGCTACGAGTACCTGAGGGACCTCAAGCCGGATCTGTGCCTCGAGATCGCGAAGCAACGTCTCATGTACTCCTCGAACAAGTCCCCGACGATGAGCGACGAGGCGACTCACGACACGGAGACGGAGAAGGAGCCGAGCGTCCGTCTGTTGGAGCTGCTCGTGGAGGCCTGCCCGGGCTCCAGCGTCGCGCTCTTGCTGCTGAGCAAGGCGAGGATGCAGGGCGCCGACTACGAGGGCGCGCTGAGCCTGCTCAGGAGACTGCTGGACACGGTGGAGCCGTCGAACGCCCAGGCGCACCTCACGATGGCGCAGATCCTGGCGTATCAGGGCAAGTATCAGTTGGCGTCGCAGAGCCTCGAGGTCGGTCTGAGCTACAACTTCAAGATCAGAGAGGAGCCGGTTTACCACCTGATCGTTGGGATGGTGCAACGAGAGGCCGGCGACCTGGACGGCTGCGTGAAGAGCTGCCAGACGGCCATGTCGTTGGCCAGCAGGAAGTCCGAGATGTCCACGTCGGACCGGGCGACGTTGTACCTGGAACTGATCGCGGCTTACAGCAAGGCGAAGCGTTTCGCTGAGGCGTTGAAGCTCGTCGACGAGGCGAAAACGAGTCTCGCCGGCACCGGTGAGCAAGGAAGAGTCACCATCGGCACCGCTGAGGTGTATCTGGATATGGGCGAGCTGGAGAACGCCATTGGCTGCTTGCAGAGCATCGGCCCGGGGCAGCCGTACTACTTACAGGCGCACACCAGGCTGGCCGAGATCAACTTGAACTACAGGAAGGACCGTCAGGCATTCGCCAAGTGTTTCAGGTACGAACGGTTGCGATCAGGCAAGAGGATTTCAGGACAATATCGTTGTCTGTTATGGTCGCCTTTCAGGGAGCTGGTGGAACACCGTCCTGGCCCGAGGACATATAGCATGCTGGGTAACGCCTACATGTCTATAGAGGAGCCCGAAAGAGCAATAGAGGCGTACGAGCAAGCTCTCTCTCAAAACCCGGCTGACAAGGCGGACATCGCGAATAAAATGGGCAAAGCGCTCATCAAGGCGCATCAGTACGCGAAGGCGATCAGTTACTACAAGGATATAGTGAAACAGGACAATTGCGGCGCGCTGAAGCTGGACCTGGCCAACCTGTACATGAAGATGAAGCAGTACGACAAAGCGGAGGCGACGTTGGTGCAAGAACTGCAAGGTAATCTTTTTATCACAATGAAAGCAAACTGTCGAGATAGTCGCTTTCGTTTTGCTGTGTATCTGATTTCTTCCTCTCTTTGCACAACTTAGACGTAGGATTAAGTCGAAATGGAATAAATTAAAATTGGAATTAAAATTAAACTTAGACAAACGAAGCGACTCGGACATTCTGAGCCTGGAGATGCGGGGGCAGGAGCTATTGCTGCTCGCGAAAGTGCGCGAGAAGTCAGGCAACGTAAGAGGCGCGTTGGCGACGTTGAAGGAAGCCAAGGAGAATCAGCACAGGTATATCCAACGACTGGCGGTCTCGCCGGACGTCGCCGAGCAGAAGCACGTGTTGGCGAACGTCTGCCTGACGATGGCCGATTATGCGACCACCTTGCGCAATTACGACGAGGCTATCGTTTATTACAAAGAGGCCTTGTCTCACAAGCCGACGGACGTGAACGCTCTCCTCTCTTTGGCGAAACTCTACATGCAGATGAACAACTTGGACCGTTGCGCGCAGAACTGCTCGATTCTGCTGAACGCCGAGCCGAATAACGAAGCCGCGTCCGTGATGATGGCCGATCTCGCGTTCAGGAAGGTGGACTTCGACACCGCAGCCTTTCACTTCCGGCAGTTGCTGATACGCCAGCCGACCTATTGGACCGCCCTGGCGCGTCTGATTGAGGTTTCCCGGCGCACCGGTGCCAGGGACGACCTTGATGAGTGGCTGCAACGCGCCCAGACCGCGATGGGCGCTGGGAATGTTGAAGCCGGCTACCACTACTGCGCCGGTCTGCTCGACTGGCGCACCGGCAAACTGAACTCCGCTCTTCGGAACTTCAACTACGCGCGACGCGACCCGGAGTGGGGCCAGCAGGCGATCTACAACATGATCGAGATCTGCCTGGACCCGGACGACGATACCACCCTGTCGAACGAGGCGTTCAACGACGAGGACGTGGAGTACCAGGACTCGAGGACGATGGCTCTGAGAACGGCCTATCGGTTACTCCAGGAACTCAATCCCAAAGGGAGTCCCCACGAGGTGCTGACCCACAAGCTCCTCAGCGACTTCTTCCTGCTGGCCACCAAGCAGAAGTCGAACATCGAGAAGGCTCTGCAGGACTGCACCGCGTTAGCCAGCCAGGACGCCCTCAGGGATCACGTGGGGCCCGCCCTCGGCATGGCTACCGCGCACATCCTGTTGAAGCAAACGCCGCGCGCCAGGAACCACCTTAAGCGCGTCAGCAAGAACGTCTGGACGTTCGAGGACGCCGAGTACTTGGAACGCTGCTGGCTGCTGTTGGCGGACATCTACGTGCAGTCCAGCAAGTACGACTTGGCGAACGAGCTCCTGAAGCGCGTGCTGCAGCACAACGCGACGTGCGTGCGAGCTCACGAGCTGTCAGGTAAACTGCGAGAGTAACGAGTTGTTGGATTATGTTATAATTAAGGTTGGAAGTTATACTGAGATTCATATTTACGTGTATGTTTTATTTATTTATTTGTTTATCTATTTATAAGCGAGAATGGTATACAAAAAGAGAGAACGTAAGACGTTTACAGAGAGTAAGTTAAAGAAAAGAGAAGAAATTTAGATGCGATTAATCAGTAATTATTATAATCGGTTGGTGATGATTTTATTTACTATGTAACACCAAAAGTTCGTGGGAGCAAAGTGCGAATCGTACCGGTTTGTTATTGTCTAGATAATAATCTAGATTGTTAGAGTCCACCTCAGACGATCTGTAAGGGTCTTAGCAGAATAGCTGACTTATCGGTCAGCAACGTTTTGTGTGTTAAGTCTTTATCTTGAGTAACGCATAATAATTGTTGAGCATCAAATTAAAAAGCCACTTTGTTTGTGAATAATGACAAATCGTGTGATAAAAGAAGTGAACAAATGAAAGTTTATATAAAGATATATAAATATAGGGTGTAAAACATTGTCTTAAAATTAAAATTACAAGCCAGCCAATCCGCGGAGATCCTAATTTATTATATCTATGATACCAAGCCACGGACTAAATGTCTCTCTTTCTCTCTCTACTTCCAGGCTACATCGCTGAGAAGGATCAAAATTACCGCGAGGCAGCTGCGAGGTACGCTCAAGCGTGGAAATGCGGCGGGAAGACGAAGCTCTCGATCGGTTACAAGCTTGCTTATTGTTGCCTGAAAGCGAAAGCGTACGCCGACGCAATTGAGGCCTGCAACGAGGTGCTGAGGCAGAGCACGGATTTCCCGAGGATCAGGAAGGACATTCTGGAGAAGTGCATCAATAATCTTCGCACGTGAAGAAGCCGGCTTCGCGCCGCATGGACTTGCGTATTGATCGATCGGTTCGGACTGTTGCGTCGTCGTGCGTCGGATTTGTCTGTCTCCTTTTTCACTGAGAATCTGGCGGACTGAAAAATATAGTGTAACAACTTAGCCCGTAGCTTAGCGCTCGGTAAGACACGCGTGGGAAATAAATAGTAAGTGCACGAAAAAAAGTAAAGTGCAATAAAGTATACGAAATCACGTGAGATCCATGAAGTCTCTTAACGCATGAAGTGAAATCGCAAACGAATGATACAACTGTCGACTCTATTATTATTATTATTATTATTATTATGAACGGTCGTCTGTGACGATCGGTTTAACGTGTGCCTGTCGTTACACGGCAGCCGGAGCATGCAGGGTCCAAACGAGTCGACGGACGAGATTCACAAGTCCAGGTACATGATCCGCGTGGCCGAGACGGCGCCGCACATCGCCAGCGCGCTGGCGATGTACACCACCGCGGCGGTCGTCCCGGACAGGCTGACGATCGTGCCGAGGCAGCAGGACAGCAGGAACTGCGCGAGAAAGACCATGGAGGAGACGATGGCGACGTCGGTACCCAGTCCGCGCACGAAGCCGCCGGTGACCGAGTCCTCCGTGGTTGCGAACGTCGAGGACGCGTGATAGTGCGCCACTAACAGGTAGGGCATGGTGAACAGCGTGGAGTACATGACACCGGCGGTCCATGAGAAGATGATTACGCCGGCCGGGTGCTTCGTCAGGGCCATCAGCAGCATGCCGACGCTGTAGAAGAGCAGCCCGTAGATGTAGACCTGCGGCGAATTTTTTATTTTTCCGCTGTTGAGATGCGACCTCAGAAATCCCAAAGAACTTTTTAATATTTTTGCGAAACTTTTACATTTTTTTTCTTCTCTTTTAGGTCGCGACTATATTATATCCACCGTTTTGAATTTTAAACATGGAAATTCACCAGAGTTGAACAGAGCGATTCCAAGAATCTTTGAGCATTCAATTTTAGAAATATTGAACTATCAGAAATATTAAAATATGCGTTACTACGTTTCCGCTAGTTTGGGCCGCTTTTTGCGAATAAATTTGAATGCAGAGTTAGGTCTGAATTTTACAGTTGAATTGCGCTTACAAATGCAACGTCGCATATATTTATACATGATTAAAATAAAAAGCTCAAATCTAACTGTGAATTCGGATGTAAATATCTCCATATGGGACGAGTTTCAAGTAACGATTATTAAAATACGAACCTTATAGAATCAGATATAAAGATAAGCAGTAAGTAATAAATAATTTCAATAAAATAATCAGAGATCAAGTTAAATCATAAATAATTTTAATAAAATAATCAGAAATTTTGGCAGTATTATTGACACTATCGGGTCTTACTGGCTATTCATTAGAAGGCGAAACGGCGTTCTTACTTTGCGTGCGCGGAAACGCTGAATCAGTCGTTCGATGATCAGAGAGTAGCACGAGCAGGACAACGAATACATGGACATCCCCCAGCAGCCGAAGCGCACCCCTTCCTCGTAAAGTTTCCGCTCGTGTGTGCCCGCAGGTGCCCGTGGATTCCCACTGAACACCGCCTCGCCTACGAAGTCCGTGAAATACAGAGAGTAGCACACGTGTGCCATCCAGCAGAACAGGTTGGTCAAGCACACCTGTGGATCGAGTTCGCGGTCAGAATTACGCAATAATGTTTTCTATTCTACGAAAAAAAAATTAAACTTTAAATCAAGAATGGATAGATGATGAAGAAAGATGTCTCAATTTAAATGCCCCACCTTATATGTAAGCAAGTATATAATCTTAGAAGATTTTTAATCTTGATTTGATCGGATTTGTACCGACGCAAGTATCGCTTGTACTCAACTGAAGACTGAAAATCTCCTAAGAATATTGTAATAATATTTGTTTACGTATGAGAACATCTATCATTGATTTCAGATTATTTTTCTTCCGTGTGAGGATCGCTGGTGTACCTGACGAAGACTACGCGGCATATAAACGATGGACAACAGGTATTCCTTCAGAGTTGCCTTCGGGTTCTCCTCTGCGACTCCGACCGCGCGCGACTGCGAGTCGCCGTCGAAGCCGTAGTTGACGTGGCTGCCGTCGGAGCGATCTTGTTCCTCGGAGTGCACGGAGGACTGCGGTGGCAGCGTATTGAGAGCGAATTCCTTAATTGACAATTCATCCTAGTTTTTAGTGATAATTTGCATTTTTGTTCAAGACTACTCCGTTCTTCATAATTTCATACATTACTGCAAGTCAGGCGACACACCTACTTACTGTTTCTTCCAATGGAAATTTTCGCTACAATTGAATTTGAACAATATCTGAATCTTCATCGTCAAATTATAAGCTTCGTAGCTCATTAGCTAAGAGAGCACCGTCGGTTCCCCTGCGAATGCGTGAACATTTATCCTACCTACCTCCTCCTTCGAGAAGTCACTTGTCTCTTGTTCATCGTAGGTTGTGCCGTTGAGCGTACCATAACTGCATTTCGACGCGCACTCGTCGGGCATGATCTTCTCGCGCTCCTCTTGCTCCGCCTCCAGCTTGGTCTCTTGAATTTTTTCCTAGAGACACCAAGAGAGAATTGATCCGAGTGGTCGCGCGGAAACGAAGCCCCAGAGTAGACAAAACCCACATTAAGCTCGTCAGCTCGATATTGATCCTTCTCCAACACTTCCAAAGGGATTTCCTTGAAGCTCGTGATCGTGCAGAAGACACAGATGACGAAGATGATGGTGATCAAAGTGAAGGTCACATGCAGATGGCCTCCCAGCATGACGCCCAGCGAGGTGGCGTCCCAATTGATGCCGCCCAACCCGTAGCCCATGAAGCCTCCCAAGCCCGCCATTATGGTGAACGTGCTCAGACCTCTCGCATGGTCCTCTGCGGATGTCCTCTCGAGACATCAATATGGGATCGATCGATTCTAATCTTTTACCTCAAGATATTGAGACCAAATGGTTCTTACTCGTCGCAGGTATTACTTACCAGGCACAGTGACGTCCAAGAGGTAAGCTCTCGCCGGGCTCTGACAAGCGTCGGCGTCGAAGTCGAGCAGAACCGTGCCGAGGATAGTGAAGAAGATACCCCAAGTGTGCGAAGAAGCCCTGTCGAGCGTACCGGGCGGTTCCTCCGACTCGAACAACTTGGCCGTGGTGCGATGCCCGAGAGGAATCGTCTCGTTCGTGTCGGACGTTGGGCTGTCGCCGAGCGCGTAGCCGAGGTGCTCGCCGTTTGGAACCAGTATGAGACCTGCGGCGGAGGAGTAGGCTTCGTTGTGTTTTCTTGTACTTCGATTAGCAAGTTATCGGTACGATTTACAGCAGACACTGCGCGAAATCTGCTTCGGCAAATTCGCTAGCCGAACTCGTTCATCTATTATTGAACGACAAAATTTCTCTGATGGAAATATTTTACCGAAGGTATAATGAAAATTCACAGTGCTTTCAGCAAAATATTTCCACCAGGGTTCTAGATCCCTCAACAAGTCTTCGTCGCTCATACATGCCTTGTACTTGCCTATGAAAACGCCCAAGGCCAAAAGAAGGATGAAGGGTCGTCGCCTGCCGTATTTGGCTCTACAACGGTCGCTCATGCTGCCGAAGATGGGCGTCACGAAGAAGCCCACGAGTGGACTCAGTGCCCACACCAGCGTCATGTGCTGGTGATCGACGCCGATCTTCAGCAGCGTCGGCGACACGAAGGCAGTCTCCGCCGCGTACGAGAACTCGATCCCCATCACGGCGGCTGACACACGGACCAGCTCGGCCCGGGTTTTCCTCCTGCATCATGGGACCCGCGTACAGACGGTAGACCATAGAAGATTTCGGGGATGAAACGAACTATCGCGTTACGTAAATTATATATGTATATTTCGATGGAATTTAAAAAAATTAATCAGAGAATTTAGGTTGAATGAGGTCGACAAAATAAAATGAAATTAAATTAATTATATCGCGATAATTAAAGTATAGATGGAGACGTAGATTGAGAAGTGAGAATTGTTTCGAATCATTTAATTAAATTATTTAAATTAATTTCCCCTACTTTTTGCTGCATGTTTCTCGACTTTTATTTTTCTTTTAATTAAAACACCAATTTTACTCCAATGCTATTCCAAATAACGTCAACATTTTATTGTAATTTATTAATCATTTATTTAATAACGGGACAAATCTTTAGTGCATAAGAATGACAATGTAACGCACTCTCTTTCTAATTTCGACCTGTGCACCCGACAGACGGAATCGTTCACCTGTAAATGTGGGAATAATCTTCCAACGTGCGTTCCAACTTGGGCGGCCCCCGCAGTTGATGCCTCAATCCGTCCAGGCCTTGATCCAGATTCAGACCAGTCCTCCACTCCTTCCAGCCGTTCCATCTCTCCTTGATGATGTCGCGAACGCCGTGAATTCTACCCGCGAGCCCTTCGTACTCGTGCAACTTGTCCACCATGGTTGGACTCTTATCTCGCACGATATGGGGTAAACGATATCACGGCCGACCACTTGAACGCCTTGGAATACATTATCGTTCAGGAAGGTAACACCGAGCGGCAAATTTTCTCTTTCTCTCCGTTGTGAGCGATAAATATGAATTGTCCGGGAAATATTAACAGCTACAATCGGCCAAGGATGATCGCGACACAAGTTTCACATCTTATTTCAAATTATTATTTTCATCGGCTGATTTCTCACAACGCGAGTCCAATTCAAGCTGCCACCCGAGTCGCAGAACTTCGCATGAAGCCGATTTATTCCTCCGATTTATTTACTTATTTATTTATTTAATCGGCTTATTTTACAGAGAGATAATAGAATACGGCGCACAAAGAGCTCCTGATCGATGGTCGATTCGGCGGGAGTAGGACGGGTCTCGTTCGCGTGAGTCGACCAGGCCGCGACCCGTGCGATTAACTCTCGCCCGAGGAGGAAGCACGGGCGCGGACGAACGGCGACTGATCGCCGCCGCTCCGCAAGCTCGCTGCGAAAACACGAAAGCTCGAGAAATGCCCGCGCAATCTCGGACAAGTTCTCGCGAGGAGTCCACAGCTCGTGGTCGTTTTCGATCCGCTGAAAATGAGCTTTCCGTGTAGCAAAGCGGGGAAAGCTCATTTCGCCCCTGAGGTCTCCAAATTAATACCGGGGATTATACGTACGTTTCGCGCTACCAGCTCATGTCGTCGAGAATGTAAGGTCGTTATCTCGGTGAGACGCACAATGTCGTCGTTAATGCAATGTAGAAATCGTTGTGTGTGTGAGAGAGAGAGGAGAAAGAAGAAAAAAGGGAGGTACGTTTCATAATTATTCGAAGAATACGATGAATGTGTCGGGAGAAACGATCTTTTAATTGTGACAAAAAGAAAAAAAACACCATGTTCGGTCACCGCCGAAGCTATCGCCGGGACGACGATCATTTTTCCGGTAATCCCAGAAGATTTGTTGAGCTTTTGCTATTGCCTTTTCCTTTCCCGTGGTACGGCTGGAGGTTTACGCGAGCTCCAATAAGGGAGGAACGTTTCCCGGCAATCCGATTACCTGCGTATAACAGTAAATACGCCTCGAAATTGAGTAAATACGAGCATCTATTCCTCGTTCCACTCTACGTCTCCCATCTTTTTCTTTCTCTCGCTATATCCCCTCTCCTCTCCCTCCTTCCTAGTAAGCAAGAAATTTCAAATTAATTTGAACGTTGATTTTATGTGGGCTTGATAAATATTTTGACATGTCTTATAAATGTTCTTAAACTGTTATTTGATAATATGATGTTCCTGAATGTTAAAATCGTAGGATAAAAATATTTTTAACGTTTGATTCAAATATTGTTACCAGAAAAAAGATTTTCTATGAATAATTGATAAAGATATGTAATTATATATGAAGTGGTGATACAGTTATATATGATTATGTATAAATATATATATATATATTAATATATAATTGTATATATATATATAATTATATATAATCACATATAATTATATATTTTTATATATAGACATATTTTATACGTAATTATATATGAACAATTTTTTAACGTGTAATAATGATATTATATACATCATTAAGAACTACATATTTGAAAACGTTTCATGTTATAAAAAATTGTAACAACGTTATGTTAATGATTTTTTGCTTACTGAGCTCTTTCTCTTTCTCTCTTTCCCTCTTCCCCCCCCCCCCCNTGCAATTACAGACAAACAAATTAAAGGGAGTGTGATGAAACGGATAAAGAAACGAGTGAATTTTATAGGGACGGCGGGGTGAGAGATCGATCGATAGAGTTTATCACCCTAATACGCAGCTTCGAGCAAGGCCATTCCCGCAACGAAAGCTCCGACCGCTCTTTGTAAGTCTTCGTGGCCGCTCGACGTTCGGCCGATGTTGGATGCGCGCGAGGCGAAGACGAAAACGCCCCTGGGGACAGAGACGGAGTGTCGACCTCCGGATATTCTCTCAACAACGCCGAGCGTCAGCCGGAGAGCTTAAATCGAAGCCTGGGATCTGCGTGACGCGTCTTTTTTACGACTCGTCGAATATCGAGGCGTGACTTTCGAATCTCTCTAGCAACGATGCGACTTAGAGTGAGCTCTGCTCGCTTAGGTAACTTTGAAATCTTCCTTTAGATTCTCTTAACGCGAAACGAATCTGAAACACACACTCTGACACGCGTTTTGTGTTCTCAGAAGTAACGTACGTCGAATCGACGCGACAAGACACGCGAGCCCATTTCTTCGATGGACGGAGGAAAAGAGAGAGGGAGAGAGAGAAAGAAAGGAAGAGAAACCGATTGAAAAGCCACCCCGCTCTTAAAAGAAGACGCGGATGAGTGCAGGATACAATTTCCTCAGAGGAAATTACGTCTACGGGCTGACGTCAGAGGAACGCTTCGTTAATACGCCGTTATTCTCTTTGCGCTTTTAAAACGCTCGCCGGATCGATATTCATTGTCACCGCATCGTCGCTGTCGGCGGTGGTGCTTAAGGTCCGAGGTAACGTATCGTCAGCGTGCGCAGCGGAATTATGAGCGAAAGAAAAGTATTTTTTTGACGGGATGCCTGCGAGTTTCGGCAAACCGAAATCGGCGGGCTCTGATGGTCCAATGAAAAAAGTCCTCGAAGCCGCCGCCGAGATGTCGACGAGAGGACTTGTCGCAAGCACGTGGCGTATGCGTGCGCGCGCTCAGCTATCTGTCGATTTGGCTGACGATGTAGCAATTAATAATATTTCGCTCGTACCTTATTTGTTCTAATTAAGACATCGCGATATCCCGGGAGGTATCCCGGTACCGGCCAATTGTTCTTGCAGGGTCGGCACGAGAAGATGAGTCCGACGCCTCTTGGACCGTCATCTTCACGAAGGGATTGCTCGAGTAGCCTGGTGACGTCAAATGACGCTTCAATGACGTCCTGATGACCCCTCTAATGTCAATGGCATGTTATTGAGACGTCGTTTGACTTCACCCCGTTACTTGGGTCTCATCTTCGTCAATTACAAAAGCGCGTCGACGGACGAGATCCGTCGTTCTCCTATCGTCCTTCTCATGTTAAAAGGGGATTGACGATCCTCCTCCTTCTTCTTTTCGAAAAAGCACCTCTCCAGTTCCTCTCTTCTCGGGGGAAATCCCAGAAATTTCGTCTTAAGCTCGACGGAACGACGAATTTCGCTCGACGTCCGCGACACAAGCGTCTCATGATCCTTGATTCGGGGCGCGCGTTGCTTATGGCACGAAGAAAACTATCGTCAGCCCTGCGCGCTTTCTTTGTCATTGGCCCATATCCGTCTAAACATCGCGACAGTTAGGGTCGCGGCCACTGAAAGTGCCGAATGGTGGGACTGCTCTCACTGGAAAAGGTCGACGAGGAGCCTGGCCGCGCGGGGAGCCTCTCGGTGTTGACATTTCTAGACCGACCGGTTCGTTTCTTCGGTCTGATTTTTCCCCAGGTGGGTCGTACGTGTTGTTCGCTCGCACGGTGATTCCAATTCGCAAACTCGATCGGCAGCGAGAAGTCGATTGAAGCTTCCAGTAGAGTCGGCGATAGGTCACACATGCCCTGCTCTCTGGGGAAAAAAAAATATTATTCATTTGTATTTACGTGTTATCTCTTTCTTCATCTACAAGAGAGATAAGGAGTTGTTGAATAGTTTCAGAAGGCGGTTTATCTAGCCGGTGTCTACCCTATAATTCTCGGCGTAGACAATAAATATGGGAGATACGCGAAAGACACGGGCGATGTTGAAGACCGGCGATAATTCGAAAGAAACCAATTCACGTCGCGCAGTCGATCGAATCTCGGAGAGACTAATCGCTTTACGGTGCTAACGAAACGAGGTAATCCCATTTTTCTCAGTGACAAAGAGATTTCCCGGCGAGGCTGCAATTGCTTTGTGTACGGTTGTGATCGGCGATCGATCGATCGTATCAGCGCGCGCGCGATTAGCCGGCTTGTCCAGGCCCGAATAAAGAGGGATCGAGCGTTATCGAGCGCAGCCCGTGATCGGTGAAATTTAAACAAATCTCCGATCGGACGATCGTAATCGTATTATGCGTCCACATTTATTTTTGGTCTTCGTACTCGCGATCGAAGGTCGCGCATGACCTGCGTCAACACGTGCGCCGCGTTGAATCCATTGATCCGTTTCTTTTTTTCCTGGCATGGGCTCAAGTATTTCACGTGAAAACACGCTCGAAGGTACCGTAATTCGATGACTGACTGCCTGACTGACTGACGAAGGTGTTAAATGAGGGATGCGCGTCGGAATTTCAATTTAATCGCCGCTCAGATAATTGGCGGCATCACGTCACGGAAATCGCGAAACGCGTGACGTCGGGGAAAAATCTAGCGACTGCTGGGGGGATACACGCGGAAAAATGTCACTCTATTGCTGAGAAAACTGATTACTCTGTTTGTTTTCCTACAGTTTTTAAGTGATGGTTACCTTCGATAAATAATATTTTACCTGATAATAGTCGTACAATACGTCGTTCGTCGCGAATTTGAGAAAAAACTCTCTTTCTTTGTATCACGTCACGTGACAAAAATATTTTGCTAAAATTCTTTCTCGATTGACCTCGTTTCATTATCATTCCGTCAATAATACGTTTTTAGTAAAATTTTCAGTGTAATATTAAAAATAATATTTCTACGCTGCGATTTCAATATTTCGGAATATTACATATCATCAAGTAACAGTTTTTAAAAACGTTTATAAAATATTATACCAAAATGTTTATAAAATCCGCATGAAATCAATGTTTTAATAGATCGATTTAATGTTATACGCTTGCTGGATATGATATATTTGCAGACATAAACTTGGAAAATACTTAAAGCGAGTAGCAATTCACTTGAACGCAGTATGCATTTTTCCGAGATGAGATGAGAAAACGTGCGGCGGGTTTTCAGTTGAAGATTTTGCCAATTTTGCGACGCGATTAGAGAGATTTTTATCTGTACGAAACTTGCGAACCGCTCATCCGCTCGCGTATCTACTTATACAAATATATCTTTTTTTTCCGATCAGTAATGTGAGAGAGCGTTATCGACAATATAAATAACCGCGTTGCGCATCGAGCCAACCCTGTCGCGATTGTTTGACATCGACGGCGAATGTAACGTTCCGCGGGGAACGCGGAACTCGCAATTATTTGCGTCCCGTGAGCGGTAGATGACAACGGTGACAGATCGCTGTTTTCGAACTCGTCTCCTTATCGTACCTCTTTATCGCGGTAAATACTGAGAATTCAAAACACAATTCAATCGTGTAAGTAGTGAAGCCGGGTAAGTAGGCCGCTTCTGACACGCTTCCCTATTGGCCACCGGTGATTGCCAGATAATACTCCGACAAACGTTCTGTATTTGCCAAGGGAAGTGCATAAACAATCTGTGAGAGGCAAAAGATGTCATGCGTTTCACGTGCTCCGGCCTTAAGCGTGATTTCTCGACAATGCAATTACGTTATCGCCGAACGTCATATGCATGCAGGGTGTTTTCGATTTTTCTTTTGCGGATAAACCGCGAGAGAGTCGCTTTTAACCGAATGTCCCGATAGCGATCTTCTCGCTGACTTGAGGCTAACTGACTGACTGATTGATTTCCCCTTGAAGACGGTAATGTCGAGGTAGTTTCTCAGTAATTCACGTTTGAACATAAAGGAAATTATATTCTCGATCACGTTTTCTCGTGGACTCTTCACTATGCAATTTTACCATATCCGATGAACACTAACTTATTTCAATATTATAATTCCTTACTTAACAAATTAGAATATCGATATAATGTTACTCTTAGCTGGTGGGAAAATTTTAATTGAGACGGCAATTAAAGGGACGTTCAATATAATTTTGTGGCACTCCATTTTTACGCATACCTTTTGTCGGCTATTTCTCTCACTTTTGCCGGTATATTTTCTATTTTATGCACTTTATTGTTGTTATTTCATAAGATGTTATCTCATAACACCGCCAGGAATGGTTTCCTTTCCGCGACACGGCATATTTTCGATTTCACAGTTACTCACCGCCGCTTTTTCTCGATCGACTTGGTTGATTTCTCATGTCGCAACATCAGGTCGCGATATACCTATGCTTATCGTAAATCTTAGATACAATACGCTCTGATGGGTATCGCTCATTCTTCGCGTTTACGGATCGATGGCATCTTCTATTTTTATCCGTACGAGGAATTATTTTCACGCAATTTCGGGATCTACGGACGGGCTCCGTCGCTGACGACGGAGGGGTGAACTACGTTCGCGTGGTCGCGCGTTCCTCCGTCTGTAATTAAATCAAATAAGTAATACGTCTTTCTCTCTTTCTCTCTCTCTCTTTCTTTCTTTCTTTCTCTCTTTTTCTGATCATCCCCGCATTGCAGAGCGATGAATTCAGCGGGGCGAATTGAACGGATGAGAGCGAAAGGACAATTTGTCGCTTTGACAAGTGTCGGGCGGCAATAATTCTCGATGTGGAGGACTCATTAACGTAGAAATTCGACATACACACCGCGCCGACATCCGCGTAATCTTTCTCGCGGTAAGGTGGTATCTTATCGCAATATGAAATTCAGACATACATACTAATTAATGACGTAATAAAATCGTCACATTGTGTGACATAATTCTATGAAAATATTCGTTATCACGTGAAATTGCGATGAAATAATGATGATCAAACAAGCCAGGCTCGCACCCGACATCCGTGTGCGCTCCGATCGTAAATAACGAGCTCGCGCATCGCAATCGCGTTTTCGCAGTAGTTTGCATGTACGATTGACATACACGTGTACACCCGCGGCTGTGGTATGTCCTTATCGGGAATTGACAATAAGATTTTGCAGGAGAGTAAGAGAAATGAAGAAGCGAGATATAACAGAGCGAGAGAGCGAAAGAGAGAGAGAGAGAGAGAGAGAGAGAGAAACACACACACACCGACCGACGAAATAATTAATTAATCGTTACACATTGATTAGCGTCTCTCGGCGCTTGTTTGTCGTTCTTGAAAGTGCCGAAGCTTTCTACAAACATATTTGACCCCTACTTTTCAGAAGAACCATCTCTCTCTCTCTCTCTCTCTCTTTCTTATCGCGGCTCGAGCAGACTACCGGAAGCCACCGGTATGTCAAGGTGTACAATCATGGCCCCTGATCACTCGCTCAATCGCGATCGCGCGAGTAACAGCTACCTCTCTGGAGCCGAGCAAAGCCGAAAGTCGCCTTTTGCAGAAGCAGCCACGAGGAATCGCACGGTCACGTCGTCGATCCGTTCACAAATCGTCACGTCCTCGGCAGCAATCAAGCAGGGCTGGACTTCGCGACAGCGACGCCGACTAGGATACCACCGGGTGTTCACCAATGAATGCGGGGCGTCGCCCTCAGGGACAATACCGTGGCACCAGCAGCACCAGGAAACGACACTGCGGCGGCACGTCGAGGGAGAACCTGCGACCAGCGAACACCTTCAGGACGTCGAGCGACTTGAGCGGCGACCATGGGTGAGTTGGATCGCTTCTGCGATGATTCCGGAATGATTTTTCAATCGCCTTATCGTAGCATCTCATTACACGATATTTCGGAGAGCTTTGACTTTTAATGAAAGGAATTTAAGCAACGTTATTCTATAATTTTTCTTCATTGACCGAACCTTTGTTGTCTCCGTAGGACTCGACTTCCTGGCAGACGGAGGTGCCGATTTCGAGCATGCAATCACCATAACAGGTAAACGTATTCCGCAAGAAGAAATCACCGAAATCACCTGCAGAGTCCCCCGATGTCCAAGTGTCGATTGATTAAAACGGATCCAAGATAGCCTCCGAAGGCATGCTGAGGTGCTTTTTACGTGTCGCTCTCCGAAAGCTAGAGTGAATCGAAATGCATATCAGGCATCTGGATTGCGATCTAAATTACGAATCTAAATTTAATCTGTGCCACTCGCACTCGATGACTCACGTCTCCCGATATATTGACGATATATTGACGCTAATAATCCTGGCTATTAGGTTTTGGGAAATTCCATTATATGCTGCTGACGATCTGCGGGTTGATCTACATGGACACGGCCATCGGCGTGACGATACTTTCGTTCGTCCTCCCGGCGGCACAATGCGACCTAGAGATGGACTCCAGCGCGAAGGGCTGGCTGACGGCCTCCCCGATGCTAGGTAAGTCTGAGCCGCCCGTCTGAAAATAATCACCCTCTCCTTGTGACTTGGATTACGACATTTTCGGTCGCCCGTCATTGCCAGGTATGGTGATTGGGTCGTATATATGGGGATGCCTGGCTGACACGAAGGGTAGGAAGATCGTATTAATAGCTACTCTGCTGATGGACGGCATCGTGGGCATCTTGTCATCGTTCGTCCAATACTTTTGGGTGTTCCTGCTCTTCCGGTTCTTCAACGGCTTCGCGTAAGTGAGCCCCGATATATGCGGGGTATCCCGCAAGTGGCAACCTTAATTTTTCCGATGAACCCTTCCATCAACACGGGATCGATTCTTCTTTTCGAGGAAATTTTCAACATGCGTGTGCACTCATATATATAAATCTCATATATAAATTAAAAGTTATGTTAAGATAAAATTCACGCAAAATTGACCGAAAATATGATTTATTCTGTTTTTTTTAAATCTCAATCATGAAAAGCTCTTCGTTTTTATCCGTCTATAAGCGTCTTGGAAATCTCGAAAAATCGACTCCTGATTCTCTAGAGATAGAATCATCTATCGTTAGAATTATAATACATACCCAGTAAGCAAGAGATATTGAATCAATCTTTTGAAACATCGATTCCGTGTGAATTTCATAAACATTTAGACATGATATTTTATAAGTTTTTTTAAACTGTTATTTGGTAATGTAATATTCTTAAATATTAAAATCATAGTGTAGGAATACTATTTTTAATATTTGGGTGAAATATTGTTAATTATGACATTGTGTATGCAACATTAAAAATTATATATTTGAAACATCATTGCAATAACGTTGTGTTAATGATTTCTTGCTTGCTGGGTACTTACGTGCGTGGAAACAATTTCTGTGAGAAAATTGAATATTAACAAAATGGTTAAATGGTAACGAAATTCAAATCGACCTTTCGATTGTTGCACAGTGTGACCGGCGCTATGGGTATCTGCTTCCCGTATCTCGGCGAGTTCCAACCAACGAAATACCGCGAACGTTGTCTCTGTTGGATGGAGATGTTCTGGACGGTCGGTGTGATAGTCTTACCACGTGAGTTACTATTACATCCGTGTCCTTTACACTTGGTCTTGCGAGATTCGAGATTCGGATGAATTTCTAATAAATCAAATCGTTCCCAGTCATCGCCTGGCTGATCATACCGCTGAACTTCATGTACGTGAGCAACATGTTCTACTTCAAGACCTGGAATCTTTTCGTGGCGCTCTGCGCCCTGCCGTCGCTCATGCTCGGCCTTTGGCTGTTCGCCTTCCCGGAGAGCCCGAAGTTTCTTCTGGAGTGCGGCGAGACCGAGGCTGCCCTCGAGGTGTTCAAGTGGATCTACTCGCAAAACACCGGCGCTGATCCCGATACGTATCCGGTAAGTCCTGATCTACAATTAAACCCTTCAGTTTCTTGTCCTGAGCGCTAAATTGTAATATAATTTCCAGAGTCGGGTAATAACTAGTTACTCAGTTACAAAATTAATAACTTTTAACACATATATATATATATAATACTTTGCATAATTAACGCATTACATTTTATTGCTCAAAACAAAAGGCTAAAGTTTACTACATCCATTGTAGACCCGGATTAAAGCTTGTTGAAATCGCGTCGTCAAATCTACGTCGAAGCGCGAGGAACGGAGTTTCTTTCTCCCTTTATTTCTCCTCCAATTTCATTGACGCTGCTTCTTTTCTTCTCAGGTGAAATGTCTGCAAGAAAAGACAAAGGACAAAAGCACTAGGTCGTTAAAACTGCACAAACGGAAGGACCTTAAGGTCCTCTTCGCGGAGATACGGGATCTGACGAGCGCGCTCTGCAAGCCGCCCTATTTACGCAACACTGTGCTCGCCTGCGCCATCCAGTTCGGACTTACCAGCAGCTACTACACTCTGATGGTCTGGTTCCCGGAATTGTTTACCAGGTGATTTCCGCCGCCGCCTCGCGTATTCACATTGCGCCTCGTCTTCAGGATGCCCAGCTAATACCAGCCAACAGTAACACAACATCAATGTTATAATTTCCCACTCAACAATGTAAATGTGCAAATATAACACGTGTGTTATGTAACAGTTATATTGTTGAATGAGGAATTATAACATTAATGTGTTATGTTGCCGTTAATTGATGCTTGCTAGATGGTCTCTATGACTGAATTTAAACTGTAACTCTTGACACATCTGTCTCACGTTGATTTCTCCTACTCCCGCTCCTCCTAACTACTTGCAATTCCGACAGGTTCGAAGAGTTCGAGCTTGTGAATCCGGGCGAGACCACGTCGGTATGTATCGTGTCCGCCTTGTCAAACAACGCCACCCTCGTCGATCCTTACGGCTGTGATATGACGATAGCACCGTCCGTTTATTTGCACACCGTGTACATCGGGCTCGCGTGTATCCCCGGTTCCATCATCCTGCCCCTCTTCGTGCACAAATTGGGAGCAAAGTTCTTCCTCAGTAAGTGTTGAAATTAGATGAACGCAGAGCGGTTCCAGTAAGGATGATATGCTCTTCCATGGTTTTGTGACAAATAATTTTCATTCTTAAAAAAAAATAGTATCCAGAAAACATGATTATTAATTAATATCATTAAAATAATATATAAAATCGGTATTAATATTTTAATTAATATGTCCCGGGGAGGAAATTTCTTATATATAATTATATACGATTATATCTATTTATATGGACAATTTTTTCCCGGGACTTTTATGTATTTGTTGGAGTAGATTTAAGGATGATCTAGATCTAAGGATGAATTCTTCATGCGTGCGATATTCACACGTATTATGATATATTTTCAGTCGTGTCGCTGGTAGTCTCGGGTGCGGTGACAGTGGGTTTTTATTATGTGGTGAACTCGACGCAGAACCTGTGGCTCTCGTGCGTGTTCGAGGCGCTCACGTCCCTCGGGATCTCTCTAGTTTATTGCGTGATCGTCGACATGTTCCCGACGAATCTCAGGTGAGCGAATCAGGGTTTCTCGATTCGAAATTTACCGCGCGACCAATCGACTCGTTGCCGCGAGCTCATATCGGAGAATCCGTTTCATTCGAACTGCTGGAAGCATTCGTGAATCTCACGATACCCGTGTTTCAGGGTGATGGCCGCGGCCTTATCGTTGACGATGGGTCGCCTGGGAGCCTTGGTCGGCAACCTGGTGTTCGGTTATCTGATCGACTTGGCCTGCGTAATTCCTATCGTGCTGTTCGCCGCGTTTCTGTTCGGTAAGCCTCCGTCTGGCTACGTCATTCGTCAGCCTGTTGATTCTTGCAAATTTCGAATAACTGATTTCGCATTTTCAGCGTGTGGTTTCATGTCGTTCCTGTTACCAAGAACTGGAAAAGAAACGTTGGAGTAACGGGAAAAAGGAGGAGAAGAAAAAGAGGCCATTCCGCTTTCCTTCGTTCAAACAACGTTCGGTGAAACCTGCACTTGGATCACTCATCGTTATATTTATTAATAAAGAATCTATTTGTAAAAACTGGCTAGACCATTTGCGTGTCTTATCCTACGATAAACATACGGACGTTAATCTAACTCGAACCACCAGTGGTTTATAATTAGATAATAAGATCGAGCCGATTCTGCTAACATCAGGATTGGTAGTCGTCACGGTCTGTCATCATCGTTTACGTCATGGTCGGTATCATCGTATCGAGGGAAAATAAAAAGAGTAGAGATAATCGTGATTTATATATACATAAAACTAAAACTCTCCACAATTATAACTTTGAATTCGTAAACCGGAGTTAATTGACTGAGGCATAGAAAGATATATATCGCGTTTTATCTCGTAACTTGACTTCGCTTCGAGCGGTATTTCATTCGAGATATGACGAATCGTCGAGTTTATAATGATTCGTTACGTGATGTTTTTCGCAGATACATCACTTCACCATCGTTGGTCTCGTCGGGGGAACCCGCCGTTACGCGTCTCTTCGCTTTCCACCCCGACTTTCGAAAGAGAGCGCGCGAGCTTCGTCGGTCAATCGGACATTCGCGCGACATATTTGCGCACGGGAATTGGTAGCCACCAATTGCAGCATCCGTGACGGGATCGTCGAGCCAGGGTGATCCAGGGATCGAGGGAAATAGCAGGAACGGTGCCTTAGGGAGTCTCGGTGTGTTTATATCGTAGAGGTGTCAACGTGCGCGGCATCGATGATACTCCGCAAGGATGACGTAACCTGACGAGAAAAGACGCGGCCGATTCCCGCGCCAGTGAGCCGTCTCAGCTCGAGCAGCCTATTTTCAGGTTATGTCCGTCGTGATGTCAGATCTCTGCAGGCACGTCGCAGCCGCCGCCCGTCGTTGAAGACTCCACGGAGCCCTGTAAATCGTCCCACTTGGCAGTTATATTTCGCGGCGCGTTATCGTTGTACGCGACTTCGTTTAGCGTTGTAGTGACACAGAGTCGAACTGGCACGTCGTTGTACTTGTTATTGCACTTGTGTACTTTGCATATTCTTATCTAATGCAAATTTAAACTGGCAAGTTATATTATTATTCGGCATTATTCGGCAAATTGTAGCACAAACATTGGGTAGAGCCTCGGATACTGTGATGAGAACACAGCAAGACAACACATTTAAAATCAGGTCATAAGGTGTCTTTAAAGCATCTTGAATATATATTTAAGACATCTTCCTATAAGATGTCTTAAATACATATTCAAGACGTCTTGTGATCCGATTTTAGACGTGTTGTCTCAGTAACGTCGTCCAAACAATTTCTGAAGTTGCATGTGGCAATAATCTTCTATAGTCAATAGACTAGTGGGCTGAAACCTGTTGATTTAGTATCGATCTACTAACAAATTAATCTACCAGTCAATAAATGAACCTTAGTGTTACTACATACTTGAGTACGTATCCATGTATACTACTCCTATGTTTAGAATTATCTTTAAGTAGTAAACAACCATCAATATTCAAAAATTTATATCGTGTTCTTACTCTCTTTACTTTCCTTGTGACATATCTTTTTGTTGGCTCTACTGCTTGTTTCGTTCAACAGTTCATATATTTGCTTATTCTCAGAACTTATTTATTATTTATCTTCTTTCAGATTATCTGTAACTGATATATTTCAGATTATTTGGAACTGATACAATAAGTCTAATGTTATCTGTATCAATTCCATATTTATTTCAGAAGTTGCAGAAGGAAAGTAGTTACATTTATACTGTGGAATTATTGGAATCTTATCGAAGGAAAGTAAGAAGTGAAACTTCAAAATGGTGTTCGAGTCAATCGTTGCGGAGCTCCTCAATAAGGTGCTCGGCGAGTACATTGAAAACTTGGATTATTCACAGCTGAAACTTAGCCTCTGGGGAGGTAAGAAACTACTCAAGATGATTCTACACTTGTATTAGTAATTTGATCCAACATAAAGATTCTTTTGTTTCCAGGCGATGTTGTGTTAAAGGATTTGTTAATAAAGGAGTCTGCATTGGACGTGTTAGATCTTCCAGTAAGATTGGAATATGGCCGTCTAGGTATTAAAACATTATACTATATGTAACAATGTTATCTCAATATGATAATATATGATATGATATGTAAATTGTATAATGCTATTTATATATTTTTATTATTATAATTTCTATAATTTATATGAAATATTATGTATTTTATAGGCAAATTGATACTAAAGATTCCATTCAAAGATATGTGGAACGGCCAGATAGACGCGATAGTTGAGGAACTGTTCGTACTGGTAGTGCCTACGAGTCAAGTTTCGTACAATGAAGAAAAAGAGATCAAAGCACAATTAGAAGCCAAATGGGCGGAGCTCGCGAGAGTGGAGAAGAGAAAACAACTAGCGGACTTAAAGTGTAAGTGTTTCTTTTTTCCGGAAACTTGTGTAATATAGATCGTTGAATTTTTTCGTTTACGCTGTGATGCACTTAGCATGCCTGGAACTATCATTCGATGAATTTCCGTGAAACTGTGTAGCGCAAGAGAAACTGGACGACTCGATGGTCGAGAAGCTGATCGCTCGCATGATCAAGAACATTCACGTGGAGATCAAGAGGATCCACGTGCGATACGAGGACCACGTCACCTTCAAGAATCATCCGTTCTCCGTCGGCTTCACCTTGAATACCTTCGTCCTGGAGAGTTGCACGGACTCCTGGGAGACCACCGGCAATCTCAAAGACATGTACGCCATCCCACAGATCTACAAGCTGTGCGGCCTTGACGGGCTAGCCGTCTACCTGAACACGAGCGTCGAGCAGTACAGCAAAAGCTCGCATTCGTCGTATCCCGGTCTCTTCTGCGACGGCATCGCCACCATGGATTACACACCGGCCGATTATCAATATCTACTGGGGCCGATCAACGTGAACTCCAAGCTCAGGCTCAATCCCAAACCGGAGTCCGACGGCAGCAACTACACGATCCCCAAGGTGTGGTTGGACCTGGAGATGCTGAAGTTGCGAATCGGCCTAACCAAGCGCCAATATCAGACTTTAGTGCGGCTGGGCGAAGGCCTCGACCAGGCGCAAAAGGCCGCTCCGTACCGCAAGTACCGACCTAATCTGATGTCCTACAAGAGCCACTACAAAGAGTGGTGGCGTTTCGCGTACACTTGCGTGCTGGAGGAGACCGTGAGGCGGTGCCGTCGTAACTGGAACTGGAACCACATGAAGCAGCACCGCGACACCTGTCGCGACTACGCCCGGGCCTACCAAACGAAGCTGACGATGAAAAAGCTGACGAAAGATATCGAAGAGCAGTTGAAGCACTGCGAGTCGAAGCTCGACATCTTCAACCTGGTGATCATCCGGCAGCAGATCGAGATGGAGGTGGAGCGGCTGGCGGAGAAGGAGAAGAGCCTGCGTGCGAAGCGGGGTTGGTTCGGCTTCCTGTGGACTAGCTCGCAGGCTGAGGAGACGAAGGAGCTGAACTCGGCAGCCGCCATCATGCGCAGGTTCGAAGAGGCGATGACGCCACAGGAGAAGGAGAAGTTGTACCGGGCGATCGATTATCAGGAGAACAGCGCACCCGCGCATTACCCGGAGGCCTACGAGATGATCGACACGCGTTTCTTCCTGCACGGTCTACAGATCTCCCTGGTGGACACGGACAGGGAGCACTCGTGTATTCTGGACCTGCAGCTGCACGACGTGCGAGCGGGCTTCAGGTCGCGGCCGTCGGCCAACGCCATCCTCGTGACCGCCTCCATCAGCGACATGAAGCTGTTGGGCGCGATGCAGGACGGCCGCGTGCCTTCGCTCTTCATCTCGAAGCACGGTAGCTCCGACGACAGCTCTCTGCTGTCGGTCTCGTACGAGAAGAACCCGCTGGACAAACTGTGCGGCCACCGGGTGATCGTCAACTCCAGATCGGTCGACATCGTGTACGACGCGCAGACGATAATCGAGCTGGTCAACATGTTCAAGGTGCAGGACTCGTCGACGCTGAGCCAACTGCAGACGGCCGCTGCGGAGCAGCTGGAGGGCTTGAAGGAGATGTCGGCGCTCGGACTGGAGTATGCCATAGAGAAGCATTCCGTGCTGGACATACAGGTGGACATGGAAGCCTCGCAGCTGCTCATACCGCACGGTGGCCTCTACGACGATTCGAAGGCGCTGATCGTCGTCAACCTGGGCAGCCTGAAGATGCACTCTCTGGAGAAAGGCAAGGACGACATGACCGGCGCCAGCGTGAAGCAGCTGGTCAGCATGGGCAAGAGCGAGCAAGATATATTGCTGCATTTGAGGGAACACAGCTACGACAAGTTCGTCTTGGAGATAGTCAACTTCCAGGTGTTGGTCTCACTGCCGGACGAGGAGTGGCGGACAGCGTTAGCGTGCAGCGAGAGCTCCCTGACGTTGCTGCATCCGACGACGTTGGAGATCCAGTTCCATAAGTGCCTGGTGACGGACGACCCGCTGCTGCCTAAGCTCAGGCTCCTCGGCCGCCTGCCGTCGGTGACCGTGAACATAGCGGACGTTCGCCTGCTGCAGGCGCTCTGCATCGTGCAGAGCATCCGCTTGCCCGAGGAGGAGAAGCCTCCGGCGGAGTTGCAACGCACTTCGCTCTCCAAGTCCGTCTCTCAGTTGTCCCTGAGAGAACTCACTACCGGTATCATCGCCGAGAAGAAGAAGCACGAGGCGGCCCTGCCGATGAAGCAGACCACCGACCTGGAGATGAAGTTCGAGATGAGTGAGTTCACGCTGTCCATGTGCAGGCAAAACGAGGCTGTGACGTCGGAGTTCGTTAGGTTCCAGGTGCTGCAGCTGGAAGCGGAAATGCTGCAGCGCACGTACGACCAGGAGGTGCTGCTGAGGCTTGGTGGCGTGCAGATGAAGCAACGGCACGGGGACCAGGAGATCTTCATGATCAACACCCCGATGTCGGCCGGCAAGGACGAGTACCTGATCGTCGTGCGTTACGTGAACGTGAACAAACGCTCGCCCGAGTTCACCACCCGGCACGGCTCGGTCGTGAAGCTGCTTCAGCTGGAATTCACCTCGCTGGACACTCTGCTGCACCAGGAGGCGCTCATCGAGCTGCTGAGGTTTGGCACGTACATTCAGGACCAGATGAACTCCTTGTCCGCGACGACTTCCCCGAAGAAGGAGGTGCGCGCGACCCGACCGACCAATTTGACCGTCATTCCGGAAGAGACGTCTGGTTTCCTGAAGGAACAGCTGCAGAAACAGAGGCTGTGGCCTGCCGGTCGACGTAAACGAAGCACGGTCGAATGCATCGACCTGAAGGTGAGCGCCAAGATCGGCTCGATCAACCTGAAGATCTCCAGCTCCGCCAGGGACATCACCGCGCTGTACGTCGAGAGGATCAGCGCCGGCTTCCTCAGCAAGTCTTCCTACTCGCAAGTGAACGTCGACCTGGCCTCCGTTAGCGTCAAGGATCTCAACCCCAGCTGCGCTTACAAGGATATCGTGGCGGTGGAAGGCACGGAGTCCTTGCAGGTCCGAATGGTCATGTACAATATCGAGCAATGGGAAGTGGACAAGAACAACATGTCCGTCAGGGTAGTGATGGGCTGCCATCGGATCGTGTTCTTAAACGCCTTCGTCTCGGGCGTGATGAACTTCTTGAACAACTTCCAAGCGGCGCAGAAGGCCATCAGGGACGCATCAGCGGCGGCGGCGGAGGCGGCGAAGACGAACATCAAGGACGTGCAAGAGAGCGCCTCTCGCATCGAGCTGGACATCAAGATCAAAGCGCCGGTCGTTTACGTGCCGATGAATTCTAAGAGCGAGCACAGCCTGATGCTGGACATGGGCAATCTCAAGATATGCAACGTCTTCAAGAAGCTCGAGGTGTCCAACGAGGAGTCCGGCGAATGTCCCATAGTCGACGAGATGAGGATCGAGCTGCAGAACTTGAAGTTGTCGCGAGTCCGGCTGAACATGAAGGAATTCGTGAGCGAGAACGAGGTGCTGCTGCTCGAGCCGGTGACTTTCACGCTGCTGATGAAGCGCAACTTGTCGACCGCCTGGTTCACCTCCATCCCGGACATCGAGATGTCCGGCAGGTTGAACAGGATCAATCTGTTGCTGAGCAAAGAGGATTACGCGACGATCCTGAAGGTAGTGGAGCAGAACCTGAGCGAGACCTTCGAAGAAGACGCGAAAGTCGCGCAACCCGCGCTACCGGCGATCAAGCCCGAGCAAGGCGGGGAGATTCAGCCGGCGTACCGTTATGAGGCGGACGCCTCCAGAGAGCCTCGGACGACGGACACGCAGCAGTTGCACGCGCACACATCGGTCAAGTTCGAGTTCATCATGGACAGCCTGGTGATCAATCTGTACACCGGCGGCTCCAAACTGCTGCAGTCGCAGAGTTCGCCGTTGCACCTGCCGGAGAACGGGTTGGCCCGGTTCAGCCTAACCCACTTCGCCGTGAAGGGCCGGGTGTTCGCTGACGGCCTCCTGGCCACGTCGATCTTACTGATGAACTGCACGCTGGACGACACGAGGCAGAACAGGGAGGGCTCGCTTGTGCGGATCATGGAGAGAACTAGCGTGTTGCCGAGCGGCGAGGACCTCGACAAGGAGGCTAAATACACAACCAGGAGCATGCTGGACGTGACAGTGCGCCAAGGCCCGAACGACATATTCGCCGATGTCCGTGTGTTCTCTTTCAGCATCATCGTGTCCCTCGACTACCTCATGAAGATCAAGGACTTCTTCGACGTAGACACCGCCAACAAAAGCACCGCCGTCGCGCAGCCCGTGTCGAAGAAGAAGCAGCAGCAGCCGTCGCAGCAAGCTGCTCCGAGCCCCAAGATGTTGACTGTGTACCTACACGTGGAGAAGCCGGATATCATCCTGCTCGAGGACATGGACGACATCAACTCGAACTGCATAGTGCTGAACACGGAACTGCTGCTGAAGGTGCGCATTATGGGCGAACATCAGGTGATCAGCGGCACCGTTAAGGATCTCTCCCTGTTGACAGGGATATATAATCCAACCAAGAGAGCTGATTGGATCTATCAGGTATATCTATCGGGTATCTTTATTTTGTAAAAAATTTTACGGTATTTGAGTCTGATTATGCGCCTAAAACTGAGTTTAAAGTTTAAATTTTAAATTCTATATATCGTGTAACTTTTCTGATTTTCAAAATTCAAATTTTACTCTTCGTCAACTTTTATCATCAAGTTAGTGTTTTTAATCTTTTAGAGGAATGGTATAATAGATAAACAATTTTGAGGCTGACTCGCTATTTTCATACTTTTTTAAGAATGAAATTCACTTTTTTCGCTATTTTTGACAAACTACTTTTGTTAAACTGCTCGTGTGTCTACAATACTTTTCATTATTCTTGCTTTGTGCATTAAATTAACAATAACAATATTAGCATTTTTAATATTACACTTGAACTATCAATCGAGATTTCTAATTCTAGTATTTCTAGTATTAAATTTTTTCTAGTATTTCCTATATTTGTTAATTGCCAGTATTTATTGCCAGTTATTTATTGCGTAGGTGTTGAAACCTTGTAGCATCAGCGTGGCCGGTTCCACGCCCGAGGGCAAAGGGCTCCACTTGGATATTAGTTGTACGGATATTCACATCTCCGTTTCGCCAGGTAACTCTTACCTGAAAGTTCTGAGTTGATCGATGATATTCACGTAAACGATAATTTGCAGGTGTAATTGAGATATTGAACAAGGTCATTCATATGGTGACGAAAAAGGAGGAGGAGGACAAGGAAGTCGTTAAGCCTGAGCCGAGTTACGAGGGACTGTGGATCATCACGCCTTTCGAGGAGAACGATTACTGGTTCCTGAAAACAGGTTGCATAAGTTGTTTGATGATAATCAGTCATTCAACAATCATTTAACAATTTACGTCGTAAAGCGTTATCATAATCATTACCAGCATGCAGCACTTTTTCTAATTATTGATTTGGAAACCGACTTGTTAAGATTCCCTTCTCTCATGTAGAAGTCGCAACAGAAGCTCTCGAGGAATTCACGTACTCAGACGACGTAACGGTTTATAAGCCCGAATTGGCGCTCGTCTCAGCACCGACGATCTTGCTGACTCTCGAGGCGGGTGTCGGCAACAAGACTCTGCCCATGCTGTTGCTCTATGTAGGCTTCCAGAGTAACGTCAACGATTGGAGCACGAAAACCGTGAGGAGGACTGACTATTTAGAAACGTCTGTTAATGTTGTTATTATTTATTACTTCAATTACTCGTTGCAGATGAGCATGGACTGTACCATGTCTGTGGTCATGGAGTACTACAACAGCCGGCTCGCGTTGTGGGAGCCGTTGATCGAGCCGATAGAGAGCTGCATTAACGGCAAGCGCGTGTCCACGTCGTGGGAGTTAAAAACCAAGGTGAGCCAAATTAGCGACGGATACGCGCTAATTAACAGGGCGTTTTACGTTAATCGACGACGATTGCCGCCAGGTTCAATTCAACGATATATTACTGGACTCCAGAGGTGCCAGCGCGACCAGCCCCACCTCGGACAGCGAGTTGGACGAGCTGCATCAGTCTACCAAGATGTCCGTTGACATCACGTCCACTGTAAGTGTGAAGTTTACCGTAAAATTCGTCGGAAAGAAGTCTATGGGTTCTTAATTAATTTTTTTTTCGTTCGGAGCAGGACAATCTGGAAATAACGGTGACGAAGACGTGTCTGGACGTACTGAAGCAGCTCGGCCAGGCGTTCTCCTCGGCCATGGACGCCAGTAGAAAGGGACCGGCGAGGAAAGTGGCGCCGTTTCTACTGAAGAACGAGACTGGCCTAGGGATGATACTGGATCTGGACCACAGTCCTTTCAAGGTTGTAATGAGGAATTTTAGAAATTCCCATTCGCGATCATCCATCTTCATATTTAATAGATCGTTTATACTGAAAAACGATACAGGCTTGGAGATGATACTCGATCTGGACCACCGTTACCTCAAGGTTGTAACGAGCAATCTCACATTAAATCTTTTTATTCTAAATCCACATGATCTTCTAAATTCTTAACTTCGCGTTTCACCCATGCCATCACTTTGACGCGATCAACATATTAACCATTCGATTCGTGAATGCGGGACCAGTGTCCCTAATACGGTAATGATTTACAGATTTTCGATGACGGGTCGAGAATGATAAGGAACGACAGCGATTCGTACATGGAAGTGATCCTCGAGACCGGGGCGTCGATCGAGCTCGCGCCGAAAACTACCAAGTCGGACACGCGTCTTCTTGAGCAATTGAAGGGGGAGACTGTGAAGGACAGGGAGAGCAACAAGTTTTCTGTTTCCGTAAATTGCATACAAATTTAGCCTATTGTGACAACTGTTTAATTATGATCATCGATAACACAAGGGAACTCGATAGTTTAAAGGTATCCAAGGCAAATTGGCGATACCTGTGCTAAGGGCGGACAAGAGGTTCTTCTCGTTGAAGCATCGCAAGGAGGGCTCCGAGGAGTGGGGCATTGTGTCGGATGTCGTCGTGGAGGAGGGCAGTACGATCGTCACTCTTCGAAGTATTCTTCAGGTAAGCGGCAGGTAGGAGAATAATCATCGTCTGTAGCGATCGGTAGCTTCGACGTGTCTCTTGCGTCTTGTAGGTTCACAATCACTTCGTGCAGCCGATATCAGTTTACTACATGACGAAACGCGGCAACGAGGTGGAGTGCGTAGGCACAGTGGCGCCGGACGAGAAGCTCAACCTACCCCTGGACGCCGTTTACACCCCCACGAACATCTACTGGCTGTTCTTCAGCGTCGACGGGTATGTCTGCACTCTTCTTTGAATTTTCTTCACATTTCGGCTGTTGTACAAAAGTATTTTTTTTGTAATACTTTTGTAAATAATAAATAACTAAATAACAATCTCATGGATAAAATAAAAAATAATTTGAAACTTACAAATAAAATAATCTCATGAAGTGTAAAATAAACAAAATGTGAAGTGTCTGCTTATAAAATATTCACGATAGAACTTCGATATGCGAAAACTTTTCGATGATTACTTCTCATTTCAGATACATGGTATCAGTAGAACCGTTCGTCTGGAAGGACCTGCAGAAAACGGTTTCGATGACGAAGCTGTTGAAATGCGAATCTCGGTCCAAGCAAGATACCACAGAACCGTTTTACATTCAGGTAACGTTTTGCTGGTATGCGACAAGATATTCTCACCAGTTAGTCATTGTGATTAGCCGTTGAAATTAGAACCAATTCAATAAACAGAGTTGCGTGTCCGTTTACAGGCTGTGGGCGAGATCGAGCAGGTGTATTTCGAGAATACCACTCGCCACACTATGGCCAGCACTATCTATAATGTACACTTGTACCCGTCCGTGTACCTGAAGAACTTCTTGCCGATCGACATCATTATCTGCCTGCCTGGCACCGCGCAGGAGAGCCTGCTTGAAGCTAGTGCCTCTCTGCAGATTCCTACGATTGACCCATCCAAATCACATATAATCATTAAGGTGAAACATCTGTTAACAAATCCAAGTCTTCATTTTGTATGAACTTACCTTTCCAAACTTTTCTTATAATTGACAACTAATTTTATCGTTCAGTTCCACTTTATTTTCTCACAGCACATTTAGCTAATCTGAACAAAATTCATCTTCAGGATTGATTTTACCAAGTACAGATCATTCAGAATACATGTGTGTTCGTGTTGTGTAGCTACCTAATTACTTGGAGAAAGATTGGTCGTGCAGAGTTGAGATCCTGGCAAATCCACCGGAATTTGCAGTCTGGTCGTTCGAGTCCTTTGACAGCGCACAGAAAGTAATCTTGGATCTTGGGATGCATACGTCCCACAAGCACGGCTCGATTATCATGGCGCTCTACTGCCCCTTCTGGATGCTGAACAAGACCGGCTTGATGCTGTCGTATAGGGTACGTTCGTCCAGCAATCCGATCCTTCGTCACGTTCGGTAACTTCGACTTTTCGCGTATTCCTACTTATCATGGTCTTACCGGTGGTCATGTTTGCGGGGAGAAATTTGTCTCGAGATTTCCGAAACTTGCATTCTCTCTCTCTCTCTCTCTCTCTCTCTCTCTCTCTCTCTCTCTCTCTCTCGATTCAACCTTTTCAGGATATTTCTTCGCCGGAAATATCTCGAACATAGTCAGAGATCCCTTATCGATGCACATTTCTCTTGCGTCCGTCCGTTGCGTTAATGTACGTCTCCCCAACCAATTATAATTGTACCCCTCCCCCCCCCCCTCCTCTCGTGACCTTTGTACCGTTTCATCGATGTCTCGCTAACTAACCACTACTAAGCGCATTTGGCCCCGACCAGTATTCTGTATTGAACATGCTCCGTTATTTTCCAGAAATCAAGTAAAGGTGGCAAAGAGCACTCGAGTCCAATCAAGGTAGAGATCTAAGAGAATCTTCCTCTTCTATCGTGGCGCATTATTTTGTGCTTCGTGTAGATAGTCGATCGATATTATTATTCGCAAAAAAAATCCAGGAGGAGGAGGTCGGGATCGCTTCGTTCTATCCTGGTTTCTAAATCACGAATCGATGAATTATTATTATTTGTTGTTATATGCCTATGAATCCTTTGCGAATGTCCAAGCTGAATCATGGCGTATGAAAATGTACTGTACTGGGGCACGTGTCTTTCAGAAATTCGTTTCCGCTATGAAACCACGTCGACAACGCGCACAGTACAGGAGGAGGAATACGCGCGCGGTGATGCAACGTTTTTTATTTAATATTATCTCGCTGTTCTCGTGGTTGTGTACGCAATTACTCGATTATTTGTGAGATAACCATTGTGCCTCTAGTCTAACCGTGCCGCGAGAGACTGACTAACCGCTCCGCAGCTCTGTTAGATTATCAGTTGGTGTCGACTTTAACGCGCCGACCTTAATAACCGCACTTTCATGCAAAAGTTGCTCGAAATGTCAATCGCATTTCCTCACACTTATTACTGTAATACACGCTGGCTATTGGATGCTTCCCATTCAGTGACGCAATTCGATACAAGCATCCCCCGATGGAGATATTTTGTTGAAATATTTTCTCAATTGATCTCATTTTATTGATATAGTTTTCAGTTTAATTCAGTAAGTTTCGTAATATCATATTTCAGACATTTTTTTCAAAATTATACTTTAATTTTCATTATATTCACATATTGTTGAAATGTACTGAACTTAACTGAAAACTGGGAACATTGACGGAATGATAGTGAATAATAGTGAAATAGGGCCAGTTGAGAGAGAATTTCAGTGAAATTTTCAGCTCCATGGTATTTCCATCAGGATCATCTTATCTTTGTCACTTGTTATATACGAAACAGAGACAAGATGATGTTTGCACCGACTTGTGCCACTAAATGGAAAGCATCCATTGTCATGTACGCTTCGCCATGGTCGATTTTTTGTGCATTGTCATACTTTACTCGGTTCGTTGACTCCGTATATGTTGACTCACTCTTAGACCAGCGAGATCCTCGAATTCCTGACGTTTGCGTTTTTAGATCTATCCCAGATGTAAAAGCGTATCCCAGCGTATCATAATTCGAAGAACGACGAAGCTTCTGTAACGACTCGTGCGTAACCACGAATTCACCTGTTGACACATTAACTGCATGACGCTCCGAGAAAGTTTAGCTCAGTCGACGTACCGTGATGGCAGAATTTCACTCTGAACCCGATCCCTTTCAGACCACGGACGATCACCTGAACGTTCTCTATCATCCGGAGCACTTCAAGGGGCCCATTCTCTTCTCGTTCCGCTCCAAAGTTTTCTTCGGCAAGAAGAAGGCCATGATCAGGGTGGAGGATGGCGAGTGGTCCGACAAGTTCTCCATCGATGTCGCCGGCAGCGAGGGTGTGGTAGCCTGCAAGTACAACGGAATGACATACCAGGTTGTTGCCCCGTCTTGATAGTCTTTTATCGCCTTCACAACCAGTGTCGTGTATTTTCAACAGACAGGTTCAAAGGGTGGAATTAACACTCGTCTCTGTTGCAGATCGGAGTGCACAATCAGCTGACGTATAACTCGTTGACCAAGCAGATCACATTTACGCCATACTACATTCTCATCAACAACGCGGACTTCCTCATAGAATGCCAGGAGGGCGACCGACCAGCCGACCCAATGATCAAGGTATTTTAAGAAGAAATATCAGCAGCATATTTACTATTGTGGTCTCAGCAGGCATAGAAACGATTCACTTCTCCTCACTTATTTAGAAACACTTTTTCTCATTTTTTCTTACTCGATTTGAGCCTTCAAAAAAAAATTCACAAGAAATCGTGTTCAATAACGTGCTTCTTCAAAAACAAAACTAAAGATTCCAATTTTGCTCTCCATTGACTTTCACCAGGTCGGTATTTTTAATCCTTCAGAGGAATAATAGATAAAACAAATTAATTTTTAACGTAGATTATTTGGAAGATTCATTTTTTTTTAAAGCTGACTCACTATTTTCTTACTTTTTCAAAAATGAAACTCATTTTTCTCATTATTTTTGACAGCTAAACTGCTCCCACGCCTGTCTTAGATACACACCAGACTACAAGAGATATTACATCTCAGATATTTAATCGAAATTCTCTGTAATATTAATATAATATCATTACACAATATCAAATGTATCCATGAAGGTACTTCCCGGCGAATGCGCAGCCTTGTGGCCTCGTAGCGAGCAAGAGAATAAGACTATGAAGGCGAAGGTCTCGGGTCAACCTGAGAAAACTGCCGCTTTCGTTTACACAGACAGCCACACGACTCTGTTAAAACTGGACAATAAGGTAACGCAAGACACATCCGTCTTTGTTACTGTAATTAGAAATAATTATCCGAATTAACCGATACATAAACTATTTATATAAATTCTTTCGAGTACGAAATATTCGACTGCGACAATAATAAAAATCGAATGTTCCCTCGAGTCAAATAATATTGTTTTTGTTCTGCAGTATGGAGGGATCAACGTGGACGTACAGATTAACGAGGGCGGCGTTTACATTTCCATGTCGGCTTACACTCCAGGCAACGCGCCGGCTTTAATTATGAACCATACATCGTACACTATCAATGTCTGGGAGAAGAGTTCGATCAACGTCAGGTACGTGTAAAGTGCGCATCGGTTTAGTCGTTCGAGATTGACAGCACGAATATGAATTCTTCAATATTCGTTGCATTTATTCGATACACGAGTATACCGATCGAAAGAACGTTTGCACATCGGCAGGTCTGTGCAGTCGTTCAACAGGATGTTTTACACCTGGGAAAATCCAGCGGGCCCACGGAAGATAGTCTGGGAAGACAACAATTGTAAAGAAATCGAAGACAATTTGAGAAAGGTAAGCCCGGGGGGTGGGGGGGGGGCAAAGGAAGAAGCGTTAGCGAAGTGCAATCCGTAAACGAGAGCGGTTTGCTCCTTCTCTTCCAGGATAACCTCGGTGCCTTCCAACTGCCGGACATAAACGAGGAGATATTCTACGTGTCGTTCTTGGATGGCACGCAGCGAGTGCTTCTGTTCACGACCGCTCTGAAGATCGCCGAGGACTGCCAACTGGCCGGCGATCTGGAGATTATCGATCAAGAAATCACGATGAACATTCACGGTATCGGCTTCTCCCTCGTGAACAACATCACCAAGTCCGAATTGTTGTACATGTGTATCGCCAGGTGAGCGTAGTCTCCAATATTAAGCGGTTAAATCCAGCGTGTATCTTCAATAAAACCAAACTTGAACTCTTCTGGTTATATATGTCGCCGCATATTAAAATTAATGTTCCGTAACTTTTTGCACACAATATATGTCGAAGGATTAATTGTATTCTCTATCGTGATCTAGCTCTGGAATTATATGGGAGACGTGTAAGAACGTGGGCGGTCGATGGCGAGCGTTAAACGCCAAGGAGGTTAACGCCATCGAGGAAGGCTATCAACACTACCTGAAGGAACTGCAAATCAATCAGGAGGCGGATTATCGAATTATGTTGGAGCCGAAACTAATGGTAAAGCGAAATGCTCTGATCTTCGTTTTCTCCTCTCCGTTTTAAGGAGGTTGTAAGGCTCAATGACGCATCTCAAGGGTGCCACTCATAAATTTAATATTCGTCAAGCAAAATTAAACGTTCCTATATATTTATTTCTCTACCTAAATAATAAATGTTAATTTGGAACGAAGAGATAATCATATATATATATACATATATACATATATATANTATATATATATATATATATATACAATATTATATATATAATACAAAAATATTTCTTATTTTTCTTATTAATGCTATATTTATGCACAAGTTAATAGAAATACACAGATAATAGAAAGAGATATATAAATGCTTAAATATGTGCATATATATACGTATTTCAAATATTACTATAAATTATGAATTTTACATCACTGTATCTTCCAAACAAAGTAATTAAAAAATCTGAAATTTGTGTATAATGTATGCGTACTAGTTTTTAATATTACAGTAATTTTTCATGAAAGTCTTATTTTTAGTTTAAAAGATGTTGAAAATAGAAGTGGAAAATGGCAAACCTCAAGAATTAGCATAGAATTTTGGTTACAAATAATTTACAGTTTTTGGCTGGTCAATTTCTTTCGAATTGTACAAGTAATTAGATAATATTCCAGTGTACACGTAGTGCAAGGTTCATCGAATCTTGTCAAATTCATTTCGCACATCACCTTCTCCTTGCTTTCTTATCGTTCACTTCTTCATGCCTCTGACTACTTGATTTTGCTTGTGTGTTTCCAGGTGGATTACTTGCACATGGAGATGCTGAGGCCACACCGCAGGTATATACGACGTACCTTCCAGACTGGCCTCTGGCTGCAATATCGCACCTCGGCGCACCAGGTCCAAATGCACGCGAAGATCAATCGTCTTCAGATCGACAATCAACTGTCGGAGTGCGTCTTTCCGATCATACTGGCACCGGTGCCGCCGCCAAAGAGCGTCACGCAGAGCACAGGTTGCATATTCGTTGAAACGATGAAACTTCCCTCGTGTCCTGAGGACGGTTAATAACACTCATTTCTGTCCGTAGTAATGAAACCGTTCGCCGAGCTCAGTATAGTCAAGCGGCTATTGGAGCACAGCAACGTGCAACAATTCCGCTATTTCAAAGTGCTCATACAAGAGTTTCACATCAAGGTAGACATCGTCTTCATAAACGCGATAATGGGTCTCTTCGAGGCGAATGAAGTGAACGACGCGGAAGAAGTAAGTAGCGAAATAATGCTCAAGATTGAGATGCAACTCGAGGCTCCTCTTTCTTCGCCGTAAAAAGCCATCTTGATTAATGACGTTAGAAGTGAGAAAATGAATCAAAATTCTTATTTAATTCTTGTCGACTTGAGTACGTCGAAACAAAAAGATACGTCCGTAAAATGATGCTTGTTATCAATTGAGCACATTTATAAGATATTTCCGGAAGCTTTTCGTGTTACGTATTTGGCATCGTTATATTCCTAAAACTTGTATGTATACATGAATAACACAAATATGTAATTAATTTGCATTAACTATGAATTATAAGCAAAAGATTGATCAAAATATATAGAATTTGGCTTCTTTTTTTTCTTATATCTCAAAAACTATTTGACATATTAAAAATGTTTTATATAAACATTTTATAACAAACACATTTCTGTTTAACAGCGTTAGCAACATTTTGAAAAAAAATAATTGTTTAAAAAAATCCGCTGCATTTTGTTTTCTTAAATTTTGACTTCAGATTTGTAATCGGCGACTCCAAAACCGCTATATACCAAAATTTAGCAAAATATGTTCAACGGGAAAATTTGTGCGACAAAAAACGATGTTAAAATCGCAATTATCAATAACCAATAACTCGCATCTTCGGATATCAAACGATGACGATTCGTTAATTTTCTTCCTGTCACTTCACTGTGCCCATTCGTTTCAGAGCGCGTTATTCCGAAGTGACATGGAACTAGTTAACGAGCCGCTGATGTACCACGTCAGCCTGATCACCACGGCCGAGCAGAAGAACTTCTTCGACTTGTTACACTTCTCGCCACTCAAGGTCCGTCGCGTTTCAATCACTCACCGCTATTCGTTTCGCAATTAACTTGAGCTTTCTCTTCTCACTTACAGATACACATCAGTTTCTCCATGACCGGCAGCGGTGGTGGACCCTCGGCGTTGCCGCAAGTACTTAACGTGTTGTTGCAAGGGATCGGCGTGACGCTGACAGATATCAACGACATCGTCTTCAAGTAATTGGCCCTTCAAGTTGCACTTATCGGCTCGCCCAAAAATTCCCTCTTGTGTGTTCCACAAGAGTTCTCTGTCTTCGCGTCCCGGAGACGAAATTCGTGTTCTAAGATTTCTTCGATTCTGAGACGTCTAAGTTGTTTCCATTGTGCACAGGTTGGCGTACTTTGAGAGGAGCTATGTGTTCATGACTCACAAGCAACTCTCCTCCGAAGCGACCACGCATTACGCGGGCCAGGCGATCAAGCAGGCCTATGTACTTGTGCTGGGACTTGACGTTATCGGCAATCCCTACGGACTCGTCGTAGGAACGATGAAGGGTATCGAAGACCTGTTTTACGAGCCTTTTCAAGGAGCCATACAGGGCCCAGGGGAGTTTGCGGAGGGTCTGTATCTCGGGGTGCGCAGCATGCTGGGTCACACCGTCGGCGGAATGGCAGGCGCTGTATCGAAGATCACAGGAGCTATGGGTGCGTTTCTATAATTCTCATCCTGACGCGTCAAGTAATCTTTTTTTGATAACGTGTACGATGACAATCGACTCCTTTCACTTATTAACTTATTCAACATTTTGTTATTTGAATTTTTATAGGCAAGGGTATCGCTGCTCTGACGTTCGACAAGGATTACCAACGCAAGAGGCAAGAGCAGCTCAACAAGCAACCCGCCAATTTGCAGGAAGGTATCGTGCGAAGCGGAAAGGGCTTAGTGATGGTAAATACCCGAATTAATTAACCTGCCAATTTAAATCTATTTAGTAGTAGTAAGATTATATATTATTCATTTTGTACGGCAGGGTGTAGTCGATGGTGTGACCGGTGTGGTGATGAAGCCTATATCAGGAGCGAAAGAGGAAGGGGTGGAAGGATTCTTCAAAGGTTTCGGGAAAGGCGTTGTTGGTCTCGTCACCAGGCCTACCGCCGGCGTGATCGACTTTGCGAGTGGCTCCTTGGGAGCGGTTAGACGGTACAACCTATCTATTATACATAAAGAAAACTCGAATAATTTTCCTAACTGAGAATAAGAGTTTGCACCTTTTGATATGCGTTTCAGGGCCACCGAGCTGAGCGAGGAAACGAAGAAAGTACGGCCGCCTAGGTTTTTGCAGCCTGACAGTCTCGTCAGGTCGTACATCAAAGACGAAGCCGAAGGCAATAAGATCTTGATGGTAAGAACTCTATTTCTGAAATCTTAATAGTAAAATTTAAATCCATTGCTTAGATACGTTAATCTTGGCAGACTACTTTGTAACCATAAAAATATCGTATATTTTTACGCATATTTGTGCGCAAGTAAGTTCTCTTTTACAAAATTTCTTTCATAGGAATTGGATAAGGGAAAATACGCACCCACCGACGTCTACGTATATCACGTGTTCATTAACAAAGACGTGCTACTGCTCACCGACAAAAGATTGTCGTATCTCGAGCGCAGTGACTTGTTAGGTGGCTGGCGGGTTAGTACTGATTACAATTAGTTACTGTATTTAATTTCGCGCTCTAATCATATTCTTGGCCGTTCCAGGTCGACTGGACTCACACCTGGAATGAATTCAGCGAATTGCCGAAAATTGTAGACAGGGGCGTACAGATCTTCACCAAAGACGCCAGCAAAAAAAAGAAGCTTGGTAATCTGTTCGGCAGCGCGGATCAGTCGAAGATAATCTTAATAGCAGATCACAATATTAAACAGGTATGCGTTTATGAGTTACATATCTTTCATAGATCTATATACATATTATTTATATTACTATTAAATTACATTTAATCAAATTACATCGCTATTAAATTACATTTATATTAAATTACATTAAATTAATTAAATTACATTTTTTCATGATATATTCGGCATTTGCCCGTTTAATAATTTTGTGTTCTTTCTGCAGTTATTATGCAGCAAGATGCAAGAGCAGATGAATCAGTACGGCGTATAACAGAGGAACACACACGCGAAATGCTTGAGCAGCTTCGAAAAGGAAGAAAACGAGATTTCTGAGTGAAGGAAAAAAAGAAAAAAAAGGGGGGAGGGAAGATATGCTTCTTTACTTCCGAGACGCTTTGCGAATGAGCCCGCACAATTTCTACGCGCACTTTCTACGAATGTTACTTATAAGACTGATTCTACGTAGCCGTGACAACCTTAGCCAGAAAGACACCAGCTGTATCGAGAAACTGATCGCGAAAGAAACACGTGGTATCTTTTTTACTTTTTAATCACACAAAGGAAAACTTACGGGGAAGTCTTTTGTTGTCGGTATCGGTACCGAGCGAGAAGTATTAGGTTGTGGTGTGAACGATTCGTCAGGTGGAACTTAACCAATAGAATTGTACAGTTCGGAGATAACTTTTATTGATCAAGATAGTCACGATCGAGTGACTTCGGCACACAGTTTTTTTTACTTAACGAGAGGAAGTTTTTCAGTAGCCCTTTTTCAAAGAACTCGAATGAGTAGGTTCACTTAAAAAATATATATATATATAAATAACAGTACTTAATGGAAAGAGAAAAAAACTTCGAAATTACGCACCAAGCAACTACCGGTAATCAATAGTTGAACATCACGGGAACATGAATATGAAGGAATAATTTTCTCGTTGAATTTCGTCGAGCATTCATAGTGTTCCACGCGCACGTATCGCACTCGAAACAACGATTCAAGAGTGAATCGCCTTAGTCGCAACAGAGAGTTACCATTTGATCGTATCGTCAGAGACTTACATAGTTCGCGACGGTCATGAAATGGAGTGAATCCACTAGTCGATAAGAGACCGTGTGAATGTAAAAACGCGAAGTTACGTAATGCTAAGTAATAGAGCAAAGAAAGTAAAAGAATTCCATTCGCAGCACGTTCGCAAGTGAGAAAACTAAAGCTGGGCGCACACTGAGCGAACGAACAGCGAATGTGTAATGTGAATGTATATGATCGATCTAAATACGTACGAATCTTCTTTCGTAAGCCACTTTATGAACTTTATGAATTGGCCCGAAATGTTTTGCTCGGATTCGTTGTAATGCACACACATTTTCCAAATTGCACAACGAAAATTTGCATTCGCTGTTCGTTCGCTCAATATGTATTCGGCTTAAAACGGTACGTAAGATCATTTATATATATATATATATATATATATAATCGTTGAGATTTTGTCAAAACTCATTACACAGAGAAGGATTTAACAAACGTTCAGTTGTAATCTACTAAAGAGGAACTAAGGAATTCCACATCACGAACTACATTGTTAATCATTGTTTATAAGTGCAAAATGAGCGTAATCCTAAGCAGTACGTTCGTCTATAATCAAAGCAGTAGTACGCTTAATTACCATTTCTCCTAAAGACGTTCGGTGGAGATGAATTGTTGAGAGATTTGCCACGATCGCTACCGACCTGTTGTTGAGATGTAATCAATTTTATTACTGAGCTTTAACGCTTAACCAGAGAGTGCACGTGATATAATTCTACCTCGTTACTAAAACGCTACTTATTAATAAATTATCACAACACAAACGAATTTAAAATTATTACCATAATAATTCCTTAACATAATCTCTTCGTAATCCATTTTTCGGCTAAATTGCTGTTTCTACGAGATATTTTAACGACGGCTTTCAACATGTGTTTATTGCGTTTATTATGCATATTATTATGTATTATAATTTGACTATCATCCTCTATTGCATATATATCTAATAAAATTATTATAAATGTCTTTTGTGCACTTTCGTTTCTGGAATTTATCTTTATCGTTGCGTATTAATCGCGTATTAATTGCGCATTCCCAACTTTTCATTCTATATATATATTTTGTCAATTGTTAACAATATATGTGCTATTGCGCATATGAAATTCTCAATCTCGCCGATACTAGTTTTAATTCCGTTAATCTCTTACACGACGTATGCATGATACGTACTCTCTCCTTCTTTTGTTAATCTCGCGTGTAGTTGTGTTGCGACAAATCGATGTAATTGTCATTTATTCAGACGCATTTAGGTACTGTTACGTACGTACAACAAAGTCGGAGGGAAGGAAGAAGGATTTGATAAACGTGTGCTTCCACTCGGCGTACCTGATGCAGCCCGACCGCGCTGAAGAACTACAACAAATTTCGCAATACATCCCCGGGCCACCGCAATTGCCGGCCTTAGTCAAGGGGCAGAAATTGAGGAGCGTGAGTGACATTTCAGTTATGCCGGCAGTGGGCCTCGGTATATCCTCAAATATCTTCTATACAAAATCCCACTCGTCGTGACTTCATTATGTTATCTGTTCATATTATAACTATTTACACATATTATCTTACGAGTTTTAATAATCTTTTTAATTTCAGGGTCCATATACCATCACGGTGACCAATGAGATGGTGGCGCAGAGAGAGAGAGAGAATCTGGAGTTGTACAGGGCTTGGATGGAGGAACAGCGCAGGAGGAACGTGCTGCCTGAGGAGGATGCCGACGACTACCTAGGTGACTTCAAGCAGGCGATGATAAGGAGGAGCTTCGTCCGCAAGGTGTTCTGTATTGTCACGCTACAGCTGTTGTTTACTACGTGCATTGTAGCCATCTTCATGTTTATGTAAGTACACTCTATGAAAGGGACGTCTTTACTGTCTTTTTCGACCGTGTCTCCTTGATCCTACGAATTACTTTCCAGAACAGAGGCCCAGAAATTTATGATACTACACTGGTACTTGTGGATCGCCGCTTTGTAAGACAATATTGGTCGTTGAAATCGCGTGATTGAAGTTTAAATCTGATTTAAGAAACCTCAACTTGTACTTTCATAGCTTCTTGTTCGTAATCACGTACTGTGCTGTGTCCTGGTCCGTGAAAGTCAGACGAACGTCTCCCTACAATTACATATGTTTGTCCCTATTGGTAAAAGTCTCTCACCGTATTTGTTGTCCCTCGCGCTAATGTTGGTCCGTGTAGAGTAACTAATGAAATCGTTGTGGATATGTGTCGATCCAGACAATAGGAATGTCCTACTTGGCCGCTTTCGCCTCCGTCCTCTATAGCATCGAGGTGATCCTCCTCGCTTTGGGCATGACAGCCGTGGTCACGATAATAATAGTTTTCGTAGCGACATTCTCCAAGGTATTTCTATTCCTGTTCAGTACTGTACTTTTGCATTGTATTTCTGTTTTGTGCAAGCTTCCTAGTTTATAAAATACGATGCATTAAAACATACCGATTCACACTTTCTTTCCTAATATTTGGTATAAAAATTCGTATCATAACTGTTGGCATCAATTTATTTTCTCTTCAGTATACTTTTATCTATTCTACGTTAATTATGTGCACCAATAAGTTGCGAAAATTAGTGTTGACGGTGTGATTGCAGTTCGACTTGACAATGAGAGCGGGCTTGCTGATGATAATTGGTCTGGTTTCGATTGTCGCTATATTTGCAATGATATTCATCATGATGTTCACGTACATACCTGCCTTACGTTTGCTAATTTCGGTCATTGCAACGCTAATGTTATCCCTGGTCAGTAAGATTGGAATTTCGGCAACTACTCAAGAGAGATATTTTATAATCCTTGAAGGAATTTATAATATATATATAAGTAATCGAGATAAGCTGCTAGGTAACGTCACATGTTTGTCAAACGTCTTATAATTTCTAGTATCTGTACTTCGACATACAAGTTATCATGGGTGGACGCAGAGTGGAATTGTCTCCCGACGAGGTCGTCTTCGCAGCTACACAAGTTTACGTCGACATTGTACTGTTGTATAAGTACTTATTAATATTCATGAGCTATTTCCATGGTCAATAACACCGTCTCGAGATATATCACACATCTATTCGTACGTATATTTACATTTTTATTTATATTATCGTGTATATATTATTATTATTAATATATTTTTATCCTCATTGACATCTTGCAGTATTTAGTATCTTCATCATTTAAGATCGAATATCCTTAGCGTGAAAAACAGGCAAGATTCAACAGGCCGTAACTCTGGCAAAATTGATGACTATAAAGTGGTTCGGAAAACGCTTCATGTATATGCGAGGGCCGATTGAAAGGTTTTCGGCCTGGTCAAGGAAACAACATTTTTTTGGGGCTAAAAATGAAATTTATTTCTCTACATAGTCCCCCCTCAATTCGATGCATTTGATCCAACGATTTTCTAGGTTTTTTATGCCTTCAGTGAAATGCGACTTGTCCAAAGCGGAAAAATAGTCGTTCACAGCATCTATCACAGCGGGGTCCGACGAAAACTTTCTCCCGGATAGCCATCTTTTCAAATGCGGGAACAGGAAGAAGCCACACGGCGTTAGATCCGGGGAATACGGCGGATGGGGAATCAACTCGAATTTCAATTCGTGTAATTTCGCCATCGCGACGGTCGATTCGTGCGCCGGCGTTCTGTCCTGATGGAACAGAATTCTCTCCTTGGCCAAGTGTGGACGTTTCGTCTTGATTTCGGCGCTTAAACGTTGCAACAAGCCAGCGTAATACTCGCCGCTTGTTGTCTCTCCCTTTCCCAAGAAATCGATAAAAATTATCCCGTGATAGTCCCAGAAAACCGTCGCCATCACCTTGCCGGCCGACGCTGGGACTATCTTCGTCCTCTTCGATGCCGGTTCATCTCTCGAACACTGTATCGACTGGCTCAGCTCAGGTGCACAATGGTGAACCCAAGTCTCGCCGACGGTTACAAAACGCCGCAGAAAATCGTTGCACCTGAAACGCTCGAGACACGATTTCGAAATGTTCAATCGGACACGCTTCTGATCCACCGTCAGCAAACGCGGCACCCATCGCGTACTCAACTTCCTCATGTTCAAGTGTTCGTGCAGGATGACGTGGGCACGTTCGGACGAGATGTCGGCAGCTTCTGCCACCTCGTTCAGGGTCAAACGCCGATCGTCCATCACGATCTGGTGAACCAGATCGATCTTTTCGTCGGTCGATACTGCTGTTTCCCGTCTGGTATATTCCTCGTCAGAAGTATAACCAGCCCACGTGGTCACCGTGGAAAACGAAGGAGACATCTCACCGTATACCGCGTCCAGTTCGGCTTTGATTTCGCTCGGCGATTTCCCCTTCGCGTGAAGGAATTTTATCACAGCCTGATATTCGATTCTGCTCATTGTTGAGTAAACTGTGACGGATGTTCGATTTGAGAGACCTTCTATCATAGAAAAATTAGATACGGATATGTTATACGGCGTGGGAGCGTAAATATGGTAGAATAGAAAAATTAGATGTTAGGACGAGCGAAAAAATTTGGCGTAGGCGTTTGTCAGACTGCCATCTATCAGACTGCGATAGAACCGTGAAGCAAGTACTTGCTCCTTCCTGGTCAGGCCGGAAACTTTTCAATTGACTCGTAGTGTAAGATCTATTGGATGTTAAGTTGATTCGGTGCCTTTAAATTGAAGGTGTGTCTCAAAATTCACTACCAGTACTCAAAATCTGTAATTTATATCGTGTGTACCATAGATTTTCGGCACTGATAGTGAATATCGAAACACAGCCTAATGCTCGTTTCTACCGTCATGAATTTAAATCTAATCGACGATCAACTCATTGGAATTGACCAATCACATTGATCGGTTTAGCCAATTGGCTAATGCGATTGGTCAATTCCGTTGAATTGATCGGCGATTAGATTTAAAGGGGTCATCCCGTGTGACGACCGTTTTTTTAAGGTTTTTTTGCATTTTTTTGCGGCGAAATGAAAAAATACAGAGCTTCCAAATTTTTACTATATATTTATTACATCTTAAACTATATGTGTAAATTTTTTTATTTAAAAATATGGCGTCGATGGCGAGTTACATCACTGGAATGGCACCCATGTAAAAAAAGCAGACAAACGGTGCCGGCAGACTGGTTTATCGAAAATCAAAAAATCAAATTGCATTTTAATCTATAGGTGAATGGCTATCGTGGGAACTAGGATTTTTTGAAAATATTAAAAATTCAATTTTTCGCATGCTTTTAAAAATTATAACTCAAAATATCATGATTTTTTGCGACTATTTTTTTATGCGGACAGAAAACGGTTCAATATTTTTTAAAAATTCTAGTTCTCACGATAGCCACACATGTGCTGAATCTACCATTAAAATTTTATTTAAATCCATTGAACCGTTTTCGAAAAATCATGGGCACCAGTTAAAAAAATCCTTTGCCAAAATTACTTTGCCAGTATATTCTATGCATGCTCTAGATTAGATTTATGCAAAAAAAAATCGATGACCCCTTAAACCGCGATGGTAAAAACGAGTATAAATCAATCATAGCTCTATTTTCAAATTCAAATATCTTCCCGCCGTTTTGGGATCTTAAAGTGCCAACCTCAACTCTTGGAAACGTAGAGATGTCGCCACACTACATAATCTACGAAACAAACTCCATTTAAAACCCGTATCAGACGGATTGGGGATTGAGATTGAATTTTAAATTGAGCCAATCAGTGCAAAGTTAGCTGATTCTGATTTCCTGAAATTTAATGCACTTTGTGCCGATTGGTCGAATTTCAATTCAATCTCGATCTCTAATCCATAATCTGATACGGGCTTTAATGGATATCAGATTGTCGCGTGTTAGGTGCCGCGTACGGTATAAATCCTCCGTTACTACACCTTTCTCAACTCAACAGTGCGCAAAGTTCCACTGAAACCGTGGTCTATGCACGCTAAGATCGCGGCCATGCGAAATATGTTTTGAGTCGTACTTATTGCGGTTTCGACTGGACTCTGAAAATGATGGAATTCTCCTTGCACTGCGAATAAATTAAAGGCAATTTCAAAAAAACTCCCCCTCCCCCCCCCCTGTGTATCGAACACGTGTAGGAACGAGTAGCGAGTGTCCAAAGGAAAAAGTAAGTTTGCGAAATTATAACCTTAACATTCCTGGAGCCTGTTATATACTTCCATTTATATTTATGATTTGTGGTGATATTATTAGCAACGTGGTGATATATTATTAGTGATTGTATTATTGATTGCTGGTAATTCCGTGTTTCCTCAACGACAGCTATTAACGTTTCAAACTTAACACATGCGTTGTCACTTGATAGAGTGGCTCAAGTTGTAAAGTACACAAATATTCTGCGAAAGCATTGGTATCGTATACGTTAATTACCGATTAACATCTCGTAGAAAAATGGAGGGCGATCGACTAACTAGCAAAAGTCCTAAAGAGGACGATGATGTCAAGGCCAAGTTCAAGGAAATTTTAGGCTTGAGCACCACAGTAGCTTTGAATACGCTGCACCGTGATGTTGAACGGGTCCTGCAGGAGTATGAGGAGGATCACAGGAGAAACAAGTACAACAATTGTGATTATTTCGTGCAAACGTCCAATGTTCAGGCTAGATGTATCAATGTATGCCTTGATGTACATTATGATATGTCAGTGTATTCATACTGCAATAATTGTGTTCAGGAGATTCAAAGCTTGGTTGAAGGATGCCTTACATCATCGCAGCCAATACACGACTCTCTGTTGGACTTCAGCCCTCGCATTGCTAGTTAATGCTGTCATTCTCATTGTTGCATTCTTTACACTCAATGAAACATGGTACATATATAGCAGTCTAAAAGCTTACGTAAAAACTTTCGCTATCTCTCGTCTCGTCCTGTCTAACTAACCGTACTGTCTGTCCGTTGATGTCAATGACACTCGTGTTCCATAAATGAGTATGTCATTGCAGGTATTCTACACTGCCGTACCAAGGACTGATAGTCTGTTGTTTAGTACTATTAAATTTTATTTTAGTGATGTCGGATAACAAATTACGACATGAGGAAATTCCTCATAGGGTAAAGATACTTCTCGACCAACTCAGTGGTGAGTGTATTCGAACGACTTTGATATGTATTTTACTTGTTCATTCGCATTCATGCGCTGAATTCATATAGAAATTTTATAAGTGAACAAATTGTCTCCTGCACTGTGACAGTGTCGTCACACACACATAATTGCACTCTGACATTGTAGTCGCACGTTCCACGTGTCGATGGAGGCGCGAGAACTACCCTCACCTGTGTAGTCCACAGTCACCTTGCCTGACGCTGCAGTGGACGTATCGCGATGGTGAGATAGTCAATCTTCCATGGGCTTTGTTAGTGGCTGGTGACATAATCGTGATGAAGCCTGGCCAGCAAGCACCCGGATACTGTGTACCGTATAACGTACGTAAATTGAAAGGAACAAAATGTCCATTAAGAGCTTATATACGGATATCGTAGTGCAATGAAGATTTAAATGAAGAGATCTTTGAAATGATATGAAAACATTGTGTATACACAATATTTGTGATTTAATCATTGAAGGGGATCCGACTTTGGATCGAAACGTTCGATAATATATTATTATCGTACAAACAAAAGATTTATATCACGTTCTAGGTCACATTCTAGGTTGCGGCTTTAATGGCTACTTAATTCCTTCCGATTGAATATCGATAGAACAATCTTAATTTATCTATCTTAGTACATGAGTTATTTCTTTGTAGCGCACACGAAAGCTCACAGTATGCACTCTCACCCGGATATTCTTTTAGGATGCGGAAGCACCGGTATTGCACGCCAGGGAGGTGTACAGTCCCGCTGTGCACGGCGCCAACGAGATTTTCTCGACGCCGCAGGCCCGCGTGCCCCTGAAAAATAAGATCTACAAGCTCCAGGAGACACCGTACTTGATGAACCTGCGTATGGCGTTGGACCAGGCGCTCGACCGGCCAGTGACCTATCATAACCGTAAGCGCCACCTCCTGATGATCTGCTGCATCGAACACCTGGCATATCCGATACTCCTGATCGTCGTTCTCGTGGTCAATTTGCTTCGCCACGTCTATGTGGCCGATTACTTTGGCACTGGCCACTGGAGCGAGATGTTCCTGCTACAACCGGTAGCCGTGAGTCTTCCTCTGTTGCCGTTAGTATTCCCCGCCTGTTGGATATCCCTCAATTGCTTCGGAATGGCTCGTTTTAAGGCGTTATTCAGGCTGTACCTGTCCTCTAAGAAACTTCAGGTTGGTGTGACATTCAACTTGTGGAGGGCGCACGAAAATCGAGTAGAGGCGCCTTGTCTCAATTACTTTTCAATTACAATTTCAATTTTCAATTAAATTTTTCAATTAAATTTTCAATTACAATTTGATATATTTGATAAGAAATATATAAGAATCTGTTGTTTTTCAAAACAATTGTTTCTACTGTTAGAAACTGCGTCTCCAAATCCGTTCTCAGTCTCTATTCTATTTTTATTAAGTATCAATCGGATTTCTATTTGCGATAATATGCAAATAACGAAGGATACGTAGATTCTCTATAGATTTTTACAAACCTAGTTTGTAGATCCTTTCGAAGACGCGGATATCAATGGTCCCAATCACCCGGAGGTAGTGTACAACGGGCTTGAACTCAAGGATTACTTTTTCGATATCCTTTGTGGCAAGGAGCACATGATGTCGAGGTCCGCGAGCATTTTGCACGTTCTAGGCTCCGTGACCGTGAGTATCGTTGTGAAAGAGCGTCGGACGATCATCCGTGCATCATATGATACAACAATTTGTATCTCCGCAGGCGTTGTGCTGCGTAGACAAGAAAGGAATTCTGTCGTGGCCTAATCCTACAGCAGAGAAAGTATTCTTCCTGCGTAACACCAATAACACTCTGTCGCCGAGCTCCAGGTATAATCTTCTATAATTCGTAATTATATATATTTGATTATTTCAGCTACATATTAACATATTTCATCCTTTTTTTTAATCATACTCAATATCTACTATATAAATATCTTAAACATCTTGAACATAACATTTATTACTTATAATAATTATCTTTATTATCACATATCTTACACTATTCCTACAACTTTATCTTATATTACAATTTTCCTACTCCTTTCCTTTCTTACCCGGATGAGCTCCAGATAATCGTCTTGCAGTCACTCAGCTGTGTCTACACTCATGAATTAGAACTTCTAATGTCCAAGTACCTTTGGCATTTCTACCAAATGTACTTAGTATTTTGCACTCTGAAGGACCTAAATATAAGAAAATATCACAGGAGAAATTCATCGTTCGTCGAGATGAAGCAGAAAAACACCACGTAATTTGTGTTTGTAAAATTCAAGGATCAAGGATAACTTTTACTGAATTCCGATTAAGCTAATCAAAGTTTTAATTTTGCTGTCAGTCAAGCGTTGACCCGCCCTATCCTGTTGACACGGATAGAAATTATGGACTTCTCGACTTTATTGTTGAATGACAAGTTACAGAAGTGGAAACTGGTGCTGGCAATTTTCATCGTCATTCGACTAGATTAATCGGAGTTTGACGATGAAAGTCATTCTAGAGAATGTCTCAGGGAAAATGGTTCCGTTGCTTTGCAGTACTGGCAGCGTGGACAATAAGACCGCCGAGAAGAATCAGGAGTCCGAGGAGACCCAGGTGAATTCCAACCGGACGTCCTACGTGCAACACGGTAAGGAGATTGTAAGAAGGAAAGTTTGGCACGACACGGACAGACCGAGCCACATACCTGCTTTGCAGATATGTCGCACTCGACCGCCGAAGTCCTGGATCTCACGCACGATCACGCGCTGCCGTTTCGACTTCAGTTCGACGACCACTCCTGGCGGCAGCATTTGAACTCCCTCAAACCGCTCGGCCTGGCGATTCTCCTCAACACGTGCAACATGGACACGCAGGAACACTACATGCAGTTCTGCTGTCACGTCACCTGCGAGGCTCTCTACAACGAGAATCTGGTCCCGGTGACGAACAGACGGTACGGTGTTCACGATCGCTCCTCTCTCTCTCTCTCTCTCTCTCTCTCTCTCTCTCTCTCTCTCTCTCTCTCTCATTCCGTAGATATATTAGTTCGTTCTCGATCTCTTCACATATTTCTCGCACATTCATCACACACTTAACTGTTCACTTAACAATTATGGATCGTTCGCGTCGTTGACAGTTGTCTGTGCGAACTGGCGAAGCAGATCGGCTTCCAAGATCAGGCGCAGAAGATATTCCAGCTGGAGCAGCAGCTCTCCACATTCAGGCACGTGGTGAGTGTCGACGATATGATCGTTCACGCGTTCGGACGCGATTGCAAAGGGGAAAGTGACGAGCCGGACTATGTTTTTTTTGTCGGCCACAGCAACCGGAAATGGTCAGGCGGGACATCAAGTTTGCACGTTCGCTGAGCATCGCGACGAAGCTCAAGTTCCCGTTTCCTCACATGGTCGCTATGGTCGTGAAAGAGCGCAGCGGCGGCGGCCTGCAATTACTAACGCAAGGAACGGCTGATATCATTCTGGATTCGTGCATCGAGTTCTGGGACGGGCACGATCTCTGTCCTCTGTCTGCGTCAGACAGGTGAGAATTCTCCAGTCAGGAGGGGAAGAGCGAGAAATGACCAGGCGAGCCAGTTACACGGAAGTAAAATGCATAAACCGTCCAAAGGATGGGGAAAGTCGTTAGGAATGTCAAAAATAATCAGTTCTGCATACTGTGTATGATATTTTCGAAATATTCAAACAAATCTTGCAAATCAGTACTCCACTTAATTATTAAAAAAAAAAAATGTTGGAAAATAGTAGAAAAAAGATAAATAGTAAAAAATAAATTAAAGAAATATGTTACATACAAATTTCCGTCACATGGTATCCTTTCCTGTAACGCAGTGCCTTTTTTCTTGCGTCGCAGGAAGAAGGTGCAAGACTTTTATCAGAGGACCAGCCTGACGTCGTACTGCACCGCGTTCGCTTACCGGCCGTTGACACGCGCCATCAGCGACAAGATGTCCGAGATCTATCTGGAACTTCCAGCGGACAGTAAACACTTGTACACACCTCACAGGAGCCCCACTCCCTTGCCGTGGGATTTCAGGAACGTCCTCGATCCCAGGGTGCGAGGCATACTCGGACAGTTTCACTCGACAGGTTTGTCACCGTCAATCGTCACCGTTATTAATTATTTCGGGTATACTTTTTGTTTTTATTGTAACTTTCTATCCTTTGCACAGATTCTTTGTTATGCAACGAGAACAAAGACGACAATGTGAGCGATGTCGAAGGCTGCTTCGAAGTTCAGTGCAACCAGGTCTTTATCGGGATGGTCACTATGCAATATCAGGCGCAAACGGACATGGTTGGTGCGACGCTACTTCGATTTTTAATGGACATCCAAAGCGCGATTATATCCTGGTGTTAATTTGCGACTTGTGTTCGTACTTCGGCAGGTGCAGCTGATCGAACAGTTGGACCGAGCGTGCATAAGGTTCGTTCATTTCAGCAAGGAGAACGAGCTGCGCTCACGCGTCTTCTCGGAGAAGATGGGCCTTGAGAGCGGCTGGAACTGTCACATTTCGCTACTTAGTGAGGGAGCCAGGTAGCGTGCTCAGACGACACGTGTCTCAGTGTCTTTCGAATCTCAGTGTCTTTTTGAACTTTTCATGGGGCATATTCGCGACTTGCTGTCCGTGTCTCTAACACCTGGTGCTTTTTTTTAACTTTTCGATTTCGAGATGTCAAACTAGCGTCAAATAAAAAATTGTCTCCGAATTCTCCGAATAATTTTCCGAGTAATTGTTGAGTGAAATTTAGTCGGGATTAATTGTGAGATCGGCGTGTTGATACAGTCCTCCGATTATGTAATAACACGGGTCGGCAAAAAAATTGTTTTAAATAACTCTAATCAGACTAGGTGTTTTTAATAGATTTTCGGTCTGAAGAAACAATATACACTGACCAAATTGCTCTATTATGTAAGTTTTAAAGTTATTTCAAAGTTATTTAAGATGAGGAATCAGCGATTCATAAGAAAAAGAAATATATAATAAATTATTATTACTTATCTAAATACATTCTTACTATTAAAGTGTCAAAATTTGAATAACTTGTTTAAAAAAAACTTTCATATTGAAATTTAGTAAAAACTTCTTTCATTCTAAAGAATTTGTTTTATTAACCATTTTAGAATTATACTTTTTTTTTTATAAATTTCATAAAATTTTAAGATTTTGTTATAAAGAAAGAAAGACCCATAATTCGACTATTCGTTCTCATTAATCTTGCCAAACATGAGAAAAGTGCCTGCTTTTATTCGCATTGTATCCTTAATAAACCAACATTTTTGCTATTTGTGAGATGATTTTTATTCTTTGTTAATAAGAAACCAATGTGTAAATAAAAAAATTCACCTATTTTTATTATTTTATTAACGGTTAATGATTTATTATACTAAATTTCTCACCTAAAAATTCAAAATAACTTCGAAACCTGATGTGATGGGGCAATTTGGCCAGCGGCATTGTTTTGTGTAACCGAACATGTATAAGAAAACACTTATTCTGATTAGAGTTGCTTGGCACCAATTTTTTTGCAGGCCCGTGTAATTATCTAATCAGCAAGCTGTCGTTGCGAGGCTCGTAATGTAAAATGTGTCCATGTATATTGCAAGAGACAACAATGGCTGTAGAGATATCCGCATATGCCCCTGTCGTATATGTTTGTCTATACGTCTTCTATATTCGTTACTATTAATTGTGATTTGTGCATGTTTGATCGTTATCGCACAGAGTGCCTTGACGAAACGTTCAAAGCTTCAAGTTTCACAGTCCGAGGATCGAGATTCTCCGAGACTCGGAGATTCGTCGAGATCCGAATGTGAGGAAGCTTTTCAACATCACACTTGAGGAGCGAATAATTTCGAGTAAATTTCTCGCCCTTGATTTTCCACGACATCCTGTGCGGTGTTTCCAATCTCGAACGGATAATACGCATTCATTTGGCTGCAGTGTTCTAATATCTGATATATATATATATTAATACCTCATTATTTGTACAGGGTGTCCATTCGCAATCTTGATTATTTTATCAAGCTCTCTTTATTATTTGCTTATCTTTCGCGATGTTTCTTCATTGTCGTCATATTCGTGCCTTGAACGAAAAAGGATCTTCGGTATCTTTGGTTCTTACTAGAGAAGAAGTCGCGGTTTCCGCAAACATTTTGGGAACTTTGCGAATCGACACCCACGATAATCGGATTACATAATACACTTGCATACGAAGAAGAATACACATTCATGTACTTCAGTGTAACTAACACACGACAACATTAGGTCTGAGAGTCCAGTGGGTTGGTGGGTGAGCCAGGCGGCAGCCATGTCCTCACCCACTCCCTCACCCACGGCCCAGTCTCATCAACCTAATTACTCCTGCATGGACGAGGCCAGCCACTTGCTTAATCGTGCCTTACCTCGGTACGTACCTCGGTACGTTATGCTGATTACATGCGGAAGATATAGTTGACAGCGTACGTAAGCGTTGCCTGGTACAGAATCCGACCTTTGTCCGATTCGTTTCTCGAGAAGAGAAAAGGAGGACTTACAAGAGACAACGTTAATCCTAGAATACACGTTCCATAAAGAGAAAAAGATTTCTTTAGATTTTGTATTTCTATTTATCTGACTAAAATTTGTTTTATAGAAACAACATATACGAAATATTATTTGTTTGGATGCAATAAAATTTGTTAAATTTAAAGAAATCGTTTTCTCAGTGTACAAGGACGAGCAAGATCTCGATGAGATTAAATCGAGCACTGTCGAGGGAGAAATTCAAGTTTCTTCAAGAAGAGAAAGTACTGAAAATATTCGACAAGACTCGAAAGAGAGAGAGAGAGAGAGAGAGAGAGAGAGATCTGCCGTGCATCCTAGGATTAATCATTCGCAAGAAATGTGCAGCATGACGAGATTTTCATTCATTTGTCGCGAGAGCTTCGTCGAGTCCGCAGGGACTTTTGCAACAAGCTAACAAGCACCCGTGGCTTCTTCGCATCGGTGTATTTCTATCGATCACTTGTAACCGAGCAGAGAAGAGTGCACTAAACGGCATTCGCTTTATGGATCCTTTTCGTTTTAGCACCAACCTGAACAACAGCCGAGCCATGAGCATGTCGGCACCGAGCGCCATCAACACGGACTTCACGACGGTGAAGTTCGACGACGAGACCACCGAGTGGAACGACACGTCGCAGGTGAAGAGCGCCATGAGCCACAGGTCCGTAAGCGCAAGATGCAAACCCTTGTGTGTATTTCAGATTATTAATAACATATTTATGAGCGCGAGCGTGGAGTGGTAGACAGCGCACCAGTCTGCCGTGCTTAGAGATCCTGGGTTCGATTCCCGGCAGAACCAGCAAATTTTCATTCGCTCGTAGCCCCTCTTCGGTGGCTTTGGCAAACCACCAAGAGTAGTATTATTCGTGCCATGAAAAAAAAACCCCTCTCCAATTGCCGTTCGGAACTGACGTTTAAACTGTAGGTTCCGTATGCATGTGTATAATCTGCGTGCACACCACATGCATACGTAAGAGAGAAGTAGGCCTCTAAGAGGCTGTAACGCCAATGGAAGAAAAATAACGTAATTATACAGGATGTGTGGAGTGTTTTATACAAATAACAACTGCATGTATTTTAAATTATTGATCGTTAGGTCGCGCGCAGATTATACGCCATTGTCGCAGATAGAAATTAGAGACGGGAAATTGGTCCACAGGGAACAGGATACCGTGAGAAGCGAGGACAGCGTTTTAGTGCAGAGCGTCGACCTGGGGTCGGGTCAAGAAGGCTGGAGGTCCATAAGCTGCCTCACCGACAGCACGGAACAGAGCGCACCGGTCAACTTTGATCTGTCGAATAGAGTAAGCGGATTAAGATCTTTAGACAAAGCTCGATTTCGCAATACGCAATGTGTTTTATCGTCTTACCTACCCAAACGCAGGCCAAATTGCCGAGGGGTATAGATAAGATACGGCCGCATATCGAATTGATAGACAATGTACCTTTATTGGTGTCGTTGTTCACCGACTGCAACACCACGGTGACCCGCGAGATGCTGCACATCATGCAGGATTACGGCGAGGTGGTGTGCGTGCTCGGCTCTTCCGCCAACGCGGAGAACATGCCGATCTTCATGCAGGCCGATGCTGGGTAATTCCGTTCGTTGTTATCCGCCGAATTCGTGTGAGAACGAAAATCGTGTGAGTTGAATCTTTCCTGAAACTCGCCTCAAGTCGAAATCTTATCGATAAAATTTCACTAATATATCAACTTATCTACATAAATTAATAACATAACATTTTATTAATGAAATTAAGATTGTACCTTCCAGAAGATTTATTTTATTTATTTTATTTTATTATATTACAAAATTTATTTTATTTCTTATATTACAGCATGAGCACGAGAAAAAAACTCTTTTTTGAGCACAAAGCGAAAGGAACAAAGAAACAAAAAGGTGCATAAAATGACAATGAAGACGTGAGAAAAGAAAAGAAAAACATAAAAAAATGATATACGTTTCTATGAGTAGCGAACTTAATTTGCCAACTCGTTAATAAATATTTTGGACGATAATATTACAGGCTTTAGGCAGACTTTTGGAAAACTTGAAGCTTAAATTTTGAAAAAAAAATGTTAAGAAAAAATCCAGCTGACTTTCGCTCTCACCGATTCAGTTGCAATGGTCGACCGTACTTCAGAGCTCGCTAAAGAATTTGAAAATTGCTCGCAGAGTGGCGGTGGAGCCTTTGTATCCGCAAGTATGTCAGAAAGTGCCAGTACTGGTACCCACCACGGAGGACCAGGGAATTTCTCCCGTCGATCTGAGCAGAGCCTTGAACTCCGTCGCGTGCTCGTTGAGCGTGAAACGCGAGGACCCCGTGGCGATCTTCCATCTCATTATGGAGGTACAACGATTTTCTCTCGATCGAATGGACATATCGACGAATTTTAATTGTCGAATTTTTAGAAATTGCTCGACCAATGCTACGTAGAAATAAACAACTTCGACAGTAATTTTTCAAGATCAGCGGAATGCGATGAAAAGATATTAGAGTCGATCTAACGGTCAGACGAATAAATTCTGCCAATCGAACACGTCCTTCTCTTCACTCGCAGGCGCGTCATTACATGAGAAGCCTGTGGAACTGCGTGCAATTCTGGCTCTGCTGTACAGTCACCCTCTCGTTCACACAAGCGCTCTCAGCGTTCTTACTATTACCGCCGCTGTTCTCCGTTGACCAAGTGATGTGGCTGTGCTGCCTAATTATTCCCATGCTGTCGATATCCATGATCGCTACGCCGATAGACGCGACGATCATGCAACGGGCGACCGGGAAGAATCAGTGTATAGTCAACGGAGAGGTGAGCAGTTACACGATAGACGGTCTTTGTTGCAGATTTTTCTCAAAATTGCACCGTTTACGAGATATTCGACTGTATCCACATTTTTGCCCATCCTATATATACAATATATATATATATATATATATAAATTGTAATCAGGTGGCGTTGTTCGTACTATGGTGCTACGGCAGCAAGTTCCTGCCGACGGTGATCACAGTGATCCTGTCGCAGTGCGTCTCGTTTCTGGCGCTCTGCCCTATCTACGCGGCGCACAATAACTCCAAGTGCCTGTACATATACCCAGACGTACGAGGCCAAGTTTCTTGGGGCGGCTGGGGCGGCACGCCGAGCGTCGTTTTGGTCGTGCAGCATTTCGCCCTCGCTCTCATAGTCTTACACTTTGGTAATCGCGTCTTGACATTATTATTTGTGCATTGATACACCTATACGTGCGAGAGAAACCTAGTAAAGTTCAGAGGTTTGTTACTAATGGCTGCTTCTCCTCTCACAGTGACGATATCCGTCAGCTTCGTGCACAGGGAGTACTCGATATGGAAGAAACATCCTGTTAACAACTACATATGGTGTCTCAGTGCACTTATCGTGTAAGTACGAAGCGTGTGAATTAAATATCGAGTAGTGAAACTCACTATCTTGACCGATAACGAGGCTTCCGGTTCCTTTTCGGATCTTTCTTTGCTAATTACTTGTTATGTATACTCATTGTCACGTTACAGATTGTGCGCACAGGCAGCGTTCTCTGGCGCAGCGTTCTGCAAGTTTTGGAAGGAGGAAGGCAAGGATATTGAAGACTTCCCCGTGCACCTGGCGTTGTTCTTTCTGCTCTCTATCCCGCTAACGTTTGCCATCAACGAGTTGATCAAGTGGCAAGAGATTAAGTAAGCCTGTATTCGGCCTCTTCGATCTATATCAACACTTTTCTTCCACTTTATCTTACGTTAACGTTCCTCTCTCTCTTTCTTTCAGAGTGAATGTTAGGTATCAAAAAAGAGCGCGTCTGGAATTCGGCACGAAGCTGGGGATGAATTCGCCATTTTAGTCTAATCGTTTCGTCACTTCGCACATCCCGTAGAGCCGGATGTGTCCGCAAGAACTGTAGAGATCAAGCTACCAAGCGAGAACTCGAAAGACAGTCTCAGTCACCAATCAACGCGGAGCTCCATGTACTTACGGCCCCGTGCCAAATATTGCCAAAAAAATGATAGAGGTCTGAACAAAGTAACGGTATTTTTATATAATAAAATGTGTGTGTATTTAAATTTTACAACGCGAACGATCACAACAGTAATCATTTGTACAACCGATATTGCCAGGGGGGGGGGGGCACAAGTCGAGCTTTAAACGAGTTTAAACGAGCGCGGTATAGAAATTTACACGATGATGTCGGACTATAGTAAAAATAACCGTGACATGTTGTGTAGTATTTTGTTCGGATAACGCGACTCCGCTCGTGCGCATTGAATTTCCCGCTTTCGAAGATCAAGATGATGTCCCTCCGACTCACAAGCAGCATCGTTAAATTTCACTCGCGCGTCTTCACGAATACAGTCAATTCGACAGTAGTGAATAATTTCGTGATGAATCGGAGACACATCTTGTACTTAGCAATGCCTTTAGTATTAATAGTGTACCTGTACATAAGAAGAGAGATGTTCCTATGAAGGATAATTTATTTGTGATTGTGACGCGAGGCTAGTGCAAATCTTAGGGAATTCTCAGTATCAGTAAGTGTGTCTTGCGAGAGATTACCATTATAAAGAAGTAGTTTGCGTGAAAAAGCGTTACGAATTCCACATTTAGGAGCTAAAGAGAGCCGTCATGGAACTATTACTTTCAATCACAACGGAAATTTGCATTTCCAACTAATTTATAATCTAATTTTTGAATCTCCCACGTTTCTCTTTGGACTTTATTATACATAAATCTGAGTACAATACTATGTGTGCATAATATTAGTAAGTTATATAAATTATATATTACAAAATTATACACGTGTATATATATATATATATATATATATATATATATATATATATTAAATATATCATACATAATATTTTTGCACAAGTTATCCTTGATCTCGTAACTTGAGCTACTTTCATAGCTTCGTTTCAATTGTCATCGGCTGTTCGACCGTTTTAGATAAGTACAAGTCTTTCCGAACAGTTCCATGTGCTGCGTCTCTTGATCTCTCGTTGGTAAGAAATGGTACCAATGTACTTCGGTTGTGATTGATAATAGATAGACGAGATGATGAGATGGTCGCATCCTGTTCAGAGGACTCCTCGAATTCCTTCTGATCGAGCGAAATGCGACGATTGTCGAGATCCTTTTTTTCCCTTTTTAAAGCGAAAATAAAGTTTCCGTTGAACAATATGACCACTGTCGTCGCACATTTACTTATACCACTAAATGTCCGTTAGTATAGTATAGTTAGTATAGTACATTAATTTCTGTACAGTCAATATCGTACTTCCGGAATGGCTCTCGGTCGAGTATTGAAATTCGTGCGATCAGAACTGCGACGTCGTCGATGTTGATGTGCTGTAATTGGGTGTCATTGCACGTTGCAACTTGATTACTATCAACACCAGTAGTGTGCTGCAGCACATTATCACGGAGTACATCGACTCGTACAATAATTTCGGCGAGAACACCGACCAGACGAACAGATGGTGACGCTGTGCTGTGACTATGATTGTGTAAACGGTCATCGTGAACAGTCTCCACGTGACGTAAGTCTTGCTGGTTCGCACGACAGCGTCGCTGTACGGATAAAAATCGATTCTTTCGTTAATAACGCGATCCAGTTTATCGAAAATAAAATATTTGATCAATGATCGTAAAATATTTTATATGTAAAATATTTTTTTCCTTATCCAGGTAGAACAAATTTCCGGTCATCCCATCGGGGTGCGAATTTTGCTCGCAACAGCGAGTAATGACACGATCGAATTTACAGATTCAGACGGTAATACGGATTACTTACGAGTGCGTTTCATTCAACTGTCGGTAATAAATGAGCAAGAAGTAAGCCAAGACAGGGGCAGAATAAGTGTTGACGATTAAGTACGCGCTGGTGACGAAGGGCACATAAGAACGCAGGCCGATGTACCCCGCCGCGACGTCTACGCTTGCGAGGCTATTGGAGTTGCCCTGAAACGTGTTGCGTGATGTAACTCGTTAACTTTAGGAGGCGAAGCGAGTTTGATAAGAAATTAAATACAATCTAATTTTCACACATCGGAAAAATACCTGGTAAAAATAAAATACGTTGCCGAGCCAGTAATGCGCGAAAACGCTGAGATCGAGTAAATTATTCTCCCTTAGTACGGTGTCTATCGTTGAGCTCGCGACGATCTGCATCGGCAATAGGATCACATTGTACGGCTGGTGCAACATCGCCGAGACCATCACCCAAGTATTAATCATGAAGAACAGCATGGTGCTCGTGAAACGCTTCCTGTTGTATTTGATCGTTAATCTCACGCGGTAACCGCAGCTTATGAGAAACAACGCTGTTATCCCCCAAAACGTTTGCACTTCGTATATCCCGCTGCGGACAAACAAATTCAGTTAACCCGGTGGTTGGAACGTCATCTCGTTCGCGTGGCTGCTTCTAGGATTAGAAAATCTTTGATGATCTTTTCATGTACCTTGACGAGAAATATGATGGAATCTTGCCGACTGCTCCACTGGCCATGTGGCGAAGATATATGCATACTGCGATCACTGTATTAAGTATTAACGATTGCCACTTATATTCCTTATCCTCGCAATCGTGAGCGATCCAAATTAGAAAAACGAGCGCTGAAAGACCAAGATTTCATTTCGGCTCGATATAAATTTATTCGTGATATCCTATTTATCTCTTATATTTAACTCTCAACCGTGTGGCCGCTCGCCACTTAAACTTCTGTAAACTTTAACGACGCTTCATAGAAAGTTATGAATCCTTTATTTAAACAAAAGAAAAGGATATGTGGAAATAGAGATTATAGGCGAGCAAAGTGTGGAAACATATCAGAAAAAACAATAATGGTTGCGACAATTTCTCAAGTTTTTTTCACTCGTCGTTCAGAATTTACTATTGTTTGTTTCTACCCTCTTTTTCTTTCGTTTAAACTCCTTATCGTACTTGAACAATTTACCAGCGAGCAGCAGGAGCGTCATTCCTACTCTGCTATCGTCATCCTTCAACCAACCGGCTATGTCGGGCAGATGGGCGTACTTATCGCCGGTGCTATTTAGTTTTCGCAGAATTCTGTGTCCTATCAGTAGCAACAATAACTTAATGCAAAGTACGTGGAACTGATGACTAGAATCACTGCAACTTGGATCGTTCGTGATATCAAAAATCGCTGCCCATCGCGGCGGGCAGGAAAATTCATCTGTGGCGCGACGGATGTTCAAATCTGACCTGGATTTTCTCTCCACATTCTTCCGTTTCTTTCCCTTCAAAATCTACGATTGCGAGAAGTCACTATCGGTTTTCCCTGTCGATTTTTACAAATTGCCCAAAATGCCGTAATGGTGGGAGTAACAATACAATTTCTATGCAACGAATGGAGCAATTGCTTGCTTTTTTTCTCCAACCAACATGAAATGTCGTGAATATCTGATGTCCGATTTGAACGAACCTCGTGTTGCAAAAGAGAATTCTACTCACTATCGATGGTACGCGAACCATTTTCCGGAGCAACGATAGAGCAAACACGCAACCGTACTGCTCCAGAAGAAATACCAAGTCTGGTGTTCCTCCTCGACGAAGCTGTTACCAGCAAAGCTCACTACGTGCAATAACGCACCGATCTGGAACACCCGCATCTTCGATCCCTTTTTCACCTGTTACCGGAAAATTCAAGTCGATTGATGTACACGATTTTGAGAAAAAAAAATCTCGAGATAACAAGAGCTTACCTTTATAAGGAACAAGTCGCCGCGTTTCACGCTCGACAGAAAATAACAATTTACGCATAGAATACTGATGACAAGCACGATCAAGAGAAGGCTGAACACACTCGTCGGGTAGAGCGAAGTCGTGTTCTCGGGATCGAGGAAGTAATCTATCCCCAGGCACAAACTCGCGTTTAGCAGGAAGAAGAACGCGGTCCTTTTGAACGTAGACCCAGTAAGGTTTCGTACGACGAGCAAGATGCAAAGTATCTGCCGAAAAGATACAGTACAGGATCACTTTCAAATTCCACAGGTTTGGGAGATCTTCGGACCTCTTCATTTCTCTTCAACGCTCGGATTTCGAGACTACTACGTGTTATACTCGTGTCCACTCACGTGAAAAAGAAAGAATACGGCTGCAGCCATCGAGCGAATGTCGTACTTAACCATACTGGCGATCAAAGTGGCCTTCATCTCCTTGAGGATCGCGTTGTACGAAGAGACGATGTTCTCTACCATCTCGCTCGGCTTTTCGTTCGCATTCAGCCAGCCGATGTGCAGCTTCACGGTGTTCCTGTACTTCCGATGTATATCTGGAACACACATCGTGTTTCAATCTTCCTCCATAAACTCTGAATATTCACTCGATATCGAAACATAAAGTCATAAATCAAAGTAAAATTTCTTCGAATCCCGTATTTTTTTATCCCAAACATCTCTTGTCATCTTTGTAACGTCCTGTATAAATAGACACGGTCAATAAGTGTTAGGCACTTACTTTGTGACTCGCTGGTGACGAGTCTCCGGAAATGGTTGAACAGCTGCTTGGTGTTGTAATAGAGAAGAAAGAGTCTCTTGGAGTCGGAAAGATCGTAGATACTATCCAAGAAGACGGAGCCGAGGTTTATCGAGGGAATGGGTAGTCCCATAGCGACCGAAAGCGTCGCCGCTATGTCGAGCTGCTCAATTTCGATTGGCTTCGATTCATTCTTCCGCGTGGGACAGCGAACTTGTCCTATCATGACGAACGGTACCGTCGTCTCCTGCAGCGTCGAACCGCCGTGGCCGCCTGAGTCTTTCATCCCGTGATCGCCACAGACGACGAAAAGTGAAGGAGTGCTGTTGTCGTTCTAAAAGTGGACAAAGTCGTGATAATAACAGTGATTGCGTTTATTGACGGTCTGTTAATAGTCAGATCTTATATTTAAGGCTGTCTCAAGTTTATCTTCAAATGTTTCGTAGCCAATGAAATGAACCACACAGCATCTGAAGATTAAGGCGATCTTATATATAAGATCTGATTGTGAATACCAGCCTAGATCGCGTATTTTTTTTTTCTTTTTAGCATATGAAAGGAATTAGCAAATTCACTCATTTCTTCCACTTTCATCTCCTTATTTTCATTAAATACTAACCCAATACTGCACTTTACGGGCGATCTGACCGATGATCTCGTCCATTTCCTGTAGCTTGGGCTTAATTGATGCACCGAATGGGCCTTCGACGTGACCGATGTGATCGAGTCCAAGATAATGCAGAATCATTACGGACCAGTCTTCGTTACTCAGTTCGCTCTGCACGTGTCGAGTCACATTATTGTCCACCTATTGGTAGGATTGATAACTCAATAAAGAAATCACAGACAAGATAGATTGTGCGTGTATTAATCACCTCTGTAAAATCTGTAACAAAAAACGAAGTTGTGCCATCATGACGCTTGAACATATTGGGAAACAGGGAGAGCCAGGTCTCGTCCCCATAGAACACCAATTTGTGTCCCTGTCTCTTTGCCTGGAGCAACAGGCTGTCACTGGACAGAGGTTTACTTCCAAGGTTAAGTACAACATCCACAAAATTCGGCACTGTGCCAGTCATCATGGCCTATATCCCAAAATAAATGATTTATTGTCAATATAAATCAAATTTTCTTTATTTATTCGTAGATTACTATTTTACCTTTATCCTGGGCATTGTTACTGTCGGAGATTGCAATTTTGCCCGGAGTAAACAACCAGAAGAATTTGCCAGTAAACTACTCGTCATTGGCATGGCATGCTTCCCTACTGGGCTTGCGACAAAATCCCATCTTAGCGCATCAATCACCATAATTATCAACTTCTTCACTACCGGTTTATACAGTATATCTGCCTGTATCCTGAAAATAGCATGAACAAAACATCGAATATAATCTTGAATTATCAATGAACATATTATCAGTGTGATTATCCAGAAAAAATGCACATATTCATAGATTTTAATATTTTATATAGAAAGTAAGGATACAACGAGGATTTTAACGTTATTTATAGCTTATCACAAAAAAACACAAACGTGAGGTTAACTCACCTAACATTCTCAACATGTTGCGGAATATCTTTTCGAGTGGCGATCGTGTCACTATGATGAGCAGTCGGGAAAAAACCATACAGGAACAGAGCAATTGAAATTGGCGCGATCAACAATATGTAAAACAACAGGAGATCATTCGTACGCATCTTTTCATAATTTTACCAACAGCGATAACAGCTGAGCGTCGGGTAGCATAGTCGACTTGTGATTATTCGAGAAATCGAGCGCTCGGCTTTATACATCCGGGAAATTTTGAATTTCTTTGATCAAAATAATATTTAGCTTATTAAAAAAAAATATTAAATGCATTTGGAATACGTATTTTATGACATCTATGTAGGTGAAAAATGCTTATTATATAAACAAATATAAGTAAATATTAATTGCATGAGTTGTAAAAAATTTAATTATTTATTTATATTATGTATTAAATTCATATTAAATTTATATTCAATTTCTTTATGTTTTGTTTCTATATTAAAATTAATTGTGAAAACATCAATTATATTTTTTTTGTATCAAAGTTAGATGGAAGAAAAAAATTCTACATAATTTTATTCCACGCAAGATTTGGAAGATTTAATTTCTCTTCTCTGTAAATGAGAAAATTGTAGATTGCGTCTAAGAAAATGTCCACGACATTTTCATGAGATTTCCTTATGTATAATTGGAAACACGAGTCATCGCGGCCGAGCCGCAAGTTTTGCCGTTGCAGAGGCGCCCCGTGTAGACGAGCTCGAACAAATCGGCCGACGAAACCGATCAATAATTGGAGAAGGACTGTTTTGTCGGCCAACGTAACGCGCCGTGTGCTATAGAGCAGCTTACGACGCGCGTGAATCATGTTTCGGTAATTCCCACTGACCCGAAGTGCCGCGAGGTTTTCTTCGTCTATCGAAAAAAAAAAACATAGTGAGTGCAACAATCGGATACAACACGCGTGGATACAAAAAGCGGAGCTCACAGTCTTGAAGATTTGTAGGAGCTGAAACGTCCAGATTAGATTCGACTCATATGTTCAGCTCGAGCTTGAGTTTCTCCCCGTTCTCTTTCCGGGTCATCCAATTTCGTGCCGTCAAATATTATTATAATTTTGTTCGTGTTGATGTTTCGTTTCACGGGATCTTCGTACCTATAAATACATCTATATCTCAATAACCTTTTAGTTTCTGTGTTGTCTCTTCACTCCCTGAGCATTACGTTGTTGATTATTACATAAGCAATTACAAAGTCATACCTCAGCAAACACAAAATAACAGTTATATAAATGTTGGTTGTAATTTCCTATTTGATATTGGATAATATAATTGTTATGTAACACACGCGTTAAATAACAGTTATATTATTGGGTAGGAAATTACAACTAATATTTATATAACTGTTACTTTGTGTTTGCTGGGACTTTATTTCAAGTGGGGGCTTTACTTTTTAATACTCGTCAATATTCAACGTACCGTGCAAAGTAAAAAATGTTGTGTCCAAAAAAACCCACTGAAATTCTTGTTATCTTAACAAGGTGAATATGTAAAAAAAAAGTTTATATATTAATAAGGTGAATATGTTGATTTGACATATATTTGGATATTTTTCAACACACTCCCTGTGTTAAAGTAACGCGAAAATTTCAGTGAACTGTTTTTAACGCAACATTTTTTTATTGTGTATAAGTGAAATAAGTATTTTTCTACGTGTATTACAAATTTAAATACAATAGTTGAAATTCAATTCATGAGAGCATATCATAAAACTGAAATTCATGTAATTCGACGTTTCGTGTACAGTATGAGTGACAAAAACGAATGTTTCCAGCGATAATGGCATCGCTGGAGGACAGTTGGAAGGAAGCCACGGAGGACTTGGATGAGAGGGTCTGCGACTACTGGTTCGCGTGGCTGCAGGAGCTCTACTCGGATGAGAAACGCACGTATCACAACCTGGACTCGCTCAGGGAGAAGTTGAACCACTATCACGAGATCAAGGGAAACCTGAAGAATCCACGAGCCGTGTTGCTTGCGATATTCTTTCAAAAGTGAGTAACGCCTCGGTAAGATAGAAGTAAAATTATATTCTACGCGTATATTTATTTCACTTATTGTGTATTTTTATTATTATTGCATGTTTATTATGTACGTTTTTGTAATAACTAACTTCAATCTTGTTGCAGCTTCGAGTACGATCCCAAAGCTATGGACGACGAGGACAAAAATGTCGATCACTTCACCAGTTTCGCCAACCAAGCTGACATTCCATCGGTGAGTGTGTATTTGAGCTTTGACAAACTTCTTAGATTTCATTGCACAAATTCCCGTAGATCGACAGCAACATCTGCGATACATCGTCATACTTTTTCATTGTAAACTTAATTTACTATATACGTGATAAAAATTGGAATACATAAATATATAAAAAAAATATATACGTAAATTAGAACACGTACTCAGAAAAAGAATCAGATTCTGGTAAGTAATTACTCCAGTACTCCTTATAGAAGACGTTTACTTGAATCGAGTAAATATTTTACTTGGATCAACTTAAATTTACTTGCTAAGGAATATTGGAGTAATTGTTTATTTGAATCCAGCACTCTTTTTCTTTCTGGGTATATATGGAGATTAATTAAATTTTTATTCTCTTTAACTTACTACGTATGATTGAATGTTTGCAAGGACTCCAAGCTGAGAGAGGAGACGTGCGTCCTGCTCAAAGTGGCTGCGACTCACAGTACCGACGCGCACAAGGTGGGTGGTGCTTACGGCGGCGATGACGTCCACTACTTTCTGGACTTGGACATGGCGGTGCTCGGCTCCTCGCCGGATAGTTACGCCGAGTACAGGGAGCGGATACGCGGAGAATATTATTTCCTCAGCGAGCCCATGTACACGGCGTTACGATTGAAAGTGAGTTGAGATGACAAGATTGAAACACGTATTTGATAAAAAAAGCGCCCGGTAAACAATTTCTCACATATAATTATATATGATTATGTATGACAAATTTTCTACCGGGTGCACGTTAAAAGTATACAACGACTCAGGCAATTTTACTTTTAATTCATTGTACAATAAGATCCGATCGCATTTCAAGAATTAGCACGGTTATTCTCACTGTGGTTCTCGCCACTTTCAAGGTGTTGCAGAACTTCCTGCAAATCCCGAACATCTTCGCCACCATAGAGTTTCGCGAGAAGCTGGAGGAGCAGGCGCGCCAGAATATCCAGGCGGAAGTGGAGCTGCTGTCTTAGGATTCCATCGTTTCGCCTCGCTACGCTCCCAACTACGGAAAGAATCTATCACCGGATACTAAGTATTAAATATTTCTGACGCGCGCGCGCGCGGCTATCACAAATATTTAATAATATCAAGTATCATCGAGGGTTCTCCCGACACGCACTCATTACTTGATCTCCGGAGAGAATCCGCCGATGATAGGAACTTGCTTCGACTTTCGACCGAGAATTTTCACACCAGACAAACACACACACACACACACACACACACACACACACACACACACAGAGTCAGTTTCGGCGCCTACCTCACAGAGATTACACGCTCGTCGCCGATTCCGCAGAGGCAGAGTGCAGCGAACGACAAGCCGCGACGATCCATCCATAATGAGTGAGAATTTCTCTCGACGAGCGTAAAGAGGACGTTAATATGTCGCGCGTCCGTTGTTCCTCGCGCACGAGTACGTTGAGTTGAATGTTCGCTTATGTACATTGTTATTTTCCGTCGTTTTAGATAGTCGTTTATATACATTATACATATATAATTGTACATACAATTGGCTCCTTTTCTCGGGGAAAAAAATTACATATAATCATACAAAATCATATATAATTATATTATTATATAATTATATGTAATTTATATATGAATTTTGTTTCTATATATGGCTACGTATATAATCATACATGTCCACACGAAATAAAATACTACTAAATAAAAAGCAGAAGGAATATTTCAATCAAGAATCAACTGTTTACATCGTGAACAGCCATAAACACAAGTATTTACATTCAATTACATTCGTACAACAGTATTTGTCAGATGTAGGACATACATTATTATATATAATTATATATGGATATATAAAAGCGAAATGCATGTATAATCATTTTTTCCCGGGGTCGTGCCAGATGTTTCTCTATGAATGTACGAAATTTCTCATCGCTTACGCACAATTATCTCCGTGAGAGTGAAGTACGGGAATATCTCCGTTGCGTGGAATTTTTCGCGACTGAAAACTTCACGGCTTGTTAATCTTCAGTTTAATAAGTCGCTTGATCAATTCAGCGAGTTGCTCCTTGCTTTAATAATCGTCCGATCGATCGTCGGAATTGTCTCGCTGTTTGAGGCTTGCCCAATGGAAAAAGAAAGTTGGAGAACTACGGCCGCGTTTATCCGCGTTTATCGTCGGGATTTGTAAGTGGAATTGACACATGTTTGTCGATAAATGTGTAATAACGAGTACGTACATATACATACACATACATACATACATATATATATATATATATATATATTAAAAAGAGTATTTTCACTGTTGCGTTTACGCGAAGGTCGACCGAAAGTTAGCGAACTTGAACTCGGGAGTAATGCTTCGCGCATACAAAACGTTTTTGTTGCTTTGACGATTTTGCCTCTGAAGATTCTCAGAGATTTTCAAAGACTCGCGTCTGGGATCCCGCGTTGGTGAGCCCCGACAGATCCCCGAAGACTCGAATAAACATCGATAGGTCCTTTTGAAAATAACTGGTACTTCTCGGAGATCTTCGGGACAAGCCCGCTCCTTCGATTCCGGTAACACACATTGTCGTATTTTGTGCAATTCAAGTTTAATCGACGCTGCTGGAAAGACACATTTTGTGAATCTTGTATCAAAATGTTAGCAGGAGGACTGTTGGGTAATAATTGAGGTAATGCTGGTCGAGATATTACGAACGATGTACAATGAAATAAAGATGATTATTAAATACGTCTCTCTCTCTCTCTCTCTCTCTCTGTATATGTGTGTGTGTGTGTGTGTGTGTGTCTCTGTTTCTCCACATGATACCATGTCCTAGTTTATAAGAAAAGAAATCAAGCATACTCCCGATTTCTCTCCTCTCTTTCACTATCACAACATTGTTCCGCATCAATTGTATCAACGTCGTCCTTATCTCAAAGACATGATAATAAAGAACGTCATTGCATAAGCGCGAGCTGATCTCTCTGACATTTTTTATACCTGAAACTGATTTTAAATCGTACATATTCGCGAACAAATATCCGTTCACGCTGGCGTATTGATTTGTCCTTACGGCGTTTCCAAGTAACTGATCTCCGTTTACCTTAGATACCTGCGGGAGCTCCCAACTGACCGGCATCATCGCGGGAAACGGGGGAATTTTTTCGAGACGTTACAAGTTCACTCGTCGATCTTGTCGTCGGAGAACGTGTTATGCCATTGCAACCCGAGGTGAACGACAAAATTTGCGACGACAATGAGGTAAAAACGGTGCTATCTGAGGCTATTTCGTCGTTGCGAATGTATTGAGAGGATTCTTATTGATACGAAAGATTGATAAGGGATAACCCAAATCTTGATTTTAATAACAAATTTCTTCTAAATCACATTTTCCTCCAAAACATCAATGTCGAGATGGAGAAATTTAGAAAAATATGTAGAAAATATGAGATGTTTATGAATAGATATGTTACATATTATGTAACTGCGTATTATATACAAAAGATTGCCGCTGGGAGAGGCTCCAATGGAAAACGATAAGAGCGAAATCTCGGTGTATCGAGCAAAAGTAACGATTTGCAGGCACCGAAATATCACAATACTTATCGCACGGAGCCGCGGAATCCATTCAAGATCGACCAAGTGGACAAGATAGTGAAATCGGTAATGAACAATCGTCTGGAGGAACTCACGTATGACGACGCGGAGTGTGTTAAATTATGCGGCGACATCGCGGCGGAGATACGCCGACGTGTGAAGAAACTCAACTTTAATAGGTATTCGCTGATCGTATTAATCTCGGATACAATAATGTGTCCCGCAACTCGCGACCATAATTTGAACTTTTTGAATCCCGGAAACGCAATGCTGTGTTTTGATATTTCTGGTGTGATTCGATATTTCCGAAATTTAAATATTCCAAGATTTTTCGGAATCGTTCTATCAAATGATCTTCAAGATTCAAGATGGCGGATGTGACATCGCAATTTTACCAAAATAATTAAACAAAATAAAGATTATTAACACTGTGTTGGATTCGTTGTATTTATATCAGTTGAATATAATATATAAATTTTTTAATTAGTTTTGATTATTAATTCGCAACTAATAACTCAAAAAACGTTGGATTTTTTTGATGAAATAAAATTATGATTTTAGCTGCCATATTGGGTGCACCATTTTGAATTTGAAAAATTTTCACTTCATATTCGTAAACAGTGACCTCAGGAATTTCTAGACACAAAATTTCAATTTCACACTTAGTATGGAAAAATTCATTTTTCGTCAGCTTCAACACTTTTGTAAAATTCAGCTTGCCAGTCAAAGGGTTAAAGATCGTATTCCTCGAGAGATATCGACGGGATTTCCCTCAGATGAAACTCTCAGGCAAAAAGATATCGGTCACTGCGGCTTTCCAATTTTCAATATTACTCGCAAGCCAAACTACTGCGGATTAATCAGTTTGAGATTAATCGGGGAGTTCTGTTATCCAGCAGTCTCTCCAAGGCTCGCTTTGCGCGAAATATTCTTCTCTCTTTCTCTTAATCGCCTTTCAGGCGCCCGAAGTAAACATCGTTGAGGAAAACTCAACTCCAGGTTCGGAAGAACTGTACTATTAAAAGATGCGGAAGTCTCGCGAGTTGTGGAAAATCCTGTTCTATGAAACGCGTAAACGTGTAAATTCTAATGTAACAAGAAGCTGAGAGAGCTACAATGACAGGCATTAACTCTGCGAAGCGTGTCGTCCGAGGAGACTCCGCTGGTTTCCAATTCTTTCCGACACTATAATTAAAAGAATATTCTTGAAAATACATTCACAAGGCACAGAGAGAGAGAGAGATGTTCGTCATGCTTGGCAGCCGATTCACCGTCGTCACTTCCAGGCATAAAATCGTCGTCGTCGTTACGATCATCGAGAAGGTCAGCCAGTCCTTGGAGACGACTATCGGCTACTTGTGGGACAGCGAGAAGGATAATTACTCCGTTTTCTCCTTCGAGGGCCGGACTTTTCACGCTCATTGCTGCGTATTCGGTCTTTATTACGAGTAGAGAGTAGCCTGCGGCACTCCGAGAATGCACGAAAATATTATATGATATAAAGTGGTGCAAAACACGCAGAACGTTATACTAACGAATGTGAGAGAATTCCAACGCCGGAGATTAATTTGCTCACGGCTTGAGGCGTGATCACGACAATCAGATAACGCTTAAGATAATTCGCGAGACGAAAAGAAGATGACTCCTGGTATTCATACGATACACGGGGAGCGTCCGTTAGCGCACGGCGCGATAGCACACATCCACTCACATCGGCTGGAGTCTGGAGTGTCTCTGCTGGACTACCAATTACAAAATTTTACGTTAAATTAACCAATCACCTGTGTGAGCTATGGGAGCCCGCCCTTCACGCATAGGTCACGGAAATAGTTGTGTGTCGACGACGACGAGTCGAGAGAAATCATCGTTCGCGACGTCTCTCCGCCAGTCAGGCCCGCTGCTTCCGCCGAGGCGGTCGGACGAATCTCGTGAGGGAACGCACTCGAGCCGTATCGAATTTATAAACGACAAGAGTGTCCGTCGTCGAATATGGGCTCTTCTAAAATGCACCGACAGCTCCTATGTTGCTTCCTTCTGGTGTGCCTAACGACAGATGCCGTGTCGAAGGAGGATGAGTCCTGCTACGCCGACAACCGCAATCCTTACATCTACACCGGCACAACGACAGCGTATCACTTTGTTAGTAATAATGTTACGGAGCGCATTAATGTGCCAAGTGAGTATAGACCAAGACTTATAAAATTGAAAAAAGGAGAATTTATGTATATAAAATTTTCTTTTAATAAATAGAAATAAATAATTTGTCATATATATATCACTATTCTTAAAAAGAAATTATATATATATATATATATATATCACTATATATATTATGATATCTATATATCACTATTCTTAAAAAAAAATTATATATATATATATATAATTAGTGTAGAATAGTGATAGAAGTAGTATTAGTGTAGAATAGTGATAGAAATGAGCATGTGCTAGTTTAAAAAATAAAAGTCGTTTAATAAAAGCATTTCTTAAAAGTATAATAATAAAAAAAATGGACGCGTCAAACATGTGCCAAATCAGTTCGAAACGCCTTAGTCTGTTTCTTCGTAAGCTAAAAGCTATTTCTCCGTTTTCAGACTGTAAACCAATATATATATGGATGTACTGTAGACACGGCACGCGATATGCGAATCGCAACAGAATGCTGAGTATGTTAAACTTAACTTACATGCAAGATCTTATCGTGGGTAATCACGAGATTATGAAACGTAAGTAAATTAATACTAAAATTTCTAGGTCCTTCAGGCTATATTTATATTTTATGATAAGAAGAGAACAGCTATTTGATGCTGATAAAAAGGCGGAAAGTATTCATTTTTGGAACTCTCTATCGCTCGAACAATCTAAAAAGTAACGACGAATCGAACGACGACGAATAACATTCGACGAATAACATTCAATTCTTTCTTCGATTCGCAGAACGACACTTGTGTGATCAGGACTTACAGAATCTAAAGAATTGGAGTCCCGATCGAGGTCTTATTGCCCGAAATCACAAGCACCTGACTTCGCAGGGCGAAAGAGATTTGTCGACACTCGGCGAGAGATTTCGAGCAAGATATCCGGAGCTCTTTGACGCGAATAAGCCTGAAAATTATAAGGTGATTAGTTAAAGGTATAACGAGAGATTGAATAAGGATTATTGATCGATTAATTATCCCTTTTTATGATTATATTAGCCTGAAGAAGTTTACGTTAAAAAGCTCCTTTATTTTTATTTTTACGAAACAGATAAAGAAATATTTATTTTAAAATGAAGTTCTTTGAAAAGTCAAAGAAGAAAAGTCAATGTAGTTTATAGATGATTGTTGTGGTTGTCAAATGGATGATTTATATCAAATAATGTATGTACTATTACGACGGTAATACGACGTTATATGACGGTTATATGACGGTTTACGTTAAAATAAACGCTAACTACGGAAGAAGACTCGTATTAATTAAAACTGATCGATCGAAAACTGGTTTTTTAAATAAGAAACCAGAAAAACAAGCAATGATAATTATATGCGCAGATTCATGCAATCTTCTTTTTATTCGTTATACAGGACGGTTCAATAATGAAGTTGCATCTCGAACATGAACAAACAACTATCAATATTATTAGAAGGAATATTTCATATTTATTACATATACATTCTCTAAGATTACTAATTGAAAGATAAAATGAATTCGAAAGATCGACCTTTGTTTCTTGTCTTCGCTTATTATTTTAATTCTCACTTTTGTTTTTCTGTCTCTCTTTCTCCGCTTTAATACTCATTATTGTTTGTTACTAGAGGTGTGCGAATCAACCACTTGCACGGTCAAATTGAATTGAACTTTTATAATATGTTCGAAATCGAATCGAATTCGAATCAGATTTTCCAGGATTTACATTACAATTTAATCTAAATATGATAAAGTACTTTCAATGATATTAAAAATTTTTTTCTAAGTAGGCAAAAATATTAATTTCTGCAGTTTTAAAAAACCAGTTTTGAAACCTATCCGTTTGTCATTTGCCAATATAAATGAAACCATATTGAAAGACGTGACCGATTCGAAATCGAATTGTCGATGATTCGGAATTATCGAACTATTCGAATTCGAACATTTTAGATTCGAAGACGAACTCGAATCGAATCAACAGTGACTCGATTCGAATTCGAACGATTCGCACACCTCTACTCGTTGCTGCAAACAGATATTTCGTTTTTTGTCAGTCACACAACAGTCATCAGGAAGCGAAACGAGCAAATTTCTTAGCGATCGATTCAGCTGACTTGCGTATGCTTTGCAGTTTAGATCAACGAACACTCAACGCACCATCTCCAGCATGACTTCCTTCATATCAGGAGCGTTCGGCGATGACTTCGTCGCGGACATGGAGATAGACGGCCTAATGAACGACAGTGTCATGATAAAGGTGAGGACTTTTCGACTTGTTTTTCGATTCTCCCACGATCGTAAAGTCTCTCTTCATTCGTCCGAAAATATATCATATAATTAATATTGCGAAAAAAAAAACATTCAGATGATCTCCAATTGCCGGCCGTGGTTAGACGAGATGAATAGTACGGGAGGCATCGAGAAGTTGCGGGAGTTCATCGACGGCCCAGAGATGGCGGAGGTCGTCACCGACGTGAATCGGCGGTTGGGTTTCGCGGGTCGCATCAACAAAGGCGAGTTGGCAACAAATAGATATCGAGCAATTGATCGATCCCCGAGCGTCCGATCGTTGCGAATTGCGAATGATCAATCATTGTGAAATAATGCGCGACGACGCGCCCGATTGACGATTCCAGACGACGTTTTTCTGCTGTACGACGCGTGCCGCTTCGAGAAAGCCTGGCAGCCTGATAGACTGTCGCCTTGGTGTGCCGTGTTCGATGACGACGACATGCGCGTCTTGGAATACGAGCAGGATCTCTTTCACTATTATCACTCCGGCTACGGGCTGAAGATCAATCGGCAATTCGGCTGTCATACCGTGCGAGATATGGTCGATCGCTTCGCGTGAGATTCGATACACCTTCCGTGATCCGTGGAAACTAAATCATGCTCTTCCCGTTATCTTCTAATATTCCAGCAGGCCGTGTTCGATCTTGCAGGAAACTGGAGCAAGAGGAGGAGGAAGAGGACACCGGCAAACCGAAGGGCTCGTTTATTTTTGCGCACTCGGCCGGGGCGGCGCAGTTCTACACGGCGTTGGGCATTGCGAAGGACGCCGAACATCTTACGGCTTGGAATTACAAGGACATGGCCCACAGGAAATGGAGGATGTCCCTGTTGACGCCGTTCGCCACCAACTTCGCGGCCGTCTTCCATAGGTATGACTAGACTCTCTCTCTCTCTCTCTCTCTCTCCCCCTCTCTCTCTCTCTCTCTAAATTTTTCGGGGTGAAATTCCTCCAGTAAAATCAGCCCGGTCGGGATTCGAGCGATTCTTCACTTGGAATGTAAATCCCCCGCTCAAACGGCTTATAATATTTATAAATAATTTAAAAATATAGATATTAAATATTTCATAAATATCCAAATGTCCGGGAGTCAGGTATGAAAAAGATTATGACAAGTATTCAGAAATATTTATGAAGAGTATTTTTCATAAATAATCATAAATATGATTTCACTCAAGTAAAACCATGTTTTAGTTATTTATGAAGAATATTCTTCTATAAATATTTCCGAATATTCGTCATAATCTTTTTCATACTTGACTTTCCCGGACATTTAAATATTTACAAAATATTTTATAAATATCGTGTGTTGTCTGGCCACTTTAAACTTGAGCAAAACATCATTCTTAAGATTTTAAGTAGTAGTATCTTCATTCGCTTCGAGTGAAGATACTTCCAGTAAAAACAAAGAACATTGAATTGACATCTTGAAATGTTGATTTTTTGCATATCAATTGATATTCTAAAAATATAATATTTAAAAAAATATCAAATAATACGACCCACTGAAATACTATAAAAATATCTTTAGAAATATAGAAGTGCTAAAGTTAATCGTAATGACGTTGATGCAACGTTAAAAAATGCATATTAAAAAACGTTACAAGCTATTAAAGATTGTTCCATTATCATTCCGCTCTAAGAAATTTCGAGAACACGGATGCGACTCTTCTTCAATCTTCTCTACAGGCGCGATCGTTTTCTCGTTTCAGGTGCGACTCCGAAGACTCCCCCTTCAAAGTCGCCTTCTACCTGGCCGAAAAGCCGGTGACTCTGGAAGGTTGCGAAAACGGGGTGTGCGATTGGGCGAAGTTGAAGGAAACGCTGGGCCCTGTTGTGGGCAATTGCGATATGAAACTTTGCTAAGAACTGAAAAAAGATATTTTGTAAAACCGTGACGTAGCTAAGAAAGAGAAAAATCGAGTGACAGAAATCGAGTGAATTGCGAACGCGTGCCGACACCAATGACGGTGTTCGATAACGAAACGATTGTTCCTGACCTGGTCTAGTGTAAAATAAAAGTTCACTTTAGTTGGAATTATCAATGAGAAAGAGAGAGTGGAACGTTTGTTGCACGCAAACCCACAAGTATCCGGGTCAGCCCTGGAACACTGGAGCGACTTCGAATCGAAACTGGAGCGGCGACGAATTTGTAAATTTACAGCAAACTCGTTCACCTGTATTACACCGGATTGTTGCATGGTGAAGGCTGTTGTACGTGAAGAAGTTATTTAAATAAAAAAAGTATACAAAAATTTTGAGCGGTTAAACCCTTAATAATGATATATCGTCATTTAGCAGAGAGAGAGAGAGAGAGAGAGAGAGAGAGAATATACATTAATATATATAATATTAAGAATATTTATTAATTATTCGTCAAAGTGCTTATATTATGCAATTATCATTTGGATATTTCATGTACAGCGACCTGTAGTGTGTACTAATAACCGACGTAGCGCGGATGATCGAATTCGTCATTCCGATTCCCGGAAAATTACACGAGAAGCCGAAGTTTGTATTTCGCAGCCTTGTGGGGAAACTTTCTATCTTGTAACAGGCTTGAAATATTATATTTATTCACCCTGAGCTATCAAAATTATCTCTCCCTTGCTCAAGCAAGCAAATAATTAAGGGTAACGTATCCTAGGTACAGCCAGAGGGTTGCTCGCCCCCGGACGTTGCGGCGGCGGGAGGGCGAGAGGCGTGTTTTCTTATCTTACAGGCGCATAATTGACTCGTTCCAGTGTTTCAGGGCTCGAATTGGGACGCCGAAGGCCCTAACCAGGTCGAAAAAGTTGCGGTACGTCAAATCTGAAACGTTAGACCGGCGCTAGGTTGCTGCCGGTTGCTAGAAGCAACGGAGCTCGACGACCTCGCGACGATGCGGCGACAGTGCCGCACGAACTGCCGTGGCGAACGGTGCTCGCGGTGACCGCGCCTAGGTACACCTACCGTTCACCTGTTTACATTCGCAATTAACTCGCTTATTGACACGTACACACAATCGCGCGCTCGTTTCGCTTTCGATTTTCCTTCCTACGCCTGAGAAAGAGAGAGAGGCGTCGGCAGTAAAAGTCCGTTTCAGCCGCACCCTGCGAACTTGCGAGTGACGTCTTCTGGATCCTCGGATTATCTCCTCTTCGTGGCGGGCGTCTCTCTGTGGATCGCATCGTTGCACGTACGTACGAATCACGCCGAATTTGCGCCGGCTCGCTTCTGAAAGTAGAATAGCCGCGGGAGTTAACTCGCGCACAAAACTCCCACCGAGCAGTGTCGGAGTAGATCGCATTATATCGTTTGTGTGACTGCCTCCGGCAGTCTCTTAGTTTGGTTTTCGGATCTGTAAGATTTCTCATGTCCCGGAAAAAAAAGTTTATATACATATAAAATTACATATAATTATATATAACTATGCATGATTGACATATGAATTGTGTTTCTACATGGCTACGTGATTATACATGTCCATATGAAGTAAAAAAATATTGTTAAATGAAGAATGGAGAGAAATGGTTTGATTCAATTAAGTGTTTACATCGTGGGCAGCCATAAATATGAGTATTTATTTCAGTTATATTCGCATAGCATTTTTTAGACGTAGAACATGTATAATCACATTTGATTACATACGACTGTATAGAGACGAAATTCATGTATAATCATTTTTTTCCCGAGGTCGTAGGACGCGACATCGATGGCTTTTTAAATAGCACTTAAATCCTCGTTCATAAATATCATTCTCGGGTTCAACTTAAATTCAAAATATTTTTCAGTCGCTGGATTCTTACGAAATTTCGGATGATCCCTCGTGATCGGAAATTACTAGATATTGGAGTTATCATTGATTATTGGATATCAAGGCAAAAGTACCAATGTCTGGACACGTATCCAACTCTGAACTTACTTATTGTTTCGATGTTTATATGTGTCATAAATGTGAATATTTAAATCGAATCGAGTCTCCCTCCGGTCTGATTAACGAGGAGAAGGACATTTAAACTTTCACCCCATGGAATATATACGTATTGTTCTATATTGCAAGTTTAAATATCCACACTTAGAGAACAGAATAATAAGAACGTCCAGACTTAGGCACGCGTCCAGGCGTTGGTACTTTTTTACACTTCGTCATCTTAAGGACGCTCTTTCACAAGTGCTCTCAGATGCTCCAGTCCCGAATTTCTCGCTCATTTGTATTTCTCGATACGAGAGAAACGCTCGAAACGAGCCACCAACAAGCGAATCCTCGAGATCCTTACGTCGCTCTCTCGCCGGATACTCGAAAAGCTAATTATATTCCCAAATCGGTGAATGACGTGCGACGTAACATCGGCCGGAAACGAATAATTCGCGGCCTTAAAGTTAACGTGAAATTAACATATCGCGCACTCGTCGCGCACGCTCGCTCGCCCATGCTCGTGATGAGAGATGACGACTTAATTTGCACATCAAATATCACCGTCGGTCTCATGTGTCGCGTGATCGTGAGCTCTCTGCAAAGTCCCCGCGAATTCCCGCGATTCGGGCGGCAAGTGCGCTTCATGCAGCGGCGTTCGCTTTCGCGACAGAGCGCGGCTCCCGAGCAGCGGTGGTGAATCGAGCGGACGATGAGTCGCGCGAATTTCACTGAAAAATACGAGCGAACGCTCGCGCGAATAATTGCGAATACTCCGCGCTTGCTCCTGCTAAGAACCATCGAGCGTGACCAACGTCGTCGTCCTACTTTCGTGAACAATTGTCGCGACAGGCGCACGCGCGCCGTAATTTATCATCGCGATACCCCGGCCTCCGCGATCGGAGGACAATTCTGTGCCGAAAAACATGTTCATACGTTGTGCAAACAAGCGTGCACCGCGAAAATGCGGAAGCTTATCCGCCTTGGGTACGGTTTTCCAGAAAATCGATTTCTCACAACTCAGGGAATTTAATAACACCTGCCGCCATGTCTACCTTGGGTAACATTCAATTACCTCGTTCACGCAACGTGTCCTTATAGTAGCTATCATGTGATCAGATCGGAGCGCGGATTGAACGAGCACTCTGACGCATCTGATTTGGAAAATATCAGAGGACAATTGAGCTGGCTATTGCCAAGGGACAAGTGGTTTGTACACGGAGAAAAAATTTTCTTCAGGTTTAATAAGGTTTATTTAATCGAAACAAACTTGCTTTTTGGAATGGAACAAGCGAGTATTTGGTTCAACGAATAGGAGTTGCCTGATTGCTCAAAACAATAAATATCTTTTTTGCGACAAATAACATATCTTTTGTATTTTCGTCCGAACATGGTAAATAATAAATTATTCGAAAGAAGTAATACTACTTTAGAAAAATATTAAAGAACTTTTTCACTTCAATGGAGCAATATTTAATCTATAATTAAATCAGTTTTTCTTATTGAAAATTAAATATATTTCTTCTAATTCTTCTAAATCTTTAATTCCTCGAAATATTATTCTTTAAGTATTATTTCTTCTTGTTCCTTTTTATCAAACAATATAATACACTATAATAAAGCATTTTTGTTCACACAAAATACTTAATATTAAATTATGTTGTTTATATATTAGACAAACCCAAGCAGGCAAACATGTATGTAAAATTTAAAGAAATCTTTTCCCCTGTGTAAAACATCAGGATCATCCCGACTTTGTGATCAGTTCGTCAATGAAAAGTCCCATTAAAGGTTACACCAAAGAGATTACATATCACCTGCTTTTTTCGATCTTCAAATTTGACTTGCTCGAAAACGCAGAGCCTCACGCGGGAGGAGAAATCTTCATCCGCATTTCCGACCTATTTCTCGTCTCGCGCGGGAGATCCTCCCCCCCCCCCCCCCCNGGGCGATCCTGCGCCGTATTATGCCACGCTGGTTTTCAAAGTAGCGCGTAAAAGCAACCGACGTATAATGGATTTCACATTGAAATATGATTGCTGAGCGCCAAGTTGGATGACGTTGGTACTCGCGGACACGAGAAATTAGGTATAAGTAGGCCAAGTAGTGAAGCAGAGTCGTTAGAGGGAAAGAAGGTTCCGCTAATCGCCCAAGTCGTGGTCAATCGCGTTATATCGTGGACTTACGTCCAGGCTATTTCTGTATACAACACCGTCTCGCGATGATCCTCGATTACAAAGTCTACCACCGGGGGATATCGTCGACAACGAAAAAGGGAGATCTCCAGCGTGCACGTTGGAAACTGGTCTTCAATTGCGCAACGTGTTCGCTGCCGCTAACGTAATTCTACTCGCGTCTTCTCTCTTTCGCTCGACGTTATCCTTGGCCTTCTCGCGTTTCTATCCTCAACACGGTTTTCAATATTACATTCTCACGGAAGTGAATCCCGACGCGGATCCCCCGCGTCTTTACGGGCGTTCGACGAGAGAGAGAAAGAGAAAGGAGAGAGTTACGAGATGTTCGGATTTTCTCTGCTACTTCCAGCACTCGTTTCTCGAATCTCCCGCAAGACACAAGAGAGAGAGAGAGAGAGAGAGAGATCCCCTGTGCCCTTGAAACGTGAACAGAGGTATGTTCTTCTGCGCGAGAGTAACTACATATAAATGGGTGACACAAGGCGGAGAGAGACAATTGAGTCACGTAAGTGTCGTCAGCTAAATCTGTCACCTATTGTTGATCCTATCTTTTCGATTCGGCGCAGTTAGCGTGCGCGCGCGCGCACTCCGCCGTCTCTCGCGCGCTGATCTTAGCGCGCACGAGAGTAGAAGCGCGAAGAACGCTTCCGGTTACGCAACCGCGCGGCAATAAGTTACATTCCACGATGTCGTCAGCCATCGCCATCGTCGGCGAAATGTAGGTTTACAGCGGGAGTCCGTGGAAAACGAAAGGAAAAGCGCGCTTTTTCCCGGAAGCTTCCCGCGTGACCCATTAAACTTCGTCGAGATCGCCCGCCGACGATTATCTCTCTCTAATGGCGGAGGTGATCAGTTTTACCTCCTCTTGTGAAATTATCGCAGGACGTGGCGGAAAAACGTTTCTTTCATACCTGCGAGAGTGTTGGTTTCTAATAATTAACCGTCGAATAACAAGATTGAGTCGAATCCAACTGGATCCATATTCTAACACAGTGCAGCAAAAAATCCATTAATACAAACGTTATTACATATTTTCTAACATGTAACGTTTTCAAATATGTAGTTCTTAATATTATATGCAACGTAATTGTTAACAATATTTGACTCAAATATCGAAAATAATATTTCTACGCTTTAATATTAATATTTAGGAATATTGTATCATCAAGTTATCAACAGTTTAAAGATATTTGTAAAATATTATATCAAAATATTTGTAAAATCCACATAAAATCAATGTTTCAAAAGATTGATTTAATTTTTCTTGACTTGATTGATTAAATCTTCTTACTAAATACTTCTGCGCGATTGTGAAACATTTCAGATATTTTACATATTTTGCAATATATTTTATATATTTTTAAATATATAAAATATATTTCTAAATAAATAAATATATATATATACATTTTTTTTTGAATATATAACATATATCTTTAAACATTACCTAAATTATTGTGAAAATAAAAAATGCTTAATAGAAAAAATTAGTTGGAAAACTACAAAATGCTTCTACCGGGTAGGATCCGACTCACCTTATTATGCGTGCGACTGCGATGAACGTTGTTATGCGAGGATTAACGACATTAACGCCAGGAGACTCACGAACGTTGCAATGAAAGTTTGCAAGCACCGGAACAAACCGGGACACGTGATTCATGCACACCCGCGTGAGCGTTAACGTTACGAAAATACGCTTAGCCGGTGTTCAAAGATTGAAGGTGGATTGCATGAAATCGCAGGTCGACAACCTCCGCACGATGTCCGTGCCGCTATTGCTACTGACGTCGCTCTTGGCCTCCTCGGGCGTCCACCACGTGCTCGCACGCGACGTCGACTACTGTTTCGCTTATGAGGATGATCCGTACCTCTACATGGCCACCAAGACGGCCTACCACTTCGTCCACGGTGGCAAGACTCGATTCCAGACGGTGCCGAGTAAGAAACAGCCGATGGCTGATCGAACAAATTAATTAATCAAATAAATAATAATTATATCTAAATATAAAAACTTTTCAAAGATATATAATTAGAGCAGAAAGAAACATTGTTTCGCGGAGATATCAAAGCTTTGGCTTTGATTTATCTTTGGTTTACTTCATCATAAGAACACACACACACACACACACACATACACACACACACACACACACACATCATGATAATAATCTACTATATTCATATATACTAAGAGCAGTTAATATTTAATTCGATCAACTATCATAATTGTTATCATTATCATCAATTCTTTGTTCGAACAGATTGCCGGCCGGTGCAGATGTGGATGTTAGCTGCGTATGGCACTCGCTGCCCAACCCTCCACGAGATCGACGAGATTAACGCCCTGACCGATCTTAGAGAGCAGATAGTGCACAATCACGAAACGCGCAACGGTGAGTCCTTCCAAGCAGGTCTCCTCGCGTGCTTCTCACATCGACTTACCTCGGGCCGCTAATCACTTGCTAATGCGCTTCACGCAGAGGGTCGCATGTGCAACCAGGACTTGGACAACATCAAGAGATGGCAGACGAACGAATACCTGAGGCCGGTGCGGGCGAAGGCGTTGACGCCGCAGGGAGTCGAAGACATGAGGCTCTTGGCGAGAAGATTGCAGAGCAACTTCCCGGAGTTACTGCAGCCCGTCTTCGGCAACATATCGTCCAGGAATTACAAGGTGTCCATTCCACGATTGCAATCTCTCCCGATCGCAAACACGTTAGCGCGACAATTAACGTGGCTAATCCAATATCGAGTGATAATTCGATTGGTCAATAAGTAAGAGATCGAGTAAGTCACGAAGCAACGATGGAACGCGACTGATTTTTCAGTTTCGGGCCACCGAGGCGCAACGCAGCATGGAATCCTTCATGGAAGGACTCTTCGGGAGCAGGGACGCTGTGATCCCCGAGGAGACAACTCTGAACGACACTCTGCTGAATGTGAGTGATCCGTGTCTCTTCATTGTTGAATCTTTCATACCTGTAAAAAGTATTAGCAGGGTCCAATAATTAATTACTCAGTTTAAAGTTAAGTTAAAAGTTAATAACTTAACTTAGTTAATTTTAAATGAAAATGAACTTTAAATGTGAACTAATTAATTTAAAATGCACTAACTTGAACTTATTAACTTTTGTTATATAAGTTCAAATAATTCATAAATATTAAGATCATAGCAGCGAGCTACTTTCAATATAAAATAAATAAAATAAAAAATAAGAAATCGTGCTAAGAGCAGAAATTTATGTCTTTTTAACTTTTAAAATTGGTTAAAAAAATTTTTTAATTTTAACTTAAAATAACTTTTAAAACAAAAATTAACTTAACCAACCTTAAGTATCAGGTATTAGAAATATATAGATTTGTTAGAGATAAAAGTAAAAGATGAGACTTATAGAAAAGAAAGAGGTAGAGAAAGAAAGAGAGAGAGAGAGAAAGAGAGAGAGAGAGAGAGAGAGAGGAAGAGAGAGAGAATCCGAAATTCGAAAAGTAAGGCAACAGTCAGGAAGATCGTAATCTCGAGATTTCCCTGGAATATTCTCCGTTTGATTCCACAGGCATACAAGACGTGCGGTGTGTGGGAGAACGACGCTCACGAGCAATCATACGAAAGTACGGAGCGCGACCTGTTCACCGCTGGACCACTATTTCAGAATCTCGTGCATAACGTCAGCCAACGGCTGGGATTTCTCTATGATATCTCCGTTGGTGCGTACAGGATTGGCCGCCGACTTGATCGCTATTAATAATTTTATATCTGATCGTTTCGAAAGTTCATCAATGAGAGCTCTACTTGCATCTTTGCAGACAAAATCGATGTTATGTACGATGCGTGTCGATACGAGAAGGCTTGGACGGTCACCAAACTGTCGCCTTGGTGTGCAGTCTTTAGCAAGGAAGAACTTCGAATTCTGGAGTACAGGGAGGACCTTGATTACTACTACAAAGCAGGCTACGGACGTGATATTAACACTCGTCTGGGATGCCCGTTGTTGCACGATATGATGCAACATTTTTGGTACTTCTCTCACTAACAGGTTTTATCTCGGCTGTCTTGACCTGGAAAATTTCGATGTTTCCCTTGAAATTCTTGAAATTTATTACAATCAATTATACAAAACTATATAGGATATTTCTTAATTTTTTGTTCAGAGTGGAAATTGGGTTTTCTCTTTTAAAGAGTATGTATCAATAATATATGTTATTACATATATATATGTTATTATAAATATGCATATATATTTTAATTAGGAATGTAGCACGCGACGAAATGTCGAACGAGCCCCTGGGCATCTTCTACTTCAGCGACATTATCAGTCTGCAAAATCTCTTGACCACAATTGGCATAAATGAAGATCAGACACGATTAACCGCCTTCAACTACAAGGATATGGCCCAACGACAGTGGAGAACCTCTTTAATATCCTCTTTTGCTGCGAATCTAATTGCAGTATTTTACAAGTGAGTATACATCGTCCTCCTATTAAAAAACATGAACTATTCCTCGCTATCATTTGATTTAGTTCTATCGACTTTGGTTAATTTTATTATCAAATTGATTATTTAATTATTATCGAATATTAAATTTGTGTATTTGCAAAATTTATAGTGATACAATTTTCATAATTACAAGTTCAGAAATCACAAGATTTTTACAAAATTTTTAAGTACGGATAGATTTTTATTTGTGTCTTTAAGTAAATTTTTAAGTACGGATAGATTTCTATTTATGTCTTTGCTTTCTTTTTTTAAGTCATGTATAAAGATCTCTTTCTCTATATTTATATTTAAAAGTATATGTATATTTAAAAATTGTAATCTTTATGAGACATTCAACATTGCAGGTGTAACGACAGTAGAGAGAGCAATAAAGTAATGTTTTACCTGGCGGAGAAACCAATACAATATGAAAGTTGTATGGTAGGACTCTGCGACTGGGAATTTTTGAAGAGCAAATTTGGAGAACTGGCGTCCAATTGCAAGCTGGATGTCTGTTGGGGAACGAACGGTGCACCTCCCAATCCCCTACCTCTGAATTCCACAGCTATTCTACTTGTCTGCTTCGTTCTAGTCTACCTTGGCTATCGACTGTAAATAAGTTAATCTTATTTATTTTAACTGTACTAAAGTCTTTATTTCAATTGTACTAAACGCAGAATTGTAAAATACTGAACACAATATTGTAGAGAATTAAGACATTAAGTTATAGATGACTGTTCATTCTTGATTCTGTATAAATGAACATTGCGACTCTACATACCAATGTTAAGCAAAATATATTTACAAGTGTAATAATTTCGAGTATATATCCGCGGCTATATAACTATTATTAATTAATATTGTAATAACTGTACTCTCGGTGACGATTAATATTCACGAAAGTTACTGATTTTGCATTCGTAAATAAAGATTATAAGTCTAACTGTTCTACTCTATTCGCGGCTACCCAATGATACGCTTTTTATTTACGAATAAACAATAAATACATGAATATTTCGACTTGTAAGGCATTTTTGTGTTTAAGTACAAGAGCACCCGAATATCGCGGTAAGTAAACTTCAAAATTAATAATTGTGAAGCCCATAAATGACTACGCGAGTAAAACGTGAGTAAGTTCTATCGTATCATAACAATTCAATTAGTAGTTAGTAATCAGTCAATTTTAATGAGTTACGGCAAGAAACGCAATTATTACCGAAAATAAATAAGTATTTTATGCGGAACTCACCTTTCGTCCACTTTTCGCTATCGTCCATACTTATTTGAAATATATCGCAAGTTATCGAAGTTGGACAATCGTTATCGCGATGTCAACCGATATCGATTGAACACGAAATATCGACAACCGGTCAAGATTGGCACGACCTCTCGCGGGGAGCAACCCCCTTATGACGTCAATCGGGATATGCCACACGCTACGAGCGTTCATAAGCGCTAGAGTCGTGTCCGACTTTCCAATATGTCCACGTAGGATCCCGAGTTCCCTTATCCCGCGGAAGAATCATCCGACGGACGATGGCTTCGTAGCCGTAAGGTGAATACCTTTCGCCTCGATATGCGATATTATACTGCACCACTTTCCAAATATTCAAATTTCATTTGATTCTCGGATATTCCGCATGAATGAATCTTCAAGTGTTAATTCTGTATCTCGATTTGCTGTCTCGCGTATTAAATCCTGCATTCTGTCAGCGGGAGAGGCAATTTACGCGAAGTTGGGAGACCGTAGAATCTCAGAATCAGTTGCCGTCGCTTTGCTCAGCGCCGCCTTAACTTCGTATTTTAGAGCCCCTTGACAATTAAATGTGACCATGGCCAGTCCACGGACGCGACGAGTATTAGGTGAATTGAAACCGAGGGACGAGAATAATGTAAGTTTTCCTGGGATAAAATATGAATATATTATATAATAACACATCTATTTTCGTATGAAGGGAAAGGACCAAATATACGCTAGATATTAATATAAGTCTGCAGACTTACATCTGTGTACTGACATTGTTTGATCTTTGAATCATAATTTACTATCAAAGGGCTTTCTTTCTATATCTATCATTTTTAATATAAAAAATGCTTTGCAATATGTATTAAAATATCCTACGTAGCATTGAAACGATGATATATTCGAAATATTTCCTGCTATATATAATCAATTTTATCTTAGAAGCAGAACAAATGTTTATGTGATGGATATCTCCAAAGTTTGTTCATTAAAACCAGAAATATTTGTAAAAATACTTGTACAAAAAAAAACCTGTATAAATTACTTGCAACAGCTGACCCTGAAATTGAGATTTCATATGCATTTGTGCATTTCTTAGAAATGTTTCGAATGTGGTAGTCATAATCCACAATGGGTGTCCGTGACATACGGGATCTGGATATGTCTGGAGTGTTCCGGCAAGCATCGCGGCCTGGGTGTTCACTTGTCGTTCGTCCGCTCTGTCTCAATGGACAAGTGGAAAGACGTGGAACTAGAAAAGATGAAAGTAGGCGGCAACAGAAACGCTCGTGAATTCTTCGAGAAGCAACCTGACTGGGACGAGTCCATGTCTATCTCGCAACGTTACAATACAAAGGCAGCCGCATTGTACAGGGACAAAGTGAGATACACATACTGATCGTGTAATTATAAACTTGAGGTATAAGTATGATAATCCTGGAATCATATATGAAAAACCCTTTCATTTAGATCGCTACACTGGCACGAGGAGAGCCCTGGAGTCCGAGTAATTCGGCAGCTAAAGATTTTCAGCCCTCCATGTACGTTGAAAGCAGACAAGAGCATTCCTATCAGAGTGACTTGTCCCAGACTTCCTACCAGAATATGGACACAAACAGCCTGAAGACACAAACGGAGTCTTTTTTTACGAGGAAACAGAATGAAAATGCAAATCGTCCCGAGTAAGTAGCTATTGATTTATGTTTCTGCATCCTATTCTCTATATCCAATCATCTGCAGTTTCAAATTATATAAATTGCAATTTCTTCATCTATTTCATGCACTTTGTAAGCTATTAATATAGTTTCATTGAATTTTAATAATTTGTTGTAAGTAATTAAAAATTGATATGAATAATTAAACAATACCAGTTCAATTTCTAATATTGGTTCCTTTTTTTCCTTGGTAGGAATATACCTCCCAGTCAAGGTGGCAAGTACGGAGGATTCGGCTACCAAATGGATCCACCACCCAAGAGTTCATCCCAGGAATTGTTCGACAATGCAGTATCTTCATTAGCAACTGTATAGTTTTTTTTATCTTAATCTTTAATCAGATCCTACAGATTTGATGAATTAGTAGTCGAACTATTGACGTAAGACAGCTAATTTTTGCAGGGTTGGTCAATATTTTCCTCCTCGGCGTCGAGAATAGCGAGCAAGGCTACCGAGAATGCCATTAAGATCGGAGGAATCGCGACACAAAAGGCAAGTGATTTAGGTATTATTGTGACATCTGATACTACATTATAAATTGTCATTTTTCCGCAGTAGATTTTTTCCACATAATTCCTTGTTAATCTCAGTTAACTTTTGTTAATATGCATTGTTCGACAACATTTGTCACTTTCGTTGTGTTTTCATTTTGTTTCTTCTTTTAAATCGCATCATTAGGTTCGCGATGGTACATTATTAGAGGAAGTTGGAGCCCAGGTCAATCATTTAGCTGCAAAGGTATAAGTTAATTTACTTCCAACATTTATTTTCTCGAGTTCTGCTTATGATTATGTTGTTTATTAATTAAATTAAAAAAGTTTAAGCTTCTATCTACAACCTTATTTTAAGACTTAAGAAGTACGCAAGTTAACCAAAGTTACAGTCAATTATTCTCCTAACAAACGACTATGATAGGTCAATTTGTCTATTGCTTATATCTTAAAGTAAGGTTGTGAACCGCTCGTAACAGCAAAAAATGCACAGGTGGGAGATTTAGGTAGAAGGGGATGGGGCGACATCGCTGGGACCAATTCAGCTGAACAAAACCACTATGATTCCACGGACCGGTATCAATGTTCCAGTAATACATACCAGAATAATGACTCTATACAGACCAATCGCTCCAACGAAAAGTCGTCTCTCGTGAGAAGTTCCAGTTCGAAGTAAGTTGATTTTGAGTCTCTCGCATTTTTGCTGATAAATATGTAGACATTTCTGCTCTTAAAATATATAGAAAATATACATGATAAAAAGAAGGTATAAAATTAATTTTATAAATTTATTTTATACTTTGCTTATTTCAGGGGTAGTGTTTCGTCTACTGGAGGTTCTTGCAACACCTCGAATTGCGACTGGGAATGGGGCAATGATACGAAGCAGACGAGCAAGACCTCGAAGAAGCCGACAAAAGAGAAGGAAGAATCGCTGATCAGTTTCGAAACAGACAATAAAGCACAGAACTGGAACTCCAAGTTGGAAGACGACGCCTGGGAAATATTAAACAATTAATGATAATACAACTAGCGCAAATTATGGGAGAGATATCGATACATGTTAACTTGGACATATTAACACGTTGACTGCCGCATTGATTTTCCCATTGATTGTACAAAGACTTAACCGACGGTCGATTATTAAGGAGACATTAAAGAAATGTAATTCGAAACGCATCTCTTTTATCTCGTTTCATTGACTCCTTATTGGTCGTACAGCCGATTTTTTTTAGATGCAGTTTAACTATATTCTGTACGTAATTTAACGTGATGGTATATCATAGTACCAGTCACCAATGATCATCACGACATTCAACGTGTTAAGAAAAAGACATGCCTTTATGTAAGAGAGGAGTTTCTCAAAAGGAAACCCAATTTTCTAATATTCATAGAATAGACAGCAATTTTATTTTATAATTCGCAACGTTATCATTAAGTTATTTACGGTTAATTAAGATAAACGAACCTATTCCTTCAGTCTTGGAACCCTTTCAGATGATGCGATTACTCACACACATCCAAAATGTAAAAGTATCATGATGAAAAAGTGTAAAAAAGGACACGAGATTATATATAACGATATTAAAGTAATTAGATCTATCAGCAGTTTTATACGTTTTGTTCCTTGGAAATTCTTCCTGAAAAAAAAACAAAAATATTAAAAATTCATTTTAACTCCATCACAAGGTGAATCTTATCAAAATTGATGTAAGAAAATTCTGAGAAAAACTAACTTTTTCCTCGATACACGCGTCTGTTGAGTGTTCTGCTGTATTTGAAAATTTCAATACAGTATTTCACAAGATCCTGTTGTTTGTCCAGCCATGCCTCATGTAATACTTCTGTAATTAATGTGTACAGAACTTCTGCAGACTTCTGTGAAATGGGTGCGGGAACTTGGTTCATTGTCAGCTTATAAAGAAAGTGATATATTTCTCTGTAAAAATGTCGGTCGATCAGCCTTCATCTTTAATGTTTAACATTCGAAATCAAGAATTCATGTGTCTGATAAGGTAAAAGTTGAAAAATGATTGCCAAGATGTTAAGATTATATCGATCCCAGGTTGGCAGTAACGATGTACAGTTAATCATAACAGAATAAACAGTTGTGTCTGGCAGTTAAATAGAACTCCAAATTGAATGAACTTGCTGCTAACAATCTAGAATTAGATAAATGCATTATTATACATACCTGTAGTTACATTCAGCATGATTATTTTTATGAAGAGGATGCTGTTCGTACCATTCGATGAATAGTAACGCCATAGGCACCGACTCTGTGTTTTCAAATAACTTACTCTGTAGCCAATGAACCAACGAAGGCATTTCTTTAAATATAATATGCAGTTTCTCGAGCGTTATTTTTATGTCTTCTTCAAATTTCTCCGCAGACATCATATTAGGAAAGGTTTCAAGAGGATATCCATATTTAAAGAGAATCTTCAGTAACTTCATCTGTTCTTCCTTCTTACTGAACGGAAATTTATGTAAGTCCTCCAAGATGAGATCATCCTCAATTGTTTCATTTGTTTCTTCATTACTCATTCTTTAACAAGAATAAAATATTTACTAAAATACTGTAAAAGTATGAGGAGCGTAATAATTCGTATAAAGAATAAAGTTGTGTTGCTGGGCCTAAACGCTTCAAAAGTGATAATCAACTAATGGTATATAATTATTATTATCAAGTATTTATATTGTCAAGCAAGCTAGGTGAATTAATAAAGTTATGCACTTTTCTTCAAAAGCCTCCCTTTTAAAAGTTCAATATAACTGTGAGATTAACTTTATTACACTATATACTTACATATATTGTCTTATATTGACGTTGGCTTTGGCAAAACAAAACGATGTCAACCAATTCTCGTCTCTTTACTGTGAGCACATTAACATTTGACTATCCCTGTCATACATAACCTAGCCAATAACAAAAAATCTGAAAAATATGTTGGTAATCGTGGGTAAGATCCATTTGATATTGCAAATTATTCGAAGAGCGGCATAGACCAATCATAGCATTTCTTCGAGCGTTTTAAAGCCTTTGTGGGTTTATTCCCGTTTAACTTTACTTGGCTGTGTTCCGAAACTCTATTAATAGAGTAATATTTAATTCACCAATCAAGGCGAAAAGAGTAAAGATTTCTTTATCATGATTGGTTGATTAAATCTACCTAATCTACCTGGCAAGTAGGGTTTTGGAACGCAGCCTTTGTAGCCAATCGCTGTCTAGTGATAATATTTGACATATTTACATTTCTATGGCGGTTCAAGATTGACAATAAGAAGTGATATCATTTTGCGACCAATGTTTGTAATCATCTATTATAAAACTGTCTAACTTCGACGAGTGAGTATTTTAATAATATTAAAGGAAATAATACATTCACTTGTTGTTTAAATATATTGACAAGTCTCTATCTTACAAAATCAACCGAATATCTGTCCTAACCTAAGCGCTCTCGCATCTTTTTCTTAATTTTTAAGCAGTAGCTAAGCTATTTTTAGGTAGAAGTAAACTTTTTTTTTCAGAAAAGCACAAAATACAGGTAAATTTTGCACGCTTTCAATAAGAAACTATCACAACACGAATGTTCTATCTTTAGAAAGGAACGTAACCGAGCCAGCATGCCAGAGCCTGTGAGCCACCAGGTGAATGCCGCTCGTAAGACGTTCCAGACTTTGTACCAGATCTCCAAGCTGCTGAACACGAATCTAGATCCGACCACCCTGAGCATGTGTATCAGGCTATGTGAAAACGGAGTGAATCCGCATGCTCTTGCAGCTGTGGTAAAGGAACTTCAGCGAGAGGTCAAGGCGATGAACGACGTCCAGTTGGAGTCAACCAGCAAGACCAGTGCGAATAAGTGAACATGAGCATATGACACTTGTTACTCTTCCATGTTCTTTGCGGAATTGCTTGCTTTATGTTATTCAATAAATATTTTCAGATATAGATATAGTATATATAAGAGCGATTTTATTTAATCCATATGTTCTAGTGGATGCGTATATAACATCGTGCTTTATAAAAACAATCGTATCGCTAACAAATGTCGAGAAAATATTGTCCGAAAGAAATATCTATATAAAAGTGTATAAGTAGAAACGTTTGAGAGAGAGAGAGAGAAAGAGAGAAAGAGAGAAATGCTTACGCGGAAATATCAAGCATGCGATGTTACAAATCGACCTTGCTTCGTTTCGCATTCTGTTTCTTTATTGACTCATCGGCTGCAGCCTGAAAGAGAAGCAACATTTATTTTATTATTTTTCTTATTTCATGTATTATATGTAGATTGAAAAAAAGAGGTGCAGTATGAGTCATTACCTGTTGTTGCAGATCCCTGTAATAAGTCTGCCCTTCTAGAGTGAGGTGAGATAGTTCAGGTTGTTCCAACAAATAATTTTTAGCATCAACGGCCTGAGATCCTTCACGGAACATATATATTGACCGTCTAGTATCGATTGGATATCTGTGAAAAGGAATACAGTAAAAAATATATATAAAATATTTTGGTGAATAGTAATCTCTCATTTCTACTGTTACAACATATAGAGTCCAATGATTGTATGCATCAGATCATCAATGATGATGTAATATATTAAATACTGTTACATATATTATCTTACCTCTCAGCAATGATATGATTATTTTGCAAACTGGTCTGCCAAATACGCATTACAACATCAGCCTGTTCGTCTGAAATATCTGGCCTTATATCCACAAACATCATAACACCTTTTCCCTTTTTCGTTGCTCTCAGCAAGTTATCTGGATTTGTAGTATCTATCTGTACAATAAATTATACATGGATGCAGAAGTTAATGGATTAAATATATTTCATATTTTAATTAACAATCATGAGGTCTGATACAAGCACAGAAATCTGTTACCTTAGATAAGTCTATTTTCGGACTGGGCCGTAAGTGCTCTGGCAATTCATCTGGTTCTAAAGGTTCTTCATTTTCCTGAAATATAATATTATTTTATTAGAATATAATATCACAGAAAAGAATAAATTTATTTTATCCACCTAAGGTCATGTCTCAGAAAAAATGTCATAAAAAAATTAGAAGATTTAAACAAGAAAAGCCTTACTTCCCACTGATCCAATAAATGTTCTAGATCTGCTTCTGTCATATCCCGTATGTCCTTGTCACGCCATGATTTCTTTTTTGGTGTATTCTGAACCTCACTGGCTGACGTTGTGAGGAAAAAGAATACGAACAAGCTCAAAATGGTCATCTTTGGTTTCATCTTGTACTAGTTAACAGAAATCACACATCGATTTCCAACAAATTACCATGACACGTTACCTACATGCCCTAAGTAGATACCTGAAAATTCAGAAGCCAAAGGTTGACATTAGCCTGAAAGGTCACAATTATTAGAAATTAATCAATCGATGCTTCTGAGTTACATTGCTTAGTAAGCGTTTTGAGGTTAGATTGCTTTCACGACTCCGATATTACTTGTAATATTTGGTCACAGAAAATTCAATATAAATGAAAATATATGAAAAGATTATAGGAAATTAGAATTAATAATTATAAAAAAAAAGGCATAAGAATATTAGCAAAAGGATACTACCGCAAATCGTATTCGTGACAGATATTCGATAACCGTGTCGCTATCACGCGTTGTCATAGAGCCTGTTTTTTTTCAGCTGCACTGTTGAACTAGGCAATAAGTAGAAGTGAAACAAATATATGTTTTCTCACGTCACTTACTGTACCAGTTTAGCAGTGCAGCTAAAAAGAACGGGCCATTTAAGTAGAATCCACTTGACGTCGTAAATGCTTCGAATTGTGCCGGTATAGACCAATCATATTCTTTTTCTTGGTACTTTAAAATATTTGCAGCTTCAAGTGGATTTTCCCGACAAAGTCGAAGCGCTATTGAAGACGGGCGATTGTCGTAAAATTTTGATCAATTAATTATAATGAAGAATCGCGCTACGCCCGACATCCGATGGGAGAATCCATTTTCCAGAGGTAAGGATGCCCCTAGCTAAATAAACCCTAGACTAACGGGCACCTCCTATTGGACGCCCGGATCGTGCATCGGCTGCCATGCGCAATGTAAAAATTCATTGTGCCAGGAAATATTGCCGATAATACAGAATGTCTGTCACAGATTTCCTCTGGCCGGATCGGAATTGGCCGGTAATATAGAATCTCTGCAATATATGCATAAATTAATTCATGAGATCTATTATTTTTCAATATTCGTCTTCGATCTTTTCTCCCCCTGGTACTCGATTGTATATATTTATTTCATTCTGCGGGCAAGAAGTGGAGCACACGTAATAACAGATAAAAGTAGATTCATTAACGATGCAGTTACAACGACGTTGAGAACGACGATAGTGAACTGCGTTTCCGTATACGTAACGTTCGTGTTGTTACCATTGTCATGTATGCGATATTGTGAACTTATATGCACCGAAGGAATATATCATCTTGTACAGTGTCTGTCGTGACTCCCCTAAATAGAAACAAAACGCATTTCAGGCATATATTAACGTACGTGAGAAATTATTCGACCGTTTATCTCATCATTTCATTCTAGATCTTAATTCTAATCGGAGCACACAAACATAACCTTTAAGCGCATTTACGCAACTTGCGTAGAGAGAGAGAGAGAGAGAGAGAGATTCGTTTAATAATGACAATAATGACGGCTAGGAAACACGTTTTTTTTTTAAATGTCAATAATTGGAAATTTGAACAATTACCGTTAACGATTAGGAGTTTTTTTTTTTCGTTTATCCAGTGATAACGAATGTATTTATAATTTTAAAGACTTTGCGTATTAATAAAAATACTATCTCTAGCGAAATTTAGAATTATGCTATATTGTTCCAGATATTATTTGCGATAATTAAATCTAAGTTTATGTTAAACTGACTTTATTGCAATCATGTTTGCCAGTGATATTAATGTTTATGAGGAAATGGTGTGCGATGAGACTCAAAAGTCAAACTTCATTCAAGAGCAATCACTACAATATCCTATGTTGTTAAAGCAAGAACGCATTGCAGAAAGTCTGGTAAGAAATTTATCTTGTCGATGCCAATTCCCTTGGGTTTGATTTAATTAATACATTCTATGCCATATATATTCTGTTTTCGGTCTAGAAAATTAAATCTCTGAGCTAACTGATATTTTTGTCATTAAAAGACAAAGTGGGAACGCGTCGAATATTAAAAAATTTGTGTTGAATATTTATTAATTACTTATGCTTTGTACATAGGTTGTGGGTGAGGAGATAGTTGTAGGTGGCGATCATCTATTTGGCGAGACTGATTGTCAGGAAACTGACACAACTATGTATTTCAATCACGATTTGGAGAATTGTAACAAAATAAACATCAAGTACGAAGAATCCGGCACTTCGATACCTCTGACAGAAAGTTCAATCGTTGACAAGTGGGATTGTGAAGATATCGACATATCTTCGTTAAAAGTATATACATATATAAAATTGAAAGTCATTTATTCCATCAGCCTGTTGTTTGTTGTAAATAAAATCAATGTTGTATCACAATCAAGCATACTTGTAAGGCTTATCGGTGGATTTTTCTAATTAAATTCTGATCTGTTACATCTTGCTTATATATATATATATATATATATATATGTATATATAATTTTTTTTAATAATTATCATAACATTTTTATTTAAAAATATATATATATATCACGATCAGATAATGTGTGCAGGGAAACGAGTATGATAACGCCTCCAGTGAACAGGACACCGACGAAGAAACTATCGCCACTTTTGTCACCGCGACCGGACAGCAACTGGCACTGTATGCTGTGGAAGACTCAGAGGAGATATATGCCGTGGCTCTTTACGACGAATCTGGCAAACCTCCGACTAATTTCCAATTTCTCATGAAGTAAGAAGTAAACCCGTTGAAAAAATGATAATTTTAGTTTCAATTACTTGCGCACAGGTATGATGTCGAGACAAAAAAAAATTATAACGAATGCATCAGAGAAAGGAGTATTGAAAAGAATTTTTTCCATAACTTGTCTCGCTGCCGATTTGAAAGAGAAAACCCGCTCAAATTGCATGTGAAACACACAAATTCCAGATATTATTATACCCTTTAATTAACTTTCAGTAATATGGTCGCTATGAACATATGATACACACAATTGCACAACTGCACTCAGGCTCTGTTCGACTATTCTTTATTTTCTGTCGTAATTTTATAAGAGAAATTTTCAGAAAGAGCTCCTCTTACACACACGCTTAACATTTAATTATGAATGTGCTTGCAGAGCAGATGTGGAACGTCTGATAGGTGAAGGAGCCGTGAGAACGGTGAAGAAACCGACACAAATGAAGAAACGACTGTTGACTACTCAGTCGTATCTTCATAGTGAAGACTTTGAGGAAATGGTGGAGCAGGCCCATGTGGACGTGAACAACGGTATCATTACTCACGACATGTCTATCGATGACAAGTGTATAGACGGGTCGGAAAGCTACGAAACGGAATACGACTACAAAACGACTTCTCATCAGAACTACAGTGATTTCGCTACGATCGCTTCAAACACATCCAATGACATTATTTATAACACAGTTGACAAGCAGCCCGATGTCACCACGTATCTCTTGATGAACGATCGTTCCAACAATATTGGTACGTAGGAAATCGGGAGTAAATTGTTTAGAACAGATACATGAATGAACAAACTTATCTCACTTTGAGTTTGGCATGTACGACTTCCCTGAAACGCCAAACTTATCGTCAGAAGTACAAAAATCAGTTTCTAAGACAAGATCATCCTTTGGGAAGATATTATGATTTTACAATCACAATTTAACACATTGCAGACCGCTAAGAAATCTGTAAGACATACGCCTGGGACCGCATGTTTTTGGGCAAACTTGCACGTTACTAAAATCATCATAACATTTTTATTAATGAAGCGATGTTTATTAGACTTTCAGAAATTGTAAAATAGGACGCATTTTAGGTATTATTTAAAAAAAGTTATGTTTTTTAATAATTATCATAAACTTTTTTTACTTGAAAATAAATGTTTACGAATTTTTTTAAAATTGTAAAATAAGATGCATTTCAGGTATTTAAAAAATTTTTTTTTAATAATTATCATAACATTTTTATTTAAAAATCAACTTTAAACCAAAGTTCCTAATACATTTTTGACATATTGTTGACCGGCAATTTTACTTAGAATTTATTTAAATTTTTTTTTATTTCAAAGGGTACACAACTTGACGGGTTTTATTAGAAGCGAAAGACAGCTTGTGGTATGCTGAACAACAATTACACTGTATGATCTCCGAGAATGTACTGACCCAACTCGTGATCGAGGCGAAACAAAAGCGCATCGATCACGAGTTACTCGTAGCCGGTCAGCAACGTTTGAGCAGGAAGACACGAATTAACTCGTGACCGGTCAACAATGTGTTAATTATATTCAATTGATGTTTGATCAATATTTGATTAATATTTAATTAATTTCTTACCAGAATATAAAGTGAAACGTGAGGAGCCATATTCGAAAAAGCATGTATTATTAACGGAACAAACAGACGAAATTCAGGACGCTCAAGAGGTCAGGCAGGACGAAGAACTGATGGAGCGCTCCACCGTACAATACATCCTGTTTGATGAGGAGCAATCGGACTCCGAGCTGACTTTCGACGAGATCCAGAGGACGCTGGAGAACCTGAGGAAACCTCGTAGAAAAGGATCGAGGGACGCGTCTGCGGACAGCAGCGAACGATCCGACAGCAAGTCACAGGACGATTACTCGTGCATCAAACGAGAGGTTCTCTACAATTCTTCGATGGAGATCGATTCGTCGTTAGAGATGGACACGATTCACAACGAGACGCAGTCCTTGTCGTTTACCCCGCGGACACCGTCAGATAATGAATCGGACGATCGGCAACGTCTGATTGATACTCTGACCGACTCCCCCCCGTCGACGGAGAAGGCGCAGCCACGTCTGAAACGATCGCGCAAGCAGCAGCTGACGTCGATGAATCGAGATGACGGTGAGATCATCATTCAGCCGGCGTCGTTGCTTAGCGAGGAGGAGCTGACTGGCAAGAAACGGGGCAGGCGGCGACGTCCCAGGCCGCCTCAGGTTCGCATCGAGCACGGGCACGCGTCCAAGAAGATCAAGAGGAAGAAACGGCAGAAGGTAGTGAAAACCGTGTTGCGATGCAGGAGCGATCAAGTCGCGATTAATATCGCTCACAATTTTGTTCTCTCAGCTTGTTTTTTTTTTAATTAACTTCTCAATAATTGCCTCGTGATATCTAGGTCGTGGAGGTGATCGACCTGGACGTTGACGAGGAGGAACAGCGGAACGTCGTGATCGAGATCACCTTGGACGACAGCAGGGACGACGGGAAATATTCCAGCGACAAGGAGAATGAGATCATCATGGTGAGGGACTCGGACGACGACGAGGACGAAGGGGAGGAGGAGGAGGAGGAGGAGGAACATTCTGGCGCCCTGACGAAGCTCAGTGGCGCGATGCAGTGCAAACACTGCTCCAGGGGCTTCCGTCAGCGACGCGCCCTCGACACGCATCTCAGGGTATGCGAGAAATCGCCAGAGAACGCCCGCAAGCTCGACAAGAGAAAAGCGAAGGGCAAACAGGAGCAGGCGGGCAGAAAGCAGTACGCCTGCAAAATCTGCCAGGAGAAGTTCGACGTGGTGGTCGCCCTGGCGCGTCACGTTCGCGCGGAGCATTCGCAGAGGAAGAAGCAGAGATGGGCACCTACCTCGCAAAAGTATGGATCAATGTTTTCGATGATAAGTATTCTTATGCCAAGTATCGAATAGCAGAGAGGATGAGGACGAAGCTTCTCTGTTGCTTCTTTCAAGCCATGTCTTAAGAATCAAGACTTTACACAAGCTTTATACCACCCGCCTACCTTCCGTTTGTTACTTCTTCGCAAACAAACATCCCCCCGACAAATTCGACTGAGTGCCGATTTATTAATCTCGATTTCCGTGCAATAGGACCCAGGACAAGTCTCTGAGATCGGTTCAACAGAGGCAGCAAGCGGAACACGAGGAAGAAGACGCCGACATAGAGGGCGAAGAGGAGGAAGATAACGAAGGTGAGAAGGAGCGGTCCGAAGGCGACGATGCGGAGAAGACCGAGCTTCGCATGCTCGGTAAGGTAAAAGGGAAAGAGAAGGACGACGACGAGACCTGTTCATGGGAGACGGACAAGTTCAGGTGCGTCGATTGCGGCCGATGTTACTCGAGCTCCGCGTTACTGAGTGAGCACAGTCTGCTGCACGGCGCTAAGAAGTCCGGTACGTACGTACTCGACTTAGTCTTCTCGCTAGTCGACTCCGAGCAGTTCCGGTGGTTTTGAAAGGGAGCGAGAATCTTCCAAGATCGCTGGTAGAACCCTATGATATTCCTCGTAAATCTCTTACTCTCTCTTTCGTACCACTGGTAGAACCGCAACGGCGCAAGTGTCACATCTGCAAGAAGATCATGAAGTCCAGGTTGCTGTTGCTGCGGCACATCAAGATGCACAACGCATCCAGATGCAGCGCGGGATCGTCGCATATGCTGCGTAGGAGGTTGCGCGCCCGGCCGAGCACGCGCATCATGTCCCTCAGGAAGCGGGGCCGGCCGAGGAAGTTCTGATCGTTGGTGGCCCCGCGGCACGTGTAATAACAGCGTTATTCTAAAGCGAAGTCTACAATGAGAATTTAAGCTCTGAGCCTTAAGAAATTGACCAATTACAGTGTCGATTATTCTCCTTACATTTGACTCCGATTGGTCGATTTCTCAAGGCTCAGAGCTTAAAACACCTATTGTAGACCGGAACTTACGGGACTTGTTCAAGGTGTTCCGCGGATCGCGTCTCGAGATCTACTTCTGGCGCGTGCGAGCGTTAATTAGCTATTTATAGGTTAGCGTTATTGATGTAAACAGCTGCGAGCTACATCCTCGGCCGCGTGTCGCTCGTTTCTTGATGCCGCTCGCTCGATCGAGCGGAGGAAGTATCGGTGGTATCAGAAAAGTCCGGTCGTTCGATTCAGGACGATGTTCTGCATGGAATAACGCGAGTCGAGTTGATCGAGAAGAAAGACTGCTCGACGAAATGGTGCTTGTTGAAATCGGAGATGATGAAATTTCAACTCCGGCTATCCCGCCATTCCTCGGAGTATCTCACGTCAGGGTCCTGTTCTCAAGTTGAGACGGATCCCTTACGGGGAAGGCCTCATCGAGTCGGGAATTTCGTGAATCTCCGGTCAGCTTTGCGCGTCCGCGTTGTAATGTCGCGGCTCACTGTAAATAAAGCGATACCATAAATTCGTTATCAGCGATCCGAACGTGTACATATACTTATTAAGTGAGATGCATCGATAATAGAACGGGACGCGGCGGTGTCTTTCATACAGGCATCGTTACGTCTTCTATTATATTCGCTTCCCTTTCCCGCTCTCCTATTGTCAAAAACGCAACAAAATAATATGAAAGAGAGCAGAGGAGTGACTGATGTGTCCAATGGCATTGCGAAGAAATCCACTACGAGTGTGATTTGAAGAGAAAAATTGCAAAAAAGCGATAGATTTATTGGACAGTTACAAGGTAAATGGCACTTTCCTATAAACATGCACTGGCTCCTTCGAACATAGACTTTATGCCTGATTTAGCCGTGTGCCAGGTGAGTCTGTCCTCGTAGAATCGAATGACAACTTGAGGGCACTGTACGTTCGCTTCCTTGGCGGGAACCAGATCAATTTCATCCGTCCCTTTCCTGTATAGAAATTCATCTTTGTTTAATCAACCGACCTCGGCCCTCTAACTTACTTACATTGGTCTCAAAGCTTTTCTTATTGAGTGATTTTCACATTTACACACATGTTTTATTGTGTTACAACAAAGATCTTATGTCGTGAATAATATATGGTCTGTTCTCTTTAGCTGCACTGCTGAATTGGTCCAATAAGTTAGAGCGAGATAAAATATATTTGTCTAATTTTTAATTTATTGCATCAGTTCAGCGATGCGACTAAAAAGGACAGACCAATAGTTTCTAGATGTGTAACGGATATGTGTAGTACACAAAGAGAAAGAATTTTCACCTACCATTGCATCAGAAACATCAACTCCCCTGTGAGATCTGCCACGCCAATGATCTTGTCCGGTTCTAACGCTCTCTTAAATCCATGCGCTTCATCGGCGTCCTTGGTTATCTTCTTCTTATTGTTCATCTCACAAAGGGACATAATGAGATAATAATTGATGTTAATCACTATTGCATTCGTTTATTTGAAATAATAAGAATGCACTTTTCGTAGCATATCTGAAAAGTTTGAGGAGCAAAATCAAAAATTTGAAATCATAAGGAAGACGTTCTGTTTCTAATCACTCAATGTGTTAACTTTGATTATACTAACATGATAAAGTTGGTTTTGTAATATTTTTAGTCTTTGTTTATGTAATCAGCATAAAACTAATAATACTTATATATATATATATATATATCAGTTATCATGTTAAACATAGTCTTTCAATCAGTTAGATCAATCAAGTTATTAGTTACCTCATCTCACCCTTTTCAAAAACTTTGAAACTGATAATTAGTATTAGATTTGGTCAAAGCTTTATTTTCAACTGCTTACTCCATTTTAAATACTTTGGGACCAACTTCTCCAGCCCTGATGCAGAGTATAATTGTTATTCTTTATTACAAATTTAATTTTACAACGAATTATACACGATATGATGGCAAACAAGTAAAAAAGAAAGACTCGCTCACTTTTCAGAAGAAATATGCCGGTTACTTACGTTACTGGAGCGGAAAATTAAATAATATACATTTCGTGTGGCAGCTGACCAACAACGTCGCTGGTATTGCTTTTATTTTTACTCTTAAAACTTCGACATACTGTGTACCTGTTGAAATAATAAACAATTATTGAGGTTAAGTCAACGACGGAGAATTACCAATCTTACGTGTTACTTCTACGCACGTAACGTATTTAGGTCGATCATATTTAAAAACAAGCATGTAAGTATCTCTCAGTAAATGTATTTCGATAAAATCTCGTCAAAGGTAATACAAGTAACACAAATGAAAAATCTCTGACCTCCTGATTACACAACAAGTAAACAATGAATTCTGACACCGAGAAGTTATGGGCTAGTACTCATAGTCGGATCTTCTATTATAAGTTCCACTTAACGCTCGCAACGTCATGAGCGTCATTCTATCTTTATTCAACATCCAGCGATAAACAAAGATAGAATGATACTCGCGTCGTCGCGGGCGTTAAGTGAAGAACCCGTATAAGTCCAGCTCAAATTTAACTTTACAAATGTTGTACGGCTTCATTTGCTACGAAGCATCTGAAGATAATCAGTTGTTGTATGGCTCATTTCATTTGCTAGGAAGCATTTCAAGATGATTTTAAAACTGACTTTAAGATCCGACCTATGGCCGGTATTCATAGTCAGCACCTTATGTCTGAGATCGTTTAGGTTCATCTTTTAGATGCTTCGTAGCGAATGAAATAAGCCGTACAACATCTGAAGATGATCTCAGACGGTCTTAAATATAAGATCCAACTATAGCCGATATTTATACGATATTTAGACAATGGATTGTCCGCTGATTGGGTCGACGTTTGACTCTTGTCTGCTGATTAGCTCCGGCGCTTGTTGACGCTACCATGAAATTGTACCTTGAGCTATTGATCGAGCCTTTAGAGCCATCTGTTGAAGGTAAGAAGAGGGAGCAGCAGCTAACAGCAGCAGCGCTAGCAGCCGTCGCCCAGCTATATTGATTTTTTACTATGATTACGGGAGGTGGTGTGGCCCGGGAATTACGTGAGAAATGTTAATCTCCTGGCGCGGCCGTGCGCACGCTGCTGTCGACGCTCTGTGACGCTGAGTGCGTGGCGAGATGTCGACGCCCCGGCTCCGGGGCCACGACATTCCCATGGAAACGTAGACGCGGGAGCACCTGCCGCGCCCGGCGTTGTTACGCGATGTTGCTCCGTACCGCTTCGTGCGGTTAGGTTATCCACGGATTCCGACGTAGCGATCGCGTCCACGGGATTCTCTGACCATCATCGTCCTTAACCCGGTGAGACTTCCTCACGACTTATCTTTCCCCACCGTCGACATGTCGATCCGAGACGCTTACACGTCGGTCGGGAATCGATGGTCGATTCGTCCCGTTGTACGCAGAGATAGAAAATTACCGCGGAAGTCCGAACGGGTACGCGACGAGGAATCTGTCCCGAGCTGCGACACGATGCAGCGAGAACAATATTGAAAACTTGGCATTTTCGGATGAATCGACGGGAGAGAACTGAGAGAATTCTGTGTTCTGTTTTCAGCCCAATTAGTAAGCACGGAAGACTCAGGATCCGGAGGACACACGTAACGCCTAGTGGAAGAAGATAACGAGAGAGAGAGAGAGAGAGAGAGAGAGAGAAAGAAAGAAAGAGAGTACAAGCCGAAGTGTTAGTGTTCGCGTAACGTTGCCATCCTTATATTTCGTACAATGAGTAGCTGGACCGAGAGAATGCATCGACGCGCCGCTACCTTAGGAAATGTTGTAACCAGCTGTGGACATCCCTCGGTGCCGCCATATCCAAGACGCCTTGAGAAGTTAGTATATTGGGAATGATGCGTTTGTCCTCCCTGTTTTTCGTTTTGGTTGATTGTTGGAAATTTCATTAACGAATCAGAAACGTTGCATGACTACAGCTGGTATTCATAGTATTCATAGTCAGATCTTATATCTAAGACCGTCTTAAGTTTATCTTCAGATGCTGTAAAGCTGACTTTCATTGACTACGAAATATCTGAAGATAAACTCAAGACTGTCTTAAGTTTATGATCCGACTATGAGTACCAGTCTATGTGTTTTTCTTGGACAAGTGTACAATACACTGGCATGTTCTTTGATTGGAGACTCTAATAAGATGTACAATAAGTAATTTAGAGGAAAAAATGACGATGATAATTAAGTTTGCTTACTTATTATGTACATATTTGTACATCCACGTATATAGTAGTTGAAATATATACATTCTGGAAAATCTGTAACTCAAAGTTTAATGGTGCATCATTAAAACTAACAGCAAGAAATAAACTGTCTTTGTTATCTAATGTATTGATACAGATACGAACACATTTAGATACTTAAGCGTATCTAAAATAGTTCTCACTCAAGTTAGGGAAAATTCCTAACGGAGCGATAACTTGCTACAATTAGCAAAGTATGTTAAATAAAGAAGAATAATCTGGAGGTAAATCGGTGTAATAAAGGACCTTTGAATTTTTTCACAGATGTGATAATTGATATTTAACGGTATATCGAACGAATATATTCGACATTCTGCGTTTATGTTTGATGCTCTGAGGAGGAGCGTGTAGAATTGTAAGTAATGGCAGTTTGAGAAGAAAAAATTACATGTCTCGTGTTACTAATGTGTGTTGATACCTCAGAATTGCATTAATAGCCGATCGCGCAGCTGAATCCACTTTAGCGGCCTTCGAGTAGAGACTTCGTAGCGCAGCTTTGTATAACAAAGCAGAAAACGCATCGTCAGCTTCACCATGAAGTCTTTCAATTCAACATGCGACCGTCCCGCATATTTTATAGACGATATTAGCCCCGAATCCACGTTCACAATTCACGCATTTTCTCTCTCTCTCTCTCTTTCTCGCTGTTGACTTTGCGAATCGCAATTCAAATGCGAACGCGCGCGCTTCCCGCAGCCAATAACGTATGCGAATCTGCTTTTCTTTCCGTAGGGTCAAATTTGGAGTACCCCTCGATGAGGTGTGCAAAAACGATATTCCCGGCCCTTTATTGGTAAGCGCATCGGACGTCTTTTCAAAAAAGTATGTGCGTTTAAGCAGGGTCTACAATAAAAATTTAAGGGACGTAGATCTTAAGAAGAAACTGACCAATCACAGTCGATTATTCTCCTTATATTCGATCGTGATTGGTCAACTTCTCAAGGCTTAAGGCTATTAAAACAACTATTGTAGACCGGGACTTAAAGCACTCAGAACAATCAAACGAGAAGTAATAATTCCCCCGTCATTCTAGGTTCTCATACTGAAATTAAACAAGGAAGCCCCGCTCAGGAAAGATGTTTTCCGGGCGCCTGGCCACCAGGGTAACATGAAGAAACTCATTCACTTTCTGCAAACTGGACACCTGGTCAATATGGACAATTTTAGCGTTTACACGATAGCTAGCGTTCTAAAGAAGTTTCTACGCAAAATACCGGGCGGCGTGTTTGGGAAGGAAGGGGAGCAGCAATTATTCACCGTGATTCAGATGGACAGCATAGAACAACAACGGGACCAGATTCACAGGTAATCTCACAATGATCACGCGCGTTACCAGTGCACCAGGTCTTCGTCGTGTTACCGGGAATTAATTCGTTTCGCAGATTGATCACCTCCTTGCCGATATACACACAACGATTGCTGGTGCTGCTGTTCGGGACATTCAGGGTAGTAGCGGTAAATAGCGAACTCGCACACACGGGGATGTCCAGCGAGGCCCTGGGAGTGTCCGTAGCGCCGTCGTTCTTCCAGAGCTGCGTGAGCGACGGCAAGACCGCCAAGATGGAGGATGTTCTCAGATTCAAAGTAAGCGATATAAACGGTGCTGCTATTCAGTCACTTAAATCATCCTTTCTTATCACTTTTTTCTCTACAAGACACTAAAAAAATTCACTATCGTTTAAAGTGGATTATTATAGTCGCTTTTTTCCCGAGCTGCCGTTAAATTTGTAAAATATAGACGTTCTATACATATTTTTGCCTCTCTTGACTCTCTGATGCTCCGGAAGCATGCTCGTATCGTATCGTTCATGTCCTCAAGTCTTGTTATGAACTTTCAAACCTACAAAAAGAATTCGCTATATATTAACACATTGCGGACGAATGACGAGATATCTCGTCTTTCCTATTTCGTCGTCAGAGGCCGGTGACGAGATATCTCGTCTTTCATATTGCGTTATTAAAGGCCACTGGCGAGATATCGCACAGTTGCTACGTGATAGTCAAGAGCAGTTTTTGGTAATTTGTATTGCAAATTAATTATTTGAAACCCTGAAATATGGATAGCGACAAAACGATTAACAATATTACAGAAATATTTGCGGATAGTTTATCGGATATATCAAGTGATGACGAAAATATGAATCTTTGTGAGGACGACGATGACTTTCAAGATATTACTGAAGTTATGATTCCTGTAAAAAAACGGGAAAGAGTTTTAAAGAAAATGGATAGTGACAGAGACAGTAAGAATAATTGCAATTCTGATGGCGATGGCTTAGTCCTGAAAAAACAACAGAGTCGACAAATTTAGAAAGAGGTGTACCAGGCCTTTCAAATATTGCTAAAAGAACTCCACGTAAAGATCACCCGCAAAAGTTGTCAGGTAGTACAGAACAACACATTCCAGTACAACTTCCGCCTTCAAAAAACAAGAAATTTCCGACAAGACGTTGCAAAGTGTGCAAAATCAACGGAAAAAGAAATGAAACTCGCTACGTTTGCAAGCTTTGTGGTGTTCCACTTCACTTAGTTACATGTTTTACTAAATATCATACTTTGAAAAATTTTTAGTTTGTACACATTTTTACTTATTGAAAAATATTAAAAAATCATTCATTTTTAAAGTTGTTGTTGAAAATAAATATTTCACGTGATAATGATTTTTAACTGCCAACAAATCATCACTAATTTAAAAATATTTGACGCAAAAACATACCTGGCCACTGGGTACGGTTAGCAATAAAATGTCTGGTCCGCAATGTGTTAAGTTATCCAAAGGTAGACTTGAGAAGACAAGAGTAAGTGTTACTTTTTCGCTTAAATGACTTGAGTTATTCTCAGAAATGTTTCTTTTGATCACTATTTTGATGCCTTTTTGCATCAAGAAGTCGCTATTTAATTTTTTTTTGCACCAGCGAATGGATGCCAGTCTTGAATAGCTCAATCTCTACCAATTGTGTTATTATTATTATTATCGTTTTTATTAATATTGCTATTATTATTATTATTTTATCGAATTACATTATATCACAGGCAAACATGAGTTATTTATACTGTATAATTGTGTTGTTGTTGCTATTATTATCATCGTCATCATCATCATCATCATCATTATCATCATCATCATTATTATTATTATTATTATTATTATTGCTGTTATTATTATTATTCAACGAACAATCACATTAATTCCGTGGACGTTTGATCTCCAGGTAGCGACGCGCGTCACCAAATTCATGATAGATAATTTCGGCGTGTCGAATCTCTTCGGCCGAGACAACTACGAATTTTACGCGCGCATCACCGGCAGAATATTGAAAGTGGAGGAGGACTGGGTGTTCAGTTTCCGGTATCCACCGGACAACCTCGTGTCGAGTGAGTGACGTATACTCTGTGTTCTCGCACGACATCGTCGCGAACGAATCGAGCGAAGTGTAACGCGGCTCTCTCTTGCGAACTTCCAGGACAGTTGTCGTTGGAGGCCGAGAAAACTTGGATGCAATATGAGTGCGAAAGGTGGGGCCTGAAGTTCAACTTAGAATGTAAGTCGACCCAATAAAACTCGATGCTAAACTCGAACTTTAGCTCCTCCTAGGCTGCGTAATCGCAACGAAACGTTAATGTGTGTGTATGTTTGTGCGTGCGAAGGTATGTCGCATCAAGAGGAGTCGCAGTCAACCCCGGCACTAATTCACATGCCTGAAACATTGGAGCTCACTTCGTCGTTAGGCATGATCCCCGAGAACACTCTGCTTGAGAGCTACACGCGGCTCTCGGTTAGTTTAGAGGAGAACGGCCTGTTCCAGGTAACCTTCCACGAAAATAAGACAAGAGACGATGACTGTGCGGTACGTCGCGTACGTCGAAGATCTCCGCAGCGCAACAGACGGACTTGCTTCTTGCAGGCGTCCAGCCGGTCGTCCAGCAACGGCAGCCATCATTCTAGACACGCGGTGATGACATTGGATGAGCTTCGCGCGGTCAATCGCTACGCCGAGAGCACTAAGAGTCTCAGCTACCTGCCGCAGGTAAGGCCCCGCTTCTGTAACGCTCGATTTATAATTCGAGTGTGGCCACTTCGCGACGATCACGTGCGACATCCGAGATTCCAATTGACAGACTTACGTCTTCGTGTCGCGCGAAATGTTGCGAGCGAGCGAACGAGTTCTTTGGATGTGAAGCTGTGGAATGTTCAGGCATGGCAGCGACTCATTGTCCCTCAATTGTGTAAGAAAAGGCTCTTTAGATTATAATCAAATAAAATGTAAAGTAGAAAAATTTAATAAATTCATGCGATCGTCACCTGTGCAAATTCGGCTTCTAACGTCTATTTTATATATTTTTATTCTATTTGTATATCTTTTATATCTATTTTTATCTATTCTTATATTTTTATTTATTTTATTATACAAATTATGTGGAAAAGATTTTCTCATTTTTTCCAAAGTCAACTGTTTTTTTTTTACTTTTCCAAGAATAAAACTCGCTTTTTCATTATTTTTGACAGCCAAATCATCCCCATGCCTGAATTTCGGAACTCCCCGATGCCACGATCTCACTTCCAAACGCGAGTTTCTTTCGATCATTTAATTTTTAGATCGTTTATTTCTTGTTTCCCTTCTATCACGAAGCTGTAACGCGTTCAATATGCGGCTGAAAGGGGGACGCGTTTTCGAAACGTTTAACAAGCGGCTCATTCATTCACTCATTACTCGTTCAATCTGCAGGTTCACGAGAGGCAAGCCGCACGAATGCGCACTCGCTCCGAGTGGTTTCTCACGCCGGTCGGGGAAAGACTGACAGCGACGGACAGCGACCCCACGGCGATACACGTTCTGCGCGGTTCTAATCGGTCCTCCTCCGGCAATATCGGTAAGCGGACGGAACGACGAGCGGGCGATTGAAGGAAATACGCGCGTTTGCGTCGTCCCCGCGTAAAGCTTGGATGCACTGAACGAATGAACAAGGGACGAGCAGTGAAAGTAAACTTTTTTTCGTTATAATTTGTAATATACACCAGGATTAGGTATTTACGCATAAATAGTTTGCGTCTACATGTAGATAATATAAACTATATATAATATGTCATTTATACAGAGAATAAGTAATCCATGAACCGTTGTGGAATGGCTCTTCTTCTTACATTTCTTATTTTTATATTTTGCTTATATTAAAGGCTCACTGGTAAACCTGGTAAACTTGAATGATAAAAGTTGCATATTAATAGCATATACACCTTTCATATCGCTGTACAGATATCTTAAATATGTGTCAAGTGAATTATTTAATGATGAAACTTGTTACTTGCATGTATATATAATCATTATTCACTCAATTAATATCAAATATCTTGATAATTAACCCCCAAATCGGATACGAAAACTATTTTATATAGTTTATAAGTTAATTTAAATGAATATAATTTATCCTTTTTCTTTAGCATTATTCTGTGTAATTTATAATATTTTATACGGTTTGCATTATTTATGTGAAAAAAGTTCATGTAAACGAGATACGATACGTAGACGATACATGAATTATTCGCGCAGACATGTTAAAATCTACGGTACAATCCAGATGGGCACTACAGATATAATAAGACGGAATAAGCAGATCAGAGCTAAGTATGACAAGGGAGGTTCGTGCGCGTTTAGACGCGAATATATCACACACTCGCCGCTAATTCATTGTTCGTTCGCTCATTGAATATCTTAACACCTTAACGTTGCCATACAACGTCTCGTCTTTCAGCCGCAGGTCTGAGTGCTAGCGCGGAGTCGGTGAAGCGGCCGAGCCTACGGAGAACGTCATCCAGGGAAAAGCAACGGCTGCACCGCAGCTCGTCCCGTCGCAACAAGGAGAACGGCGCGAAGGCGCGCACGGCGGAGGCAGCGTGTAAGTCTCGTTCCTTGGAGACGATGAAGACGAAGATTGTGCGGGTGGTGGAGCAGCCGGCCGAGAAGAAGATCCTCGACAACAGCCGGGAAATCATCGAGGAGCGCAAGGAACACGCGTGCACCACCCACGGCGGCGACGGCACCATCGGCCCGCAGGATTGCACCGAGATGGACGTGCAGAGCTTTCACGTCACTCTCACGTACAAACCGCGGATATAAACGACCTTTAGTTCAATCTCGGCGTTCAAGGGAGTATCAGCAATCTCGATGGCAACCGATCTTCTTTACGCGAAATCGCCTACGTACATTGGTAATGTTCATTAATACACGTGTGCACACTCCGCGTTATGTATGCCTTGACACTCCCTCACTCAGGAGTTACGCGATTTTCAGCCTTTGTTATGTACACGTGAGGCCGTGCATGCATCGGAAAAAGATGATCTTAAATCAATGATAGGTATTTTCATATATAAGCAAATTATAATATTCTTATATAGGCATTTTATAAAATTCTTAGAAGATTTTTAGCGTTAAGTCGAGTGCAAGTAATACAAATTCAATTAAATCTAGGCTAAAGATCTTTTAAGAAAATTATAATATTCTTGCTTATATGTGAGGATATCTATCATTGATTTAAGACTAATTTTTTTCGTGTATGTAGCTCTAGTTATGATGGTAAAGCATACAATGCACACAGTGTGTACTCTACAGTTTTGAAGGCTCGGAAAAACCAGTTTTTTCCGCGAATTCCTTCGTTTTCTGTTCTACGGATAGAAAAAAACGCGTCTAGACAAATTCTCGCGTGTTCGGTTAAAATCTGTCGCATTTGCTCCTCTCCGAGAAAAGAAGATAAGAAACCAAGAGAATCCGCGGAAAGATGGGGAAAAAATTCGGTTTCTTCCGAGTTTGCAGAACTTTCGTGTGCTCAGAAGCCTACTTATTCGTGTCGCATTACTGTAAACTCTTCATGTCGTATTATCGTCGACTCTTCGTGACGTATTATCGTAAACTCTACGGACGGTGTTCACAGTCGGATATCTTCATTTAAGACGCTACACGGGCCGCTTCATTGAAGCTACAGAACATCCGAAGACGAATCTTAGAAACGATCTTAAATATCAAGGTCGGACCGTGAATACCGGCTCGAGTATTCGTCGCTCGCTGTTCTGAAACGTGGAGTTTCCTTTCGACACATCATTCGGTTTATAATAATAACGACACTCAGTCTTATCTCGCGCATGCTATAAGGACGATCGGTTGTGCCGGCGAGAATGCGCGGGCCTCTTCATTTCTCCTCTCAACTTTTCATCTTAACTCCGTGAACGCGCGCTTTCTCTTATCATTATTCCTTCTTAATTTTAATTTTAACTCCGCGAATGCGAAATGCTTTCGGTTACTCGGGTAACAGATGATGACACACACACACACACACACACACACACACACACACACACACACACNCACACACACACACACACACACACACACACACACACACGTATATATAACGTGGCATTCCAAATGCATTTACTCGTCCCTCCGATATTTTAATTCGTCTTTCTCGTATGTGCGCGCGCGAGAGCGCTCCCGGCGATGTTACTCTTGGCGTTTTATCTTTCTTCCTTATTTAATCGACATCGCACGCTTTCTCCTCGCGCACACGTTTATCGCCAATCATGTCGTACCATTGTATATCTATTCCAAGCTGTAGAGCGCCGGGCAACGCAATGTCTAAAATTGAGACATGAGACATGTCTTAAAAGTATATTTAAGACTCACGTCTCGATTTCAGACATTGTACTATTTGGAGATACGATTCTTAGACGCGCACCTCCTCGGCGAGACTTTCGGTCGCGTCGGGAAAAAGGAGAGAGAGAGAGAGAGAGAGAGAGAGAGAGAGAGAGAGAGNGATTCAGTAGGTTTTTTGTAAATATATCACGCGTTCTGTGGAACATTTTGTTCGGATCGCGACGGGGCGCTCGAGCGTTGCGATTCGAAACGCGAACGCATCGTCACGGAGGTTGTTACATGCCAAATTAGTGATAATTATAAGCCATCATCGATTAGATATATTACGATCGTCGTACTGTCATCGTACTAACCGATTCGTTTACGTAAGACTCCGCTACGATAGGGGCTAATGAGACCGCAAGACACTATTCGACGTTATTGCCGTCCGCGCGAGAGAGCCGAAAGAGTCTCTCTCTCTTATGGACGAGGCGTATTTACTCCGTAAGTTATGTTTCCTTGTAGATAATGATCGGTGTACGTATAAGTAACATGTTACAACGAAAGTATTCCGTATTTAAGAGGAAGTATGACGAAGAGTCGTACGGGAAAACTCGCTCGCGTGCGACGATTCTTCGGTTTCCCGAGCGATATTCCGTGTCGCGTTAACGATGGACCAATCGTGGTCTCAGGGCCTCTAGGTTGATCATGTAACTTCTCCCCGGTGAATATTAAGACGTGCCAAGACGTCGTAAAGATGTCCTTGAGACAATGAAACGTTTGAAGGATATCTCTGAGACGGATATCTTTTAGACATCTGTGTTGTTGTGCGGATCCTTAGGTGAAAACGTGAAAAATGAAAATTCTAAGTGTTTTCAAATTATGAAATTTATTCTTTTCAAGTTCCTGCTAAAGGAGAAGATTCATAATCAATCCCTAAAGGATCATGAATTTTTTTCTCTCGCGTGAACTCGTGAAAGGAAGAAATTTTATAATTTTAAAACATTTGGAATTTTCATGTTTCCGCTCTAGGGAAAAATTATGTGATCGATACCCTGAGCAAAATGGTTGACTTGTTGATTCAAGACGATGTCTTGTACCTTTTACGGCGCATACAGTACTTGTGCCTCAAATCTTTGTATGGATGTAGTGTCAATGTTGCAACGTCGTGTTGCCAGTAAATATAACATGTAAAAATATGAAAGCAACAATTTTATGATTACTAATATCGAGTGAATATTTTGTATTATAAAATAACGTGTTGATATATAATACTTGTGAGTATGTAATGTTTGACATTTTCAAATGTATTTTGGTAGGCAAGTATAACTTAATTTCTTCGTGGAGAAAGATTCGTTTGATATACTTTGAACATATACACATATTTAAATGTATATTATAATACTAAACGTATACTGTATAATACTGTAATATTATTAAATTAAAAATAGTTTGGTAGTATATTATACAATATATTAAATGATTTTTTTTCTCCATAGTTATATTCATCTATCAAAACACATTTCAACGCATGAAACTTACATATTTATGAGTGTTAAATGTATTACATATTTATTACCTATTTATGAGTGTTAAATGTATCATTATACATATATATGGAATATTATGAGTGTTAAATGTATCATGTTATACATATATATGGGATATCCATACAATATTAGTAATCGTAAAATTATTATTTTCATATTTTTTACATACCGCGTTTATTAACATTACACATACACGTTAAAGCTAAAGAGACAAGACAAGTTCTGTGCGTTACAAAAGACAAAGACTTAAGATAGAAAACAAACAACATATGTCTAAAAGGCGTCTCAAAGACGTAGTTTAGACGTTTTATTCTCTTAAAGACGTTTTTAGGACATCCCAATATTCAATGCACTGTCTTAAACCGATAAGTCAGTCGTTTTGCCAGGACTCTTGCTTGTTAGAGCGAAAAATATCACGCGAAATAATCTCAGTGGTCGTGAGATCGCAACAATCCGCCGCTCGATTATCACGAAGCGATATTGTTTCGAGAATCTGAGATACAGACATCGTTGACCGAGCACGGAATATACTCGTGACCGGCTTGCGTTATCGGTTAAACCGACAAACACCGATCTCGAAAAGGATAGGCAATCGGGGCTCGCGCAACTGCGGAGGAACGTGTCACGCGGAAGCGAGCGCTCTCGCAACAAAAAATATTCTGACACGGCTGCGTTCCGAAATTCACTACCAGTACTAAAAATCTATAGTTTATATTACGTGTATTATGTGGATTTTCAGTATTGACTGAGTGAATATTGGAACGTAACCGTGGAAAAAGAAGACAAAGCGGAAGGAGAGAGACAGTCCCGCGTTGTTCGTTCAAGTTTCTCGCAATCTCTGTTCTTCGTGGAGGCGAATTGTCGAACTACGTAAATTATAAATTATTATATTTATAAGACTACATATATATATATATATATATATATATATATTTATATGTATATATATAGCGTGTAAATACTTAACATACCAAAAATGTAGAGTTATTATCATAATTATTATTGGATGTAATATATTACACACATACACACACACGCGCGCGCGCACGCACGCACGCACGCACGCACGCACGCACGCACGCACGCACGCACGCACGCACGCACGCACGCACGCACGCACGCGTATAAATGTAAACGCGAGAAAGTATGTGCGGATGTAATTAATATCGTTGTGATCGAATTATCGGTGTCAAGTTCTCGGTGTCGTTGTTGTCATCATCATCGTCGTCGTTGTTGTCGCGACGAGACTCGGTTTGCCGGTGTAAATCAAGGGGAAGTAGATGCAGGCCCAAATGATGAAGCATGCGATGAGAAAAAGCATTAACCTCGAGCGGACGCTGTCCCAGTTGATGAGGACGAGCCGCAGCGTCGTCCTTCCGTCGTTCGCGGCGGACTGAAAAACACAAAACGGCGCGATCGAAGTGCTCGCTGATGCGATGACGGTGAGATAAAGGATAAACGATCACGTAGTCATCGTCGTCGTCGTCGTTGCTCGTCGAGCCCGGCACGCCCCGGAGCTGCTGCGTTCCTCGATCTCGTGCACTGCTGCCTGACTGGCCGGCGGCTGTTCCGGGTCGTCGCTCGTCCTCGACGTCGCTTCCGCCAACCGGCGCGACAAAACGTTCACCGTCGTCATCGCGTTGTTGTTTCGCGAGATGCATGATCCGATCGCGCATGGTTCAACCGTACTTCCGTCTACCGCCGACAATTTCACTGCGGTCTTCCAGGGGAGGAGGGGAACTTGTTTGACATATCAACGCTCTCTAGAGTTATACATGCATCCACGTTACACTGCTGCAGATAATTTGAGTATTTCAAAGATCGCGCGTCGCGATCGAAAAGAGAGCGTACTCGGCGACTCTCTCTCTCTCTCTCTCTCTCTCTCTCTCTCTCTCTCCCTCGCGTTCTTAGCAAGAAGCGTCGATGAAGCCAGACGGAAACTCCCGGAGCCTCTCATCGCGGCGCACGATCCACTGAAAACCGCTCAAACTTCATCCTCTTCTTCCCCCTCCCCCTCCCCCCATCACGGCCGTCCCTACTGTCTCGCCTGTTGCAGTCTCTTTGCCAAAAAAAGAAAGAAAAGAAGCCACAGAGCCATCGTTAATCTACCGTATTTTGATCAAAAAGTTCGTTTCTACTTTTTATTCTCTTCGTTTTCGATTATCGTAGCGGGAGGGAGGCGAACGAATTTTTTGATCGAAATCCGATGTTTTATTATTAAGAATTATTAAGAAACATATACACACACATACACGAATACGAACAAATACACGCGCACACACGCGTACATACACACAGCGCAATTCTTAAATATTAAGGATCTTCAGTATTATTCGTAACTCGGTATAAAAAATTTGCAGCATTTTTTAATTTTCTAACAGCGACTACGAAACTTCGTTTGGAAAAACTTGTGTAACAGTAAAGGGTTGTTTGATCTACATGTATTGCGTATAACAGCCTATTTTATCGAATATTTACAGACGCCGCAAATATTTAAAAACAGTACGAAATATACCATATTGCAATCCGATTTACGGAAGCGTTTTCGGCTGACGGGGATTCCCCCTCAAGTCTCCTTCCGACGGCGTCCTCCCCAAACTCGGGGGGGTTGCAGACTGCTTCGTCGACTAAACGAACGTAAAGGCGCAAATTCATGGGACGCTGAAATCAGCATCGAGCGTAATCACGTGACATCACACTGACGTTAGCGTCAAAGAAAAAGAGTTAGATAATATCTAATTTCTAACGCACTGATGAGGTAATGATAAAGATCATCGACCTTACGGAGTTTGGCGTATAAGAAAATATCGTGGTTTAATAACCTCTGGTCGATAAATTTGTCATTAAATTTGTGTTAAATCAGCGAAAATGATAATTGCAGAAATGCGCAAAAATATTGAATATGCTTCTGTGTATATGTTGATAAAAACATTCAGGAAAGGGGAAGGGGGGAGTAATCGTAAATAATAAAATTAATATTTTTATTATGTCTTGATCTCCCCTCCCAAATATTTATATCGGACAACTAAAAATGGTTGAATAATCCTTCTTCAATTATCCGCAAATCCTTCGGAGCTTCTATCATCATACGAAATGTTATGCAAGGCTGAAAATCTTTCATGTTACCTCGTCGATACATCATGTAATGTGAACTGCCAATGTGAATATTCTACGTTGTTTTACATGGCTTATTATGTTCTATTATTTTTCTTTTGTACAGTCTTTTAACCACGTTATAATATTTATTCCAGAATGACATATTTCTCAGAAAAAAGCTACGCCGGACTGATGCCGTAATGTTCAAAATTTGACGCTGCTGTACTCTTTTTATGCGTTTCTCGTCATCTATCGGCAATTTCGATCATGTGACCTGCTTTGACGTTAAAAATGACCGTCGAGTATCAGCATAAAAAAGCACCTTAACGTCACGTGAAATCGCACGACCTCGAGCCATGATCTCCGGGGCGTCGTGGAATTCCAGGATGCGTCCTTGAAGATGTTACCTCGCGATACACTCTCCAGCACGACGTCACCGAGTGATCATTCATCGCACATCACCATTTCTTCCTCGCACAGAAAATGAAAAATATTGTTGATCATCACATGAAATGATTGTTCTCTTGCGCGGCAAGATCGCTGATCATCGTGACGGAAAACACGTTCGTCGCTGGATTTTCGTAGCCACGGTCATGTCGACGGAGAACCCGGAGGACCCAGGACACCAATCACGTAATTTCACTTAGGACGGGAGCGTGAAAAGTGAACATTTTCAAGTTGGAAAATTTCCACGAGTTCATGCTAGAGGACAAGATTCACAGCTCCCTGAGGACCGATGGGGTTCGTGAATCTCTTCTTCTAGCAGGAATTTGAGAAAGATGGAAATTTTTTAATTTGAAAGCATTTGAAATTATTCACTTTCCACGTTTCCATCCTAGGGGAAAATTACGTGTTCGCTGTCTAGAATACCGATAACTCAATCTTTCCCTTAGGACGGAAACATGAAAAATGTTTTTAAATTAGAAAATTTACATTTTTTCACGAATTTACGTTAGAGAAGATTCATGACCTTGTACGTGAGGATTGATCATGAGTCCTTTTGTAGCGTGAATTCATGAAAAGTGTAAATTTTCGAATTTGAAAACAATTTCACTTCTCACGTTTCCATCCTGGGGAAAAGTCACATGTTCGCTGCCCAAGATGCAAGAGCAGAGGATCCGCATAGCGACCGTCGCACGAAGTCACATCAGGTGGCGGTCATAGAATCTGATACTGGTCCAGCAAGGTATACACTATGACCCAGAGCAGGAACGCCACGATCACGGATATCAGGAAGATGGTTTTCAGCGTGTGCCAAGGACTCTCGGGTCGCGGGTCGACGCGGCTCCTGCGCGTCTTGCAATCACCGTTCCTACAGGGCGGTTCATCGGCGCGTGGCGACGTCGTCGTCGTCGACGGCATCGTGGGCGTCGCGACGTTATTGGTGGGCAGTGTCGCGATCACCTGCACCTCGCCTAGCTCAGTCTCACCAACGTGGTGGCGCATCTCTGTGGTCTTCGTCGGCCCGAACCTCGACGGCGGATCCACCTGTAAGACGCGACTCGCCGTTACTGTGATAACCTCGCGTCACCCTCTGGGCATTCTCAACGAGTACTCTCGACGTGCTTGTCGAAGAAATTAATTCTCAGGATTATTTCGGGGAACGTGAACGCGGGAAAAACAAGATCCCCTTTCCCGCGTCGATCCCATCATCGTCTTCGACGATCAAGAGAGGTGAATCCATGAGCTTTATGTACACTGAGAAAAATACTTAAAAATTTACTGTGGGATGTAAGATTTATTTCACGGAAAAAATAACATTTATATTTTTCACAGAAGTAAGGTTTATTTCTGTGAAGTAAATTTCTCTTATATCCGATAAATAAATGTTTAAGTATTTTTCTCAGTATGTCTGGGAAAAAATACTTGAAATTTTATTTATGGGATATAAGATTTATTTCGCAGAAATAAACGATATCTCACGGATCAACTTTTAAATACTTTGTTTCTCAGTGTATATTGAGAAAAAGAAATTGAAATTTTGCGAACAAAATATTTCTCGTGACATTTTCGCCGATATTTATCGCTTTGGAAAAAAATTTGACTGTAATGACGAAATCAATAATTTTATGGAATATATTTAAGTTTTCTTATTAACACTTTGCGGTCCGTTGACGGCAATGTGCTATCTGACAGCATTGGTTTTATCGATAAATCGAAACATATGCGGTTTTAAACAGTTGGCAACATGCGAAACAGATGAATAACGTCGTTGCTATGTCAAAACAAGTGACGAGCGCTCCAAGTGTTAGGATTGTTCTTTCGGAGCTAGTCGATCAACAGATCTTAGCAGTTGTAAACGCTATATGTGAGCTGAGAAAAAGCAAAAAAAATATTACCTAACAGATTTTTTGGGGGATAAAGAACTTTCTTCAGATAAAGAAATTTAAGATTTAGAAGGTAAGTACTTCTCCTACAATCAGTCATTGGTTTATTATTATATTAATGTTAGACTTTTTTCCAGCTGAAAATATACCGCGATTTTGATTATCTCAGAAAGTAAAGCTCTCACAAGAAAGTTAACATTTGTGGTGTTTAATAATGGGAAAAAATGAACTTTACGATAAAAGTTTTTCGAATACGCCAGTTCCAATAGTTTTTTAGATATCAACATTTATATAAGAAGATATCAACCATATATTCATATAAGAAGAAAATCAACCAAATAAGCACGATTAATTTCGTATTATGCCTTCGATAAGTTCAAATACATTAGTCAAGCGTCTTCAGGTGGACCGCAAAGTGTTAATTGGTTCGTTTGCTAGGAATAAGATTTCATCTCGCTGTATTTAAATAAACGTTTACTTCTGTTAAATAAACTTTATATTTTACAAATAAATTTCCAAATTTTTTTTCTTAGTGTGTGCACGAGCAGCAACCGTACACGTGGAAAAAAAAGTTTGCTTGAATTCATCTGAGACGGAAATAAAATTTTCGATAACGAGAACCAAATTTGACTCACAACAGCAAGAAGTTCTGCTTCCTTCAGGCGAAACGCGCTTAGCTCGTCTATTTCAAAGTAAATTCAACCAGACCTGTTTTTCTGTGTATTATCATGTGACAACACAAGAAGGAAAGGAAAACCTTGTACAATCGGAGACAGACAAACAGACGCGCGACGTCTGTTTCGCTCCAGATGTGTGCGTGCGTGCGTGCGTACGATCAGTCAGATAACACTTATCGTATGCCCGTGTGATTTTCCGGATCGAGTCGTAACGTTACTGAATTCCATCTCTGTAGCCATCGAACGCGTCCACTTGCTCTTCCTGCGGAATTGGAACAGGTTTTCCGCACGAGAAACAGAGAGAAAGAGAGAGAGAGAAGTCTCGCGGGAATTTCGAAACGAAACGCTCGGTAAACACTTTCGACGCGAACGAGGAGATTGCAAGGTGAAAGGAAGGTTCAGTCGCGTTATTACGCGTACTTGAGGAATCCGGCTTCTCGAGGGGAAGGAACCACGGGGCTGCGGCTCCGCCGCGACGATGCCGCACATCGTGTTCACGACTGGCAACACGAATGTGTAATCCCATATGGGGCCGGGCGACGGCTCCATCCTCATCTGTCACGATCGATAACGTTAGTAACTCACGTTAGTATCGCAAAATACGGCCGTAACGGTGAAAAGCTGTAGACTTCTTATTCTGTAACTTTTACCAACAGTGTCGTTATGTAGTTACATTGTTGCGCAGGTATGTATGACAGAAAAGCTGTAACGACATTGTCGTGTATAATTAAAAAATAAACCGCGTTTTTCTATTTTTTCCTTTTTGAAAAAGAAAAGAACCGTGGAAAAAAGAATTGGTTCTTTTCCGGATCTTTAAAATTATAATTAAAAGGTACGGAATAGGTCTATTGGCGTAACGACGTAATTACTATTGCGATTAACGACGTAATTCGACTGAACGTCGTGGTTGCATTAAATTGCATTCTTGCGATCACGTCGAATCGCTAATCTCGCGAATGAATATTTTTTTATTTTTGAAACATTCCTTATTTTTCAAATATTTTTCCTCTCAGTGTTTATCAACATTCCCGCTGTCATTGCTCATTCGATTTCTCAATTTGTTTCAAATACCTCTTATCTGTCACTTTGTGTATAATTAGTTATAGGGAAGTTGCGATACTTTTCTCCGATAAGCTTCGGAATACATTCTGTGTCTAATAAGAATTGTTCTTCAGTCATTCTCAGGAGATACATTGTCTTGTTGTATACGAGATGTGTTATGAAACTCATCGGAAAAAAAGTGTCGAAATCGTCTTGTGGCTAATTATACGTTTCGTATCGATCCGAGGAATCGGGGGTTTAAAATTGCTGTCGGTCGAGGCGATTTGCGCGCACGTGTAAGCCGATATTTCCCGATCGACTTTTTTCCCCGCGAGCTCGTTACGTTACACGTTAACGCGACTTTCACTGCGTCTGTCGTGTCGTTCAAGGATCCGCGACAACAGTCAACGACCCGATTAGAGAGGCGACGATCGACCGATCGTTCACCAGGATTTAATCGCTTTCTCTGATAGCACCTCCCTCCCCCCTTCTCCCATAAGTTATAGTCGCTGGTATTGTTATGAAATAAGACAGAAAAAATCGAATATGGCGGATAATAAAATAATAGACGCGCGCGTTCGAGCCGCGCACAACGTGATCTCCAGGGCTCGTCTTCGAGAATTTTACTCGGCACTTCTCTCTCTCTCTCTCTCTCCGGTTTGATATCATAACAAAAGTGGCTCCTATTCGTTTCGATTTCTCGCCGTAGGGGAATGATGTCGGGTGAACAATTGAGGCAGAAAGAAGCACGGGCTGTTCGCGGGAAGAAGTTTAACACTTTCGATGATGAGTTTAATTAAACATTAGTGAAAATAGAAATCGCTCTTTCTCTCAACACAGCATACAGCTGGCGTCATGCACGCTCCCAGTGAGCATTACGTCGTCAAAAGGATCTCTTTAACAAGTTCATTGCCAAGCTGAAAATTGGAATTTCGTGTGGTGGCCAAATTTTTTTTAGTTTTTATGTGCTCAAAATAAGTTAATATATTATTTATATGCTTTTATTATTATGTACATAGGATTTATGTACTCTAAATATCTATTACGCGATTGCGCGTGATCGGCCGTTTGGTGAGAACTCGCATCACGCGATATCGCGTGATTGGCAATGAACGTGTTAAGGAGCTCATATTTGAAAGCAAGTTGTCCGACAATACATCTTAAAGATAACATATATTATCTAGCATATTATCTGTTATCTAATATATTTTGCTTGCAAATTGCATTTGCAAAACTATGCAACAAAGGATTAAAGAAGTTTTCCTTTTAATAATGGACCCCCCTCTCACTGTACTATTTCCTCGATTGAAACTTTTTTCCCTTGAACCTTACTTTTTACCTTCTATTACACAATTTTTAACCTTTCACATGTGCACGTAAGACTGAAACTATTATAATTAGAGCCATTATAGCTACCCCCCCCCCCCCNACTAGAATTACTTCTGCGATTTTCAACCTTATGCGTCGTGTGTAAAGCTGGAAATCGCTCAACTTTCTCTCTCTCTCTCTCTCTCTCCTTCTTCCTCTTTCTAAAGAATAGAAATATAGCATACATGACGTCAACCGTACCAGGATCGGTCGTGCTCGAAAGCGCAGCGCACAAGAGAATGATATCGGATTGCCCACTCTAAACAAAATGAAGAGAGCGCGCGAACTTTTGCCTGCAGACTTGACTTCACTGACGCGTTCCCAGCGATGCGATCTCGGTGTGTCTCATCGAACGCGCGACGGAGCGCTTTCGTCCGTCGACCGAGTGGACCGCCGTTGTTCGGATTACCTGATTTTCCAATCACCCTGCGATTTTTCCACGCACCGACGATTCAGCGTACGCTGACGGGAGGCGGATTGGAATGGCGCGCATCCGTCGCGGCACCTCGTCACACACATACGCTTGAGCGAGCGTGACGAAGGGGGGCCAGGGAGTCATCGACGTTCGATGCGGTGACAAAAGGAGCACGCACGTCTCGGCAATATATAAATTGTCTTCCGCGGTTTCACCGTCGAAATCGAAACAGCAGGTGCCCCGGGCACACGCGCTACCGTTGCGCACTTTCTAATAGAAGCAAGAAGAAGCCTTTCCGAAAGCGTTTCTTCCTCCGCCGGTGAGCCGGCCACGGGGAGCGGGAGATATACTCGATCCCATCGTCGAGGAGGAGGAGGAGGAGGAAGCTGGTGCACTCACGTTATCGAATGCGTATCCATACTTCTTAGCGCGCCGTTCGTCCGTGTTCATGTTCGGCGTCTCATTGCGTCACGTCGGATTCACGTCGTCATACCTGCACCTGGGCTTTCCCCTTTGCTCTGTGAGATGCGCCGTTCGGAGAAAGAGTTTCGTCCACGACGACGATCGCTGCTCTCGCCACTGCTCGCTCGCGCGAATCGCAGTAGGAACTGACCAGTTAACCGCCGGGCGGCCACTTATTATCAGCGCTTATCAACCGCGACCCCTGACCGGTCGGTTAATGGACGCTCCTCCTACTCCTCGTCCTTCTCCTCTCGAGCGAAGGGCTATCGCCGAGGATTCTCCAGCGACGATCGCACGTCGGTCCCGCGAAACTATGTGGCGAGACATATTACGCGCGCACGCATATTACGCGACAGACGACACGTCACACACGCGAACGATAAGATAATAATAATAATGAGATAAACGAGCAACCGGAAGCGCATCTTTTTCGGCAGAGGAAGTGCGGTTACGCGGCACGTGCTTCCGTGTATTAAGATGTTATCGTCGCCTCTCCTATACATTTGCGTCGCGTTACCTTGCGTAACTCTCTCTCTCTCTCTCTCTCTTTCTTCTAGGCAGGCTCGTCGAGGCTACTTGGCGCGACCATGACAGTACGTCCACGAGGAGCATGAGTCGATTTCGTCGTCAACAGCGTGATGAGGCCCCGTACGACTGTCATCGCGACTGTCCGCGGCGACCGAGTCGAGGACACCTTTCGAGATTGGGCGAACCGATAATAAATCACGGTTAAGGTCGTAGCCGATGCCCGGCCAGTCGGATCTCTGACGGACCTCCGTCGACTAGATGTGATAACACGAGTTGAAGTGAGTCGCGTCGTCATAAAAAAAAAAAAGAAACAGGTAATATTGTAGCGACCTTGGCCGCATGCAGGTTGACGTGAAAACATATACGTTACATAATCTATTCTCGGCGAAAATTCATGAGTCATTTATGCAAAACGTTCGGCGTAAATCGCGTTGTCATGTCTTCTTTTTTTTTTTTTTTTACTACTTTCTAATACATTTATTTATAAAGGTCGCTTCGGCCGTCCACACTCGAAAGAGGGATGCTGCTGCTGGATTACATAGGTTAATAGTAGCGGGCCGAAAGTGTTATGTGACTATTCCAAATGTGATTAGATAAATTTAATTTGATTAGATAAAGCAGATATATAGTATCGAGAAGCACACAGAAAAAACTGCTGGATTCAAATTGATATTTACTTTTATATTCTTTAGCAAATTTTTACTTGGATCAAGTAGTGTTTATTTGATTCAAGTGAAGTATCTTTCAAATAAAATATCTAAATCTTTCAAGTAAATTATTCAAGTAAAATACTTACTTGATGCAGGTAAAATTTACTTAATTCAAGTAAAAATCTGCCAAAGAGTAATTATTTACTTAAATCTAGCACTTTTTTCTCTGTGCAAGATTTAATTGCTCGAGTCATATACTCATGTCACCAAACTAAACTTTGGAAATTAATATCAAATTTCGATGATATTTGGTAGCTATTACTAAATATACAGTGTTTAAGGAAAACTGTTTTAGGTGAGAAAAATGAGGAAAATGTACTTAAAAATTTATTTATACGGGATATAAAACTTATTTCACAGAAATAAACCTTATTTTATATAAAATAAACTTTATGTTTCACAAATAAATTTGTATTTCTTTCTCAGAATAATTTTTTTCATTGTACTAAAAAATTTCATCGTTCTATGTAAACTGTCTTGAGATAATTTGACATACAATTTCACTCTGATGCATTTTTCGTACTTCATATTTGAAATTTCTCCATCTATCAATCCATATATTAATTTACGAATTCGATCTCCTTGCAACCTGGCACCTTTTTTAGCCACGGTCTGCGCTGCTTGACTCAATGATCGAACAGGAAATGACGAGTCTTACGAACCCTAATGACGTCTTTATAGCTCGTGTGTTATAATGTGTCCTTATACACTGAGAAAGGAACATTTAAAAATTTATTTGTAGAATATAAGGTTTATTTTACAGAAGTTTATTTTACAGAAATAAGATTTACAGAAATAAGATTGATATATTATCAATGGAATAAACCTTATAATAATACTCATAAATAAATTGTCAAGTACTTTCTTCTCAGTGTAGAATCATATGATTAAAGGACCATATATTTAGTAATAGTTATCAAACATGATTGAAATTTAGTATTAACTTTCAAAGTTTAGTCTGATGACCTAAATGTATAGTACAAGTAATTAAATTTTATAGTTCCTTAAACTTATGTATTCATTTTATCTAATCAAATTATTTCTTGATAATCACTGATCATTTGGCACGCACTATATTTGCCTTGTATATTTTAGTAGTGGTTACAAAATCTTCCCTTAAGCAACAATCACAATTTCTACGGTTGGATCGCCGAATCCGCGGGTGTCGTCGCTGGCACCCGCTCGAGGAGAAGAGGAAAACACGCCGAACGTGCGCTCCTGCGGTCAAGGCACATTCGTGATGTACTCCGGTATTCCCGCCGGTACGACGACCTTTGAGGGGCGCTTATAACTTACTTTTTGTACGACCGGCAGAATTCGCGATTACATTCCAGTTCCCGGCGGCGGACACTCCCGAGCGAGCCGGAATTGCGCGTGTCGAGAAGTCGAGCAGGAAAACTCGGGGCCCTCGCAGTGCGCAAAATTCCCCTCCGTGCGTTAAAACGAAATACCGACGATGATACGATACTTTTCCGCAATATGCCTGGTGGACTATTAAGTTACACGCTCCGAATTAAAGCGTTACTTATTTACCTACCTATCTACCTCTAGCCGATAACGCGTATCGCGAGCAATTTGACAAGTGACCGAAGATAATGATAAATAGAACGCGATGAAACGTTCAAGTCGAACTGATAGGTCGATTTTCGAATGCTAAAAGATCGTCTTCGTCGTCGTCGTCGGGCGGACATAGACGACAAGAAAAACCACCGCCTTGTTTACTATTTCTCCTCACCTGGTGCACCTGCTGTGGCCGCCAGGTATGCTTGAAGAAGCTCTGGAAACACCTCATACTGGCCCTCCTCTCACCATTTCTTGGTCGATCATCGTGTGTCACGGCTATATTCGCACGCGCGATCCGCGTTCCCCGTTCTCCTCTCCTGTGTTTTTTCCTCGACCCGTCCGATCGCGAGCCCACGATGTGCACCTCGGCTGTGTAGCACGAAGTCCGCGGGATCAGATTGCAGCAAGGAGAACGACGAGGAGTGCGACGAGTAGGTGCGACGATGATGCGACGACTGGAATTCCACCGGATTCCAGACGAGTCGAGGCCGCTAGCCGCATCATCCTCGGCGACGATCAGGAGACCGCGTTCGCCGTCGCCGCGCGTTCGCCGACTAATGAAGAGAGAACGCGCGGGAGAGATGCTACTAGCGCGTGAACACGCCAGCCACTGCTCCACGCGCTTACATGGTATTGCACGAAAGCGAGAGTCGCACTCGCGTAGTAAATAGAGGAGAAGTAGTGGTATTATGCCCCCCCCCCCTTCTCCCTCCTCATTTATATTTTGTATAGTGACTTTGTTGATAATCAGTATTTCAATTTGAAAATTTAACTTATTAAATAACTACTTCGACGTTGAAAGAAGCCGTAGTGAATATTTCAGCGGAGGGGCCAAATCAATGAAGTGCCATACTATTGTTTAACTTTCCATAACTCGAAATACGTGTAACAGAATAAAATGTTAAATGACGAACAAAACATTCGTACGCACGTATGATAATACGGTTAATCTTGAAGAAGAATGAGGAAGTATTGTGAGGTGTGGTTAAATGCTAAAATATATCTTGGAAACGTTTCAAAATGCTCGAAAGTAAAAATGCGTTTATGTTATAACAAATATCGGTTATTGTGTATTGGCATATTATTGTCACTACATAACGATAGTCTACTAAACAGATGGTTCCATAAGGAAACTGCTTGAATTTGTCACTTAATAGCGAAGATATTAGAGGGGGGAAGCATTATATCACTTTCTTTTTTACATGTACGAAAAATTAATTATTGGTGTAAGAAAAACATTCGTGCGAGTAACAAATTAGTAAGTCATCTTAACGATATAATTAATATTTATTACTGTATAGAAAGTAAAATATGTAGGGAATATATCGCGGAGTTAAACGTTCTTGCGAACGCGACTGCTACGGTGAATTTGTTGCTTTGGAGACGTATTCTTTCTCGATAAAAACGTCAGAAATGATCATTACTCGCACTTAAATAAATTCTCTGACGCATTCCGTGTCATGTGCGCCATCATGTACGTGATATATGACACACAATTTTTACTCTGGCCATGACTGATTTTTATCAATCATCATGCTATAATATAATCTTTACAAACGCTATAATTTAATAAAACGCTGTAATCATAAAACGCTATAATCGCTGTAAACGTTATAATCATAAAATATTTCATATTATTTGTGCTATTTTAAAAACATCATCCAGTGTACAGTGAAAACGTTTACGTTGAAGAACAGGAAGTGGTGAGGAGCATCTCAGTATGATATCAGTTGTAAATTTTGTACATTGTTATATTTATTTAAATAACGACCTTATATGTGTACCACACGAGCGATAACTGAATTGTTTCCACTTTGATGATTAGCAGATGATTTTTACATCCATGAGACATCGTTTCTACTTTCGTATTTCGAATTTTGAGAACGACTGTTTCGAGATCTCCTTCTCATTGCGGAACTCCACTTTGTCGATTCGTGACTGCGGACTACCGGTGTGACGTAGCCATTGTTTCCTGGAACGATAACACAGAGACGATCGGTACCGGCTTCTCTCGGCCTTTCCCTTAATGAATCATTCGTTCGTTCTTCTTACATCTCCTCCACTTGTTTTTTCTCTCCCTGAAGGTGGCCGAGGACGGTGCCGTTTGGGGTGTTCATGCACCATCCTGTCAGACTTAATTCTTGGCCGCGCTTTTGAGTATACTGCGTGTGCAGACGAACGATCAATGAAATATCTTCGTTTATTATACGTACAGTAAAATAAAGGACAAAGGAAGAGAGAGAGAGAGAGATAGAGAGAGAACTTTTTATGATACGACTTCCGCAAGAATCGGAAGCGTCCTCGAGCGAAACCGGTAAAACATTCGATGTGATTCGTTATTAAGGAGGTTATAAGGATCAGCGTCGTATTTTCAGTGGGCGTATTAAGAGGCCATTCATAAATTTAGTATTTATCAAGTAAAATTATGTTTCTATATACTTATTTCACTATTTATATAATAAATCTTATTTGAAGCAAAATTGAGGTAAACATATATACATGATATTGCAAATGCGAAAATATTATTATTTTTTATTTTTCTTATTGATGCTATATTTATGCAAGAGTTGAAAAAATAGAGTTGCACAGATAGAAAGAGGTGTACAAGCGTTTAAGGGAATCATCCCGTGTGACGACCGTTTTTTAAGGTTTTTTTGCATTTTTTTTGCGGCGAAATGAAAAAATGAGCTTCCAAATTTTTACTATATATTTGTTACATCTTAAACTATATGTGTAAATTTTTTTATTTAAAAATATGGCGTCGATGGTGAGTTACATCACTGGAATGGCACCCATGTAAAAAAAAGCAGACAAACTGTGCCCACGATTTCGGTAGACTGGTTTATCGAAAATCAAAAAATCAAATTGCATTTTAATCTATAGGTGAATGGCTATCGTGAGAACTAGGATTTTTTGAAAATATTAAAAATTCAATTTTTCGCATGCTTTTAAAAATTATAACTCAAAATATCATGATTTTTTGCGACTATTTTTTTATGCGGACAGAAAACGGTTCAATATTTTTTAAAAATTCTAGTTCCCACGATAGCCACACATGTGCTGAATCTACCATTAAAATTTTATTTAAATCCATTAAACCGTTTTCGAAAAATCATAGGCACCAGTTAAAAAATCCTTTGCCAAAATTACTTTGCCAGTATATTCTATGCATGCTCTAGATTAGATTTATGCAAAAAAAAAATCGATTTTTTGAAGCCGTCACACGGGATGACCCCCTTAAATACATGCATATGTGTATGTATTTCGAATATTACTATAAATAATTAATTTTATATTGCTATACTTTCCAAACAGAACAATCAATAATTCTGAAATTTGTGTACAATGTTTACACAATATCCTTTAACATATATCACATATTATGTGGCGTGAAACTTAACGTGTCAATTTCTACTTTTAATATCTTCTAAGCTAAAAATAAAATTTTGATAATCAACTATTATGATATCATAATAGTTTTTCATTAAAATTTTATTTTTAGCTTAGAAGATATTAAAAGTAGAAATTGACACGTTAAGTTTCACGCCAATTTCACGTAATTTCAAGGAACAGATATAAAAAGTGTCAAATGTAAATTAGAGGAGTTGTAGAAAATATTTGTATAATCTGTTTATCCTCTTTCTTCGACGTTTTCCGTGTCTTACCGCCGTCTGGCAGATCATCAACAGTGTGTGTTGTTTCATACTGCTCTACCCACTTGCTCACAAACGCTTTTGACGTTTTTAGGGACTGCGCAGCCGTTTTATGCGACGTTTTTGGTCCTTTCGTATGCTTGCAAAGGAAAACAGCTTCGAATCTTTCAGCGTATGCGGCAATAATCGTTAAATACGTCGCTCTCTAACGAAGGTCGGGCAATAACCGGGATTTTCTGTACAACGCGTCGTAGGGGAAGAGAATCTTTCCAGCTGCTCGATCAACAATGTTCGATGTAACGGTTTTCAAACAGAAATTTGCCCGGTCACGCTCTTATTAGACAGACTGTATCTCTACTCTCTATGGTTAATTTTTTCCTAAATGCACTTATTTAATATTTCAATGCATATTTCATCAAATTGTTATCAAATTCGTTTCACCGTACAACCTTCTTAACTCGGGAATAGTCACCTTATTTTTTTTCTTTTTTATTTTACGTAAACAATCATAAGTACTTGATGTGCTTATTCCGTTTCTTAAACATTTTTTTAGTTCCTCCTTATTTTTTTCAAAAAGTAGCGAGTAAATCTATATTTATATCTCTAAATAATATTAAATCATAGAAAGCAGTAGATAATATGCTATATTTTGTTAATAACAGCGACTTTTAATTGGGATTTAAATGACCTCAGGTGATTATTCCCGTGTTAATAACTCATCAGACTTCATCAAACAGCAAGGGGTAAAGAAAGTTAACAAAACATCCGTGATTACACATCGATGGTAAGAGGAAAGAATGCGGTAAAGAAGGAACGCGTTTGTGTTCACGGTGGGTAACATTGACAGTTGCACCGGGGAGTCGGTAGATGTCACGAGGCGGAAGTTTCAAGGTCCCGGAGTGTGACGTTTCGACAGGCCAGCGGCGTCGATAGCGTCTTCCGGTGAAATTAATCGCCGAACCTACGTCGGATTCACGCTGATCTACTCACCTTCCTGAAGAATACACCTGAAAAAAAAACAGCGGTCGCGTTGATTAACGAGCGAGGCAGAGAACTGAGGTAAACAACGCTCGACTGTCATCGAGGGTAATATGTACTACCTTGCACGATGCCGAACACTTCGAAATCAAGCGCGATCATCTTCGATACTGCCGTTCTTCCTGTCGTTGGTGGCAGCCCGGCAAGCAACAACGAGAACGATAGACACGCGAGATGTGCGAATCTAATCATTCGACCACAGCTACCTGATCCGAGACGTCGACTAGGGCGACTGTTCGGCCAGATGTCGCTAGTTCGTTGGGTCGCGCGCTATATGTTCCGGAAATAATTGCCAGGGTAACTTTGGCGACGCTTGCATTCGCGAGGGAACGCGAATTCGTGTTCTCTCCGGCTCGAATTTCGGCTATCGGTGCGTATTGAGATCGAACAATTCGCGAAGGATCGCTCGACTTTCCACCGATGATTGTTGAATCGCGTCCAATTAAGCGCTCGACGATAATAAACAGGTGGAATTGTCCGAATCGAGGAGATCCGTAAGTGAAAAAAACCGTTCCTCCCTTCGTTTTTTTCGAAACGCTATGCTACTTCTCCGCACTCCAACTTTTCCTTCCTCCGGCCGTCATTGCATCATTATTGCCAATTCGAAATTTCAAAATATGCATCTAAATTAAGCTAGGCTATACTTGGTGTTGTAGAGATACGAGAAGTAGCCGAGTAGAGTCAACAGAATTATTTTCTAGAATTGAAATTATTCCATGTGTCGTGTAAATGTATGTATGTAATTGATATTTATAAATACTTAAAATAATATGTATCTAAAAAAATATCGGACAACGATGAATTCGAGGATAGAAAGTAGCCCGGTAAGCAAAATATTATCAATGCATTTACATTTTATGTGCGAGCATATTGCACAAAGTAAAAAAAAAGATACATAGTTGATACATAATATAAAGTAAATATATAAATTTTGGAATAAAATTTCACGTATCATGCCGTTTTTTCGCAAGATCTACATGTTTATTAATTATTACGTCGCTTACAAGGTCCGACTATGAATATCATCCATATAATGAGGTGTATTAAAATTTAATTAAGAAATAGCTTATTAATTAAGAAATAGCTTATTAATTAAGAAATAGCTTATCTCAAGAAAAAATAATCCATCGTTTCGATTTTCCGAAATAATTCAAGAAATACACTAAAACATGATTTTTGTACTCTTGTTGACATGCGAATTTAGATTGATCATGAACTGAGACACAGTCTCTCTAATAAGAGTATGACTGGGAAAATTTTTGTTTGAAAATCGTCACATCGAAAATTTCTGCACAAGCAGGAAGAAAAACTCTTCTCTTACGACGCATTACACAGAGAGTCTCGGTCATTGCCCGACTTTCGTTAGAGAACGACGTGTTTTGACCATGAGTGCCGCATACGCCGAAAAAGCCAATAAGCTGAGTTGGCAACATTGGTTTGCCTGCTTCAATTTCGTTGTTGAGAGTCCAAAATTTCGGGAAACCCCTTCCTCCGTCCCGTGAATTCATGTTAGAGATGTCGGTATCGGAAAAAATGATCGTGATTGAATATATTCGTCAATTATAAAAGTACTCATGTCGATATCAAATTAACAGCCAACATGTCGAACAAAATATCGAATAACCTTTATTTCTAATAAACACTCAAAAAAATCTTTATCTCTATATTTTGATTTTTAGCATGATGAAGACCCAGACAGCGCGAACTTCCAAGAGACGTCCCGGGAACGTACTCAGGATTTAAGATGTTTTTAGGGATATCTTCTCTGGGAATTGAGTAAGAAATATTTTATTATTGTACTAAAATAGACATTTAAGATGTGGTAAATCACAGTTGAATGTGAGACGAATAATCAATTGCGATTGGTCAACTTCTCACGGTTGAAGACTTACTATACCTATTGCAGATCCAATCTTAACGCTTACTTTTTCCTGTATGACAAATTGTTAAATTATGGCTGCGTTTCGATTCACCGCTAGTATTGAAGATCCACCATTCACGTTACGTGTACTATAGATTTTCAATATTGACAATAAATATCGGAACTCAGCATACATATTAATGCTCTTTATTTTATACACTTTTTCATATATTCAACGAAATATTTTTTCAAATATTCAACGAAATATTCGCCAGTTGACAAATGCTTACTCGACTTACATTCGTATTTCTTCCATTCAATAGTCTTGCATCAAAATTGAAGTAACATCGAACATATCGACGAACATGTCTCTCTCGCGGAATGCGCTTAGAGAATACCCCCAGCGCGATTTATCGAAGCGGCGGCGCTGACGCCATTGGCGGAGGGTGGAGGGAGGGAAGAGGGGGGGGGAATCGACGGCGCGAACATAGCCGCGTATAAGTGTCGCGCGCCGGTGGAGCAGTCAGTCAGTCAGTCGGTCCTTGTCGTTCAAGTGTCGCTTGTCTGCCCATCTCGTTTCCCGAGAGCCTCGACGCCTGTTTCTCTCCTCGCGTCCCTAGTAGCGCAGGTTAGGCTCCGGGTAACGGCCCTATCAGTCGATTGCCGGCGGCTATGCGAAAAAGCGCGGTCTTCTCCACTTTTTGTCGACGGTCGTCTGCCGCGCGGGTTGCGTAAGTTGTATAACGGCGGTGCGGACGTCGTCGATGAGGTGTCGGCGGCGCGCGCGCTCGTGCCTCTGACGACGACGTCGTCGGGCCTCGCGTCAGTGCGAACGTCGGGCCGTGTCCGACGGCGAGGCGAACGAAGTGGAAGTCGGCGATCCACGGCGGAGCTACGAAGAGGCGAGAGCGCGAAAGGGAAGAGAAGGAGGCGAAGAAGAGCACAGAGGAAGGTGATACACTCGTCGTGCGTGTGTGCGTGCGTGTGTGCGTGCATGTGTGCGGGTACGGGCGGACCCGTGAGGACGGCGGGAATCGACGCGAGACACGCGGGACACGATGACGGCGATGCTGGTGTCCGTGGCGGAGCTGTCCAATATCTTCTCGGTACTAGCCGTGCTGATATGCTTCTGCGGGGTCATCCTCTTCATCATGAGGTATGTCCGTCGGCTCCTCCTTTTTCTGTCCGTCCGTCCGCATATGCGCCACGACGACGACGTCGTCTACGTCGCTCTGTGTGTGCGCGCGTGCAATGCGGCTCTTAGCTGCGCCGTCGTCGGACGCGCAAAACGCCAATGAGGGAGAGTTGCTTCTCTCATTCGTCGTCACCGTCGGGTCTCCGTCTTTTCTTTTCTCTCCGTCTTTTTCTCTCTCTCTCTCTCTCTCTCTCTTTTCTCACCCCCGTCGTGGATTTTGTCACGCGAACGATAGCTCGTTGGGTTCTCACGTCTTGAGAGCCGCGTCGAAACCCGTTGTACCGGCCTTGAAATACGCATGGCGAGCGACGAAGAGGAAGTTCGTTAAGCTTTTATTAATCGGCGATTTGTCGTAAACGATGAGATAACGGTCGAACCGTTACGATCCGTGCGAAACAGGATTCCTAACTGCATTTCCCCTCTCCCCTCCTTTACCAACTTTTTTTGTTTATATAGGGCTTCCCGGTGGCTTGTGTCTGGGGTGGGGGGGGGGGGGAAGGGAACTTCAAACATA